AACAAAGATATTAATAATTATAATCTATTAAATGTTGTATAAAAATAGTTTTAATCAAATATTTTTTTTATTCAAAACTACGTAACCCTACCTCTGTTCTGACCGAATTAAGTTTGTAATAGTGAGACATTTTTTTTTCCAATCGTTTATTCGAAGAGCCCGAGTGCAACGGAAATGAAACGAGCATGTGTCGATCGAATCTACCGAATTGTTGGAAACTCGTCACACGTGGACGGAATTTAGAGAGTTTATTGTGACGGGCGCCATTTAATTTAGAATTCAATGTTGGCAACACTGAGATTTGCGTCATATAATATATTATGTCAATGTATGAATATAGTTATTCTTATTTATTAAAAGTGTTTTTATTGCTTTATTTAATTATCATTATTGGACGGTCGTAAAAAATCAAGTTTTTTTGTTTTGTATACTAATAATTGGTTTTGATAAAGTTATATACATTCGTTTTTCAATTATTCTGTACTCGGGAGGCTCGTGAAATTAATGAGCCTTATAATTATCTATGGTTAATTTATCTAAAAAGTAGAAAGCAGCTCCCGGGGCAGACGTGCGGCCAAGTTAAATGAGAAATTAGCAGAAAAATTGAAACCGTAGACCGTAAATGAAAAATTAAAAAAGTCCCTCCGGAAACGGTAGTGCGGCCATCTTTCTTCTTAAATGAAATGGCCTTAATTACTTATTGCTGAAACAAACATCAGTAATGTTATAACAATGATCTTGAGACGATCATATAATATATAATGAAGTGTCAAATGTCAATATAGTTTTGATAAATCGACGGCTATTGGTAATAATTACACACCAAAGAGGTTTCATACTGACAAAAATCTTACTTATTTTTTAATAATACCTTTAATAATTATCACAAGTTAATACAGTCAATGATTTTAAATTATCATACCAATAGCTCAACTAGATTTTGTGAAATTAATATATATAGGTATATTTAGTTTAATTAAAATTGAACGTTCACAACCTTGCTTGTGCAGGTGCTGGGATTTGAACCCAGGACTTTCAGCATGCGAAGCAGACACTCTACCACTGAGTTACACCCCCGGTTTCACTAGATGCTAATTGTAACACAATATTAGTTGTCAAATCTCTTTAACTGCTGAATTACCATTAAAAACTCAAATACAATCCTTATTGCATTAAACGTAACTAAAACGACAAAGACGAATACTTAGGGTTAGAATTCAGTAGTGAAACGAATTACACGATAAATATTAGAACAGCAAAGAGGTCTGATAAAAAAAAGGTTTTATTTGTCTAACCTTTTATATACAATAAAGGTATTAAATAGATCTGTCACCAATATATACTATTAAGTACCTATTCCTTTCATATAACAAAAACGCCTTGTAAATAGAAAGAAAGTAAAGCAGCAAATGGCGGTTTAATATATACAGATTGAATGTTCTGTTGAAAACTAAAAAACCGAGGCGTTATTTAATAAAAGAGTGTTACAAGTACGTCAGTTGAAGGTCCACGAGCGGAGTGCTGCACCATTAACAGACGACACGCGACCTACATGACTGTAGGGTTGAAGAAATAACGTGAAAAGAGGTTTGATATAATAAATTACTAAGGAGGTTTTATATATTAATTATTGAAATTTACAAATCGTTTACATTATGTCAGAAAAATATAGAGAAACTTAATTTTACGAGCAAATTTTAAACATTCACGGACTCCGAAACTCAAAATGGCTGACTTAAAGACATTTTTTTATTGTTTTTATTGATTTTCGTATATATATTACATATTTAATAGAATCTACAGCCCTGTGAAAAACATCATTGTCGTAATGGAAGTCACGAGCGGCAAGAGCCCTAGATGAAACCACGCAACAATAAAAATCCTATACAAAAACGCCCTTATATTTGCTACATAAGGTTTGGGAGACTGTAACATTAAGTTTGCGCTACCAAGGACTAGATGGAGTAACGCTCGCGAGACATTAGCGACATCTATCGGTGAGTGTGAATTACTGTTCCCGCGCTTTTAGTGACACCTTTTTAGATGAACCATTCCGTGCAATTATGACGTCTTTGTTTGACAGCGGAAAAATATTTAAAAAACTTTTATCTCGCAGCTGGATTTTCATTAAGTGCTTAGTTATATTTGTTCTATGTTATATTTCTAACTTACTTTTTTTTTTATTTCGTAAATAAATTGACACCAAAGTTGAATGACCTCAGCTTAAAAGGTGCCCTTTGTAAATTAGTTTTAATAAAAAAAGAACATTAGGAGATTTTTTATATTTTAAAATAATCTTGGTAGGTATATAAACAGTTATGATATTTTCAAATTTTTAAACTATATTTATTTCAACTTAACATAAAAAGAATATATAAATCATTAATTCCTTAATGTGTTGCCAGTATAAAAAAAATACGTTTAATAAAAAAAATACATCAAACTTTATTATAATTCTGATAATCAAACTAATCACTTCTTGTTACTTATTTATTTAAACAGATTCTTTATAACAAGAGGATTCATCAGTTCTTTCACACTATCACTTTATATGCATTCCTAAATTATTTCATTTATTTAAATGACAATAACAATGGTAATTTCCAACTCTACGAGTATATAAGACAATAAATACAGATGTTTTATTTAAATATGATTAATTGGTATTCTGTAAGTCCAATCAGCCATTTTGTACTGCGTAAATAAATACTTGTCCATACAAGTATTAATTCCATAATTAACAATGTATATGTTATTCATATGAGTCAATATTTACTCTGTATTAAACATCAAAGCGTTTTTATGTCGGTTTTACGTACGCGCGACATATTAAGAAATAAATGAGCATCGCCGGGTCGACATCGTTGTATGGATAAAATATCGTATAACGAGTGTCGCCGCTGACTCCGCGGAACGAACACCAAGCCTTGTGAACCAGAAGACTCCTGATACACACAAGCTATGGAATGGTATTGCTATCCTAACATCGGGTCAATCATGTAGTCTTAGGTGTAGGTTATAGGTTTTAATATGAAATTCTTATTATAATATACATATAAGTAAGTTTCGTAGTTTTCCTGGAACCTCCGGTCGCCACCCTATACAATTTCTTACCAAATTCTTCTATAAGATCTCGTTTAACAATTGCATTTAAATATTACCTTAAATTAAATATAATCTTCTAAATTATTAAGGATGCAAGCTGGAATTATCATATTGTATTATTAGATTATGGAATTAGTTTCGCGGCACTGAAAATTTTTAAACAATAAAAATAAAATTATGTTGTCTTCGACTTTATATTTTTTTGGTTTGGTTTGAAACACATATACTTATTAATTAAGTAGGTTGATTATTTAAAAATCCATTTATTGTTTAAATAGCGTGGTAGATATGTATGTATGTAATTTTTTCTTTAGTTTTTCTAAAACATTTACGTTGACGTCGTGAGCTTTGTTTTTTTTAATTATAATACGCTATGATGCAAATACAAATATTTATAATAAATATGCGAACAATTTTCAGTAAAAACTTGGATAGGTACTTTCAGTTTTTTAGTCTTTCGATGTAAACTCATGGTAAGAGAAGTAGTTATTAGTTTAAGAATACTGTTTACGGCTGTAGTACCGTTACGGCTAATCATGTGGAGTTGTTTTAAAGTAGTCAATAAATTTTGTATTTAGTAAATAAAGAATTATGACAATCAATTAATTATTGTTATATGTCCTTTTTTCTGATTCCATATATACACTGTGAGGGTGCCAGTTAGTAACCTGGGAAGTGGCAAATTTTAATGTGATTTTTCCGAGTCCGGGGTGAAGGAAAACCTCGTGAGGAAACCTGGATTTATAATTTCAAATAATAAGTTTAAAATTACCAACCCGTCTTGAGCAAGCGTGGTGATTAATGCTCTTACCTTCTCCATGGGAGAAGAGGCTTAAACTAAGCATTTATCCACCTATCTTTCTACATATCTATCATCAATAGACTGATGATAATCATTAAAGTTATTTATGTATATAACATGTAAATAAAATCATGTACGTATTATGTATGTATATAATTCTATTTGTTTTAATAATGCATTTAAGAGCTAAAAGAGTTACCTAATGTTTGACATTAATTAGTAATAATATATATTTATAATAAACATATATTTGTAATTGTAAATGTCGAAAAGTTAATATATGTGGAATGAATAAGCTTGGTTTCTGTAATAACATATTTATGAGGATTCATATTAAAAATATTTAAACCATTTGTCCATCGTTTTTGTATACTGCATACTTAAAAAATTCAGTGTTTAGCAACAGACGCTAAATATTATTAATTAATTATCTTTCTACAGTAGAAGAAATAATATCAAATTATAAAATGTATATCTATCTGTATACTACTAATATATTGTTTACATATTGTATATAATATTGAAAATTTTATAAAGTTACGTTTCATTATATGAAATATATCCAAACAAGTACAATATATTCCAACATGTTAGCTTAAAACTGACGCAACAAAAACGCTCCGAATTTTAAGCCACTTAAATTCTCTTTGATCTAACATTAACTGTGAAAAATTCTATTAATATACATAAAGTGAACATTCATTACAAGTTTTTTGAACACCATGTACATACGGACGAGTGATTTGATAAAAAATATATGTAGCCGCGGCCCGTGGGTGGCTAATGATAATTGTACGATACAAGTGACTCAAATGGAAATTAAACGCAGTTGCATTAACATAATTGAGATCTTGATTGAATATAGATAACTTGAGATCTAGAACACTTGAAATATACCTGTTTTAATCATACCTTTAAAATATGTATATCGGTAATTAAATTTATATAAATAATCACGTTTTATTTACAAACACATACCAGAACTTATCATATTTATTTGTGAAAATAAAAACAATGATAATTTTATTATTCATAAACTTTATTTACATTTAAGAAGAATACAAAGTTTATTTCGTTTTATTGTATATAATATTCATTTCTCCGTTTCATGTACGACCTGTGGTTTGAAGTCTAAGTCTAGTACTCGTTTGAGGCTTTCTACGTACATGTCAAGTCTTTGGGTCATGTAATAACAGCGTCTGTCCCGGATCTGTCTGTTCATATTGAGGTCCATGACGGCTATTAGAAGCCCATCTTTGTTACGAGACAGCCCGGGACATCTCACGCCGTCCGGGCCACAGAAATAGCTGGAGCCATAAAACAAACCCAAATCCTTATGAGCAGGTTTCCCATCAGCGGATGTGAATTCATTAGGAAACTCTTCATAGCCGACTCTATTGATAGCCGCTGTGAAATAACAGTTTGTTATAGCTGCGTTCCTTGCTTCTATGTTCCACATGTATTCGCTTCCAGCCTCAGCAGCGATTGTAGCTGAAGGATTGAATACTATTTCAGCTCCGTTCTGTCCAAACATCATCCAATTCAGCACGTGGTGACGTCCGAAGCAGATGTTAATGCCTATCTTGCCGTACCGCGTCGCAAAGACCGGATGGCCGGTGTTACCTTCCATGTAGTAGTTTGATTCGTTGAAGTCTCCCACCCTGGGGATGTGGTTCTTCCTGTGTTTCCCGATCACAGCGCCTGTATCACTGATCACCACCGCCGTGTTCCATATTATATCCGCGTGCTTCTCATCACGTTCTAGTATAGATGATACGATCACCATCGCGTATTTTATGCAGAGTTCTTTCAGGAAGCGTGTGGTTGGTCCGTCCTCGGCTGATTCAGCGAATTCGCACCACGGCTGCTTCTCCCTGGTGCAGAACGCGAAGGGCATGTTCCATAGCTCTTGGAAGCACAGGATATTGACTCCTTCCTGACCGGCCACGTCTATAATCTTCTTCACCTTAGCGAGTATGGCATTTTTCTGTTCATTGATGGGCCGGTCGGTAGGGACAGCGATGGAATGCTGAATGATGCCCACCTTCACAATCCTGGGTGGTCGTGTGGATTCCTTCTTCGCGGGGAAGGCGTAGGCAGCGATTTCAAAATCATTATCTTTGGCTGCAGCGATCGAGGAATCCTTCAGATTTACTTCATGATGATTTTTTCTTCCATAATAAATTCTGTTGAACTCCTCCAAATCTTTTCCCGCGAGGTTTGTATTCACGATAGATTCAAGGCTTTGTGTTTCGCCGTCCATCTTGAGTTATCCTTAACTGAGCTGTCGTTAACGACTGGTCTCTCCACACAGATCGTGCCTTTAAATAGCCAACCGGCTTCACTAGATGTACTCGCACTAGACGATCTTGTATCTACGTTTATCTATATCCCGAAGACGACCTTAGCCCTTCAAAGATAACTATATAACAATAAAGAAAGAACTATTCGTTTTTGTTTGTAAACACTCTCATTGAAAATTAATGAGCATTAAACGATAAAACTATTATTAAGTTCTGTTCACAAGAACCTATGAAAAATGATTGAAAAATTAATTAATGTTCTCAGATTACGCAACGTGATGTAAAATGCAACTTGTAAATTATACATCTATAAGGTGATTTATGTTCAAAGTATTTAAAAATAATTTATCAAAAAATAAAAGATTTTATTGAGATGTACCTAATTACATACGTAATATTAAAGTAATATTACGTGTTAAAAAAAATATTATATATCTTGAAAAATATGTCATATATTTCATTTACATTGTACATTTTCATTTATTTGGAATAAACTTTCACGAGAATACGAACTGAAAGATTTTTAATCTGTATCATTATTTAATGTTTTGCCTTCACCTTAGAATATAATGTATAATAATTTAAAACATTATTTAATATTACAAATATATAAGGCACTGATCACATTAAGAGTGAAATAAAATCGGACAAGTAAAAACCTGTGTAGCAAACCTAAAATTAATAAGAAATTAAAAAGTAAATTTTAGTTGCTATATTTAAGTTAGACGTAGGTATTTCAAATATACTACGTTTCTTTGTTATGACTATGATCGTAACTTATTATAGCATAGCTGTAGGGTAAATAAAATTACCTAATTAATTATAGAAATTCTCTTTTATTGAATACCCTTATATTTAACAAAGAAAAATTGTAATATTCAATCTGCCATATAGGATTACTCACATCAACAATGTATACACGTATTGTCTGTCAAATTGACATGAACGCTAATTGCTAAATGTCAGATGAATATAAAATTTGTAACGAAATTTAATCTATTTTATGAAGATGAAGTGATAAAGCTGGAAAGATTTTCAATTACAGGACTTGTTATGAATGAATGAATAAAATATTTAGTTTTAAAGTATATTTGTTAATTTATTTAATGTCTTGTAAATTTCTAAACGTAAAGTTAGACTAAAAGTTAAAAATCTGATTTATGTAAAGTTTAGAAAGCCTATTTTGTATTTTCAGAAACCAAACACGATCTATTATTCCGAATTTTATTGCTTAATAAAACCTTTATTGACAGTTATTTAGTCACAATAACAAATCATTAGAACGAGTCCTTATCGTACTCAGAGAGCAAACTTATCTACCAGTAAATACTTTTAAGTCATTACATCAAGTCTTTAACCGGTTTTAGTTATAAATAGAACAACATTGCAAAACGACAGTTTGTTTACTAGACAGTGTTATATAATTGGCCTAATTATACCAAATAACTATGGAGAATATTGAAAATATTCTAAAACAACGCTTAAGTGGCGCACAATTAAAAGAATTTAATAGAATATATTACGGAACAGAAGTTATTAAAGAGTTGGAAGTGAATGAAACATCAAAAGTTAGAAGTAAAGAAAATAATTTTACTCTAGCTGCGTATTCATTTAGTGCTAGTAAAGAGGAGATCAGAAAACCGAACAAAGTGAGGTTAGGTTTGATACAACACTCGATTGTTTATACTACCGATAACACAATACCTGACCAAAGGCAGGCAATATTTGATAAAATACGACCTATAATAGAAGTCGCGGCTTCAGAGGGCGTCCGTATACTTTGCTTACAAGAGACGTGGCCCATGCCATTCTTCCTTTGCACGAAAGAGAAAAAAAAGTGGGCGGATTTCGCTGAATCAGCCATCGATGGACCAAGCACGCTTTTTCTTAGTAAATTAGCGAAAAAGTATGAAATGGTCATAGTGTCTCCTATATTAGAGAGTGATGGTGGCGTGTGGTGGAATACAGCTGTTGTGATAGATGAAGAAGGAAACTATTTGGGTAAACATCGAAAAAACCACTTGCCAAGTGTTGGCAGTTTCAGTGAGACTGCTTATTATGCACCTGGCAACACCGGTCATCCTGTTTTCAAAACTAAATACGCGAATATCGCTGTAAACATGTGTTATGGTCGCCATCATGCACTAAATTGGTTAATGTTTGCTGAAAACGGCGCACAGATAGTATTTAATCCTTCGGCGACTATAGCTGAATTTGGACAATCCTTTTGGGGTGTAGAAGCTCGTAATGCTGCAATAGCAAATAGTTATTTCACTTGTAGTATTAATAGAGTTGGGACGGAAGAATTTACGGTGGGCAATGAAACTAAAACAAGAACATATTACGGATCTTCTTATGTTTCTGCTCCTGACGGCAGTAGAACACCATGTTTATCGAATGAAAAGGATGGCCTCCTCGTCGCTGAAATAGATTTGAATTTATGTCGCCAAGTTAAAGATAAATGGGGTTTCAGAATGACGGCCCGTTTAGATATGTATGCAAAAGAAATCAATGAATCACTTGAAAATAAAATTGTCTACTAATATATAAATTTATTTATAAAACAAGACTTTCTATTATTAAATAAATGTTCTTTGCAATATTAAATTTATTATATTAATAAAAAGATACATATATAATCATTGTTGTTAATTCCCGAACGAATCTTGACTCTTGTTATTTTATTTATCTGTATAGCATCCAATGATATGTCATTTTTCGTTTTCGTAAAGCTGTAAATTAGTCGCCGGACGAAAGATTCGGTTTAATAATATAGTGATAATAATAAATCTTTATAAAAATTAAGAATGGTAAGTCTCATTTCGTTATTAAAATGTATAAATAATTTATCATATACTTTCTATTACTTACAACGATTTTGGTTATAACAGCAATGACTTTACAAAAAGTAAACATGGATGTAGTTGGAAAAGAGTTAAGCATAGTATATTATCGATTAAAAATGTTCAAATTTATCATGAAATATTTCTTTTAGTCCATTTTAGCGTATAATGGAGGTGCCGTGGTCGCCATGAAGGGTCAAGATTGTGTTGCTATAGCCACGGATAAGCGCTATGGTATTCAGGCTCAAACCGTCTCCACCAACTTTCCAAAAGTATACCAGATGGGGCCCACCCTGTTCGTAGGCCTGCCGGGTCTTGCTACTGACACCCAAACAGTTTTTCAGAGACTTAAATTCAGGTAGTTAAATTAATAGTCACACTTAAGAATTTTGATCGATTTAAGCACAATTTACGATTTGGTTATTAAAAATATAGTTAACATAGTTAAAATATGAAACATATTAAAAAATAATACTCTTATATAGTAATTATATTGACTCATTGTAATACAAAATCTCCAGAATGAACTTGTACGAGTTGAAAGAAAACAGAGTAATGCGGCCCAAGACGTTCTCAGCAATGTTGTCGAACTTGTTGTATGAGAGGAGGTTTGGTCCCTACTTCATTGAACCTGTCATTGCCGGTCTTGACCCCATCGACAACACACCATACGTCTGCAATATGGATTTGGTAATATTACTAGATTATCAAAATATAAATCTCAAAAAATAATTTTTTTAGTAATTCAAATCATTTTCCCGAGCGTTACTGCATGTTATGTATTAGTTATACTTGCTAAGTATTGTTAAAATAATATAATGTCAAGTATAATGTAGTTAAATTACGTTATTATATTAGTTACTATCATTCAGATTGCTATTTAGCACAATACATACAAGACCAATGTAATATAGTTTTACTATACTGCAGTAATTGTATGTATTTCATGAGTTAATATACTCTTATTCTTCATAGATTGGATGTCCCAATGAGCCAGAAGATTTTGTAGTGTCGGGTACATGCTCGGAACAGTTGTATGGTATGTGTGAAGCTTTGTGGGAGCCGAACCTACAGCCTGATGAACTGTTTGAAACTATATCTCAAGTGAGTATACCTACTTTTCCTACTAATATTAAAGTAACTCTGTCTGTTTGTCTGTCTGTCACGCCTAAGCCACTGAACTCATTTTAATGAAATAAGTACTGAGATAGAGTTGACCTTGAGAAAGAACATAGGATAGTTTTCATCACAGAAACTTGAAAGGTTCTCTTGGAAATGTGATATAACCGAACTCCACGGGGGCGAAGCTGCGGGCGGAAAGCTAGTGGATATCTATACTTTTTGGTTGTATTCGGCTGTTAGTTATTGAGTAAAAAGAGAATAGGCAATGTAATGAATGTTGTATGAGAAGGTTACAAAAGTATATTCATGTTTAGAACTATATATGTTGTAAAACAATAGTATTTTACATGACTCAGTAGAAAATAAATTGTCAAATATGAAGTAGCATATAAACTACTGATATGTTTGTTACACAAAGATTAAATACACTTAGTAAGTGGAAAATAGCTCACAACGCGTTCTACTCAGAGTAAAACATCGATATCTCGAAATTCTTTCCAAATCACAGAAAGACCAAATAGAGAAATATTAGTATACATAGTTGTGGCTATGAAGAAAAGCCCTGACGCATTGTGAGTATTAATTGGTTAAACCGCATCATGACGGTCAGATTGTAACTTGTAGGTGTCGACTCTGGTGTAAAGATGAATTAAAACATCACTTTGACTCATTTCTTTTCTGTTAATCAGAGCGAGCAGACAATCAATTTAATTCAGATATCATTATAATATATAAACTATCATGTCTGATAATGCTATGTTATTAATTTTGTTTCTGAGTTTTGAGCTTTGTTTAAACCTAGTTTTTATTTAATACCGTTTAGTCTGTATTTTAGTAAAAAAACAATGTTGTATACACCTGTAAAGGCAAATCATACTGGATTGAATATTTAGTGCATTATAATATTGTTAGTTATTATGATGTCGATGGTGTATCTTAATCAATAAATGCCATATGTCCCAGGCCCTGGTGAACGCCGCTGACCGCGACGCCATCTCCGGCTGGGGAGCGGTCGTGTACATCATACAGAAGGACAAGATCACTGAGAAACATGTCAAGACTAGAATGGATTAGTTATTATTAATAAACAATTTATTATATATTATTGCTTTTACTTTCACCACTTTATTTCTATATAGGAATAAGTATATGATGATAATGATTTCTGAACTTTACAGTAATATCATGTGACAGTAAATCCTCTAAGTTTTAATTTCTTTTACTTTTTATCTGTTCTAAGTCAATGTTCACATAAAAAGCCCCGTACGCGCGCTTACAAGTACATACATTTTATTTATGTTAACTCGTCTTTTAATAAAGCTGATGAACAGTTCCAAGATTATAGTTTTTGAATCAGAAAGTCATCAAATGCCTTGATGCTAAGTAGTTAAAGAATTTTGGACTCAAAATCCCCTATCTTACGATATAAAATATTATGGCTTTCAGTCACCCTTTGACAAAAATGTGTGGACCCGATATGTCCGTATTTTGTCATGTTATTTCTGTTACTATGTTCATCTTCGAGCAATGTAGAACTCCAATTAAATACAAACAATGAACGCTTTCTATTTGAACATTACAAAAATTCATCGCGCGTTGAGCCTTTTCATATGAATGTGGCCTAAAACTGTATTCTTGGTGTGTTCAAAGCCTTTAATTTTACAGGAAGCGATATCATTGTTTGAATAATTAAAAAATACTAGTAAATGCACTTAATTAATATCCTTGAAGTTTTTTATTTTAAGATGCAGAATAATATAAAAAGATACACATTTAAGAATTGAATGAAAGTACTTATTTTGTTTTGAAGCAGTAAGATAATTAAGTTAATTATAATTAAAAATAAGATTCAGGTGGATAAAACACTTATGTAGAAAAAATTTGAAATCGAGTTATTTTTTGTATAATATTGAAAATATTTCCAATATTTATTAAAAAAAAAATCTGTTCCTCCAAAAGCATTTCCTTTTCTCATTTTATAGTACCAACTTTTGATAATAATTATATATTTCTTCTTTTATCTTTAGAAGACCTTCATGTTCAAATAGAAAATTTCAGATACAACATAATATAATGGGTCTTATCCACCTTTTATCTATAAAACCAAGTTATTGTCCAGGCTCTATGTTAACGGGTAAGGATATAAATAAAACAAACATTGCTGAAACTTTATAAACCCAATTTCAAAAATTAATGTTTTTTTAATATATTTTTAGTACATGTCTTTACAAGAGGAGACTAGAGAATTAACATATCAAATTTGTGTTGAATGCCGATACATAGCGAAGCTTACCGCGCTCCCATCAACAAAAAATATTAAAACTATACAATTGTAACATCGACTATCGCCTAAACAATGGCAACACACATGACATTAATCATTCAATGACAGCTGACATTAGGAGCGTAAAGAAACTTAAATAAATTTTGTGTGTATATAATGTGCTATCGAAGCATATACAAGCGACGGGCCCGTCGTATAAAATAATTATTACTAATAAAACATATCACAAAAGCTATCATCGAGAATTAACGATAACGGGGGCTACAGAATACAATACTGAATACTGCCGCGTCGAGATACCTCGGCGTATGTGTCCGAAAACCGACGATATGACCACATACATACATGTAAATAATTATATATACCGACAAACACAGCGTATACGAGATACGACGTAACAATCCAAGTCTTATATCGTTATAGAATAATAAATAACAAAATCTTATCATATCAACACTACACTAGACGAAACTAAGCGAATTCATGTAAGTATTGGCAAAGTGATTGCATAGCGGACCCTCTGACGAACCGACCGGCTACTGGGAGAAGGACGCATCGACATTAAAGATGAAAAATTAAAATATTCAGATAGACATCTATCCGTCGATAGTATACCACTCTCCATCGTAAACGCGTCAAACTCGTTCCAAAGTTCCATATAACTTTACATTATACCAACGATATTTAACAATAATATTAATTACTATTCTACGATAGCGGAACGTTATAAAAGCTAGTAACGATTTTTTTAAAAATTATTGCAAATTCTGTGCTAACGCGTAGTAATCAGCGCGAAATGTTCGATCCACGAACGTAGCAAGTTTCTCATTTTAAGGTGATTATCAATATAAGAATATTTATAAAACTTCCAAACTGTTGGTATTTTAGTTATTGCAAACCCTTAGTAAGATTACAATGACGTAAGTAATGTATGGGTGGCGTTATCTGTACAAAAATAGTCATAATAAAATTCATTTTAATTCTTTATGAAAGATTTTTGTTACGATTAATTCTGTATTGGTGTATTTAATTTAATTTTTTTAATCTATATTAGAGAAATGCATATCGCCACAAATCTATCCACCCGTCAATGTCAATTATTACCGCCATTTTTGTAATTTTTATATCCACAGTATACTTAAAGGAGATTTCCAGAACACCAAAACCGACGAATCACAAGTACATCATAATAAATTAATAATTAATGAATTACAACAGAATTTCTACATTAATATAAACGGTTTCTTCACAAACGCATTTCATAATATTTTTATATATATATAACATAATTAATTCTTATCAATTTCTCAATAATCATTAAATCTTTGTAACGTCACGCCTCTGCCTCCTTTAGTGCGGAAATTAAATAAAACCTACAACCCTGTGTGTTCCTTTACAATCCAACTAAATTTAATTATAATATTATAATATAAGGAAATTCTAATGACCATAGAGTATTTATACTCCAACAAACCTGACATATATAAACTCATTTATAAATTTGCGATTGTCAAAAAAAAAAAATGGAATGATTCATACAAATGAAATGACATTGGCACTTTAATAGGAAACTAATTTAATATAGATAATAAAATCCAATTCATGACCAGGGCACACGTTCAACTAGCGTTTAACTACTAAGGCTGAATAGTTGGCAGTCTGTCTATCACTAAAGGAGGCATAGACTCGTCTAATTGTCTATGGCTTTAGCCACGAAGTCTATGAATCGTTTTCCATATTGCTCCGGGTCGCATGTGGAAATTCCATCCACGTTGCTGCCGTACTTCACCGTCTTGGCCGCTTTGGCCGCCTGAAAACATATTAATATATATTATACTTACTAATATAATAAATCCGAAAGTAACTCTGTCTGTTACGCTTTCACGCCTAAACCATTAAACTGATTTTAATGAACTTTGGTATGTATTGAGTTGACCTTGAGAAAGAACAGGATAGTTTTTATCCCAGACTTTTGAAAGGTTTTCTTGGAAACGCGATATAACCGAACTCCACGCGGGCGAAGCTGCGGGCGGAAAGCTAGTCTACATGTAAAATTGATTATATAATAACATATGAAGTAAGTTAGTCACCTGTTTCTTAACACCGTAATGCGTCAACACGTCGATTAACGCAACGAAGTATATCTCCTTTCTAGGAGCACCTGGAAATATATAAGAGGTACATGAGATCAAATAATGACCTTGTGTTAGGCTAATCAGTCGTTAGTGTATAGAGTAACCTTATGAGTGTGTGTGTTTGTGTGTGTGTGTATGTGTGAGAATCTGAGTGTGTGTCTGTGTATGTTTCTGTGTATGTCTGTGTGACTGTGTGTGTGTGTGTGTGTGTGTTTGTTACCGTCGTGGCTGGGTATAGCGTATATATCAATCTCGGGCACGATCCCCTCGTAGCGCGGCGGACGGGCGGCTCCCCGCGGACTGTCGGGCGGCGTGCTATATCCCCATCTACTGAACATTACAAAAAACTTACATTGTTATACATACATTTTATAATCCTGCTACATACACTATACAAGAGAATATCGTTACAGTCTTATTAATAAAAATATGTACACATTCATAAACCATTCAGTATTTTAGATGTTTTCATGCCGTCATCATTTTATGACTATGAAACTATATGTTGTATGGCAACCAAATAAAGTCATGTGAACGATGATGATACTAAAATCTAATTTCTATTGCACTTACATAAAACAAAAATACCAAAATATTTGTCTGATGGCTAGTTTACAAGCATTATTGTAATTTATTCTATATTTGTATGTGTGGATGTGTCTTCAATCTTTTTATTGACTACATATTGGTGGCAAACATAGGTATATGCCGTAACATATATAATCTATAATCACACAACACCAGGATCATATTTTGACCATTGTCAAGCTCATGGACCTGTCTCTTAAAGACGCACATATTGTAGTCCCTTAGGACCATCTCAGCAGAACAAATTAGATGATTATTGTGGAGCTAAGTCTGTATAAGCGTGGGTTTGAATTCACTACTGATGGCCAGCGATTTGATATTAAAATGAGGCTTTTGATATTATGAGCAACAGTTTCTTGGACATATCAAACACTTAGAGACAAGATGTCTCCAACTTAGAGTAAATACAGCCTATGAATATGAAAACATCCACAAATCATATGGTAGTTTTTGAACGAATTCAAATGGTCAAAGTTGTTATTTAATTGCACGAGTTCTTGGATTAAAGTAACACTTTATGTGAATCAGTGTTAGGTATAGTGTAAAATACTGTTTTTTTACTTGTAGAACACTAATTTTTTTTAACGCTAACATAGCCGTTCAACTGAGAGGCTAGGGAATCCAACATGAAAATTTCAATGGCAAGGATTTAAAAGCTTTTAGAGATAGATAAATTAATGTCTTGGAATAGGTATCTTGGTAAACAAAACCGGATCAAGTTGTGTGAATAGGAAACAGAACAAGAACTTCCAAGAATTGAACATCTCTTAGAGATAGATAAGTTAATGTCCTGTATAGTGTGTTTGATTTAAGCTGAGCTTTGCATTTGTGTGATTGTACACGGATAGTGTAGGTGTGATGTCAAATTTTTGAATTCCCCATTCTTTTCTAGTTTTAAGCAAGTTTTTTCTGCTTTTACTCCGCCCCGCACCTTCCTCCCTTCACCTTTTGTACTGGCAGCAATATCAAATGTTGAAAACGCAATGCCAAGTGAATAAAAATTTATAGTTTTTTCAAAATTCTTATTAATCAATAATCTTATTTCCACAATATTCACAATATTTCCATCTGGCTTTTTACAAGTTTTGTAAAAAGTTTGTGTTATGAATCTATTTAAAATATAATAAAATTTAATTCTAATAGTTTTTTGTCTAACACTACTTTTACTCACACAAATGCAAAACTCAGCTTAAGTCTAACGAACTATACATGTTGTATATATATACATCATAGAACACTATTTTTATTACATAGTGACATGACCTATCAACTGTGAGACTAGGGACTTGAACACAAAAATTCCAATACTAACGTTTTGGCCAAATGAATATCTTGGAATAGGTATCCTTATAAAAAATACCACAACAACCTGTGTGAATAGGAAACAGAACAAGGAGATTTCCAAGGATTGAAAAGCTCTTAAAGAAGCTCAAATTAATGTCCCAGAATATACTGGTGGTGTTAGTCCAGGTCAAGTTGTGTGACTAGGAAACAGAACATAAAGTTCCAAGAATTGAACAGCTCTTTAAGCTATCTAGATAGCTAAGTTAATTTCCTGTACTAGTTCTCTTTGTCTGTGTGTGTGTGTCGTACTTGTCGTGTCGCGGCTCGGTGTCAGAGTCCGTATCAGTGTCTTCGGAGTCCTGGTCCGCCAGCTGACGCGCCGCCTCAGCCTCCGCCTCGCCCCGACCACACTCGTGAACACCCAGGAGCAAGGAGTAGTCCATAAGGTGGAGCTTGGTTAGGAACTGAAATATATATACTATGTTTATAAATAACTATTTCAAGGGAAGTTATTTAAAATAGCTTTAGGATAGAACGACATTTATATATGCTTTGTTGGTATTTGAAATGATTCATCATCATTAGACTGTGAGAGCTCACAGCTGAGCTGCCTCGTCTCATATAGAGAAGATTTGAGCATCAATCACCACACTTGCTCAAGACGGGTCGGTGATTTCAAACTTATAATTTTGAAACTTTAAGTCCAGGTTTCTTCACTATGTTTTCCTTCATCAGTCAGTGGTGTCTGAATACTCTTTACTCATTAGGGCGCCAAATTTGGGGGGGCGATTAGTGGAGGTAGGCTACTTATAAATGAAAAAATAAATAGGAGCTACACAACTTTCTAGGTCCACGTTGTTAGCTCTGGGTCACGCTAAAGGAAAGATGGAAGATGGTAGATGTAATATAGAATTCTTAATACACGTTCAGTGTTCACATTGGTTCAGAAAAAAATTAATACTCGATTTTGATTTCTTCAAGTGGGCGCCAAAATATTCTTGCCCAGGGTGTCAGTCCCTCTAACGCCGGCACTGCACACACACACACACACACACACACATATACATATATATCCCGTCCTCACCTCCACGTCAGCAGTCAGTGTCTCCAACAGTTTCTCCTTGGCCGCGTCTCCTATATCAATCCTCACTCCTTGTTTAATAAAGTCGTTATCTTTCAACGTGGGCAGTTCCTTTTCCAATTCTTTCTCCGACGCCTCTCTGTCTACTGTCGAGCCTTTTAAGTCGTATTTCCTGTAATATTATTACATTTATTTATATACATGTTTGTGTCCGCGAGTTCGTCTGTGCGGATTTTGTTATTAAGTTGAAAGATACATATAAAGTAGACATGAAAATGTATAGCAATTAAATGTCAGCGGCAACTGTGATTTGATACTTTCATGGCTTAGAAGTAGTTGATACATTGATAATATACAGGGTGACTGGTGAATTACTATCTATATTTAAGGAGCATACTCGGTACATGATTCTCATTCGAATTATGTAAAAAAAATAGGTACTTAATTTTTGACAAAATTTCCGTATAAATAAATTAAGTGTGTACACGTTCCAAGTGTGGACGCGTGCGGCGGCGTGCTGATCCAACACTACGCCGCCGCCGCGTCTGTGTGAGTGTGTGTGTATACCTAATCTGTAGGGTGTTCACACGATGCGTAATTAATTACATAACTTTTGGTTAACTTTACTTAAAAGTTTATTAATATTTATGTTATATTAATTTTTATTTTGTCATATATGATCGTCAAATATCACGTTCTCAAATATCGATAGTAATTCACCAGTCACCCTGTATAAATGTTAGCTTCGATCGAAGTGCTGTAACTTTATGAGAGAATATTATCACTATTTTAGAGGAGGACATTATGATCAAAATTGGTTTTTTCTTTCAAAGATAAACTGCTTGCCCTACCAAATATCTTTATAATGATGTAAGTGCCAACATACTTATGTATATTGAGATGGTTTGAGAACACGTTCCTAGTAGCGACCAGGTAGTGTTCTATGCCATCCACAGTCAGTCGGTACATGCCCAGGTACTGAGGCAGCAGGGTCTTACCGTGACGCTCCACTATGTACTGGAATTAAATTAAACCATATGATAGCTTATATATATGGCAAACATTATTTTACCATATAAAAAAATAGGGGTTGGTGATAAAAAAAGTAAATATTTAGGGTTGTATGTATGTATGGGTGTATTTTTAGTGGAACATTATCAAAATCTTCCAAAAATTTATTTATAAAGTGAGGAGTGAATAACCCTTATGACTTAGGGGTATAAAAAATAGATGTTAGCCGATTCTCAGACCTACTCAATATGCTCACAAAATTTCATGATAATCGGTCAAGCCGTTTCGATAGAGTACGGGAACGAACATTGTGACACGAGAATTTTATATCTATATATATAAAAATGGATCCCTTTTCCCTTGGTCACGGCATCACGCGTGAATGGCTGGACCGATTTTACTAAATTTTTTTTGTTGCATTTATTATTATTATGACATTTATGTATCTTAGGTAAGAAGAAATTACGAAAATGACTAGAAAAAAAATTACTAGAATATTCTACTATTTTATTAAAATAATGTGTCACTGGTAGTAATATTCAAATAGTTAGAATAATAAACTCATTGTCTGTCAGGTAAGCTATACTTAAGTATAAGTTTATATACTTAAGTAAGTTCGCCGGGTCAGCTAGTATAAGAATAATGAATATATATAAAGTATAGATAATTAATCTTTATGAAAGATTAAAAGATTTTGGTTATTTTAAATCTCACAACTTAAGTTGATATAGGTTTTATACACATGTAAATAACAGCGAAATGATTTGTAAATATACACAACAAAGACAGATTAGATTGTGTACATAATATTTGTATTATTTTAGAGACTTTTATGACTTGACACTATATGATAAAATAAGATATATGTATAGATAAAAAAATCTATTTACTAAGAAATAAAACCGCTTGGGTGAAGTTTTTTCCGAATATTACTGATTATTTAATCTTATCGAGATGACATCACTAGTCAAAATTCATTTTGATCATATGACATGAGGCATTGCTATAGAAATTAAAGTGGTAGCAATTTTATACTTCAGACATATAAGTTTTTATATATTATTATACTTTCAATTTTGTAGTAGATAGTTAACTTGTATCTTTATCTACTAATATAAATAGAAGAAGAGTTTTCATCAAGAAATAAGTATCTTTCTTTGACATTGCTTGAATTTATGTGTAACAAAGACAGATAAACGAAAATGATTACATATTACATCAAAGAAGAATAAAAAAACCTCTTTATGTTCAACTATCCCTGCAGTATTAAGATTATCAAAAACTTATCAATTTAACATTATTTCAATACAAATCTAGTTTTTAATCATTTTCTATATATATCAATGATTCTTACCGGATGGTAATGCTTTAGGAAGGAGTGCATTCTCTCCACTTCTTCAGAGGTAAGGGTTTTGAGGATGAAGAGTCTGTCGTAGCTCTGATAGAACTTGGCCCCGGATTTACCTGATGAATCATCCGGTATAGGCTGGGACCTGGTGACAATAGAGTTAGTCAAACTCAGTCATTTATAGCTGGTCGTGCATACTGTTAGTGCTCAATGATGGTTTTATATACTCAGCTTGCATTATTAGTGATATACAAATCTATGAACAAAACCTTCAATAGAAATTCTCCAAAAACATATTAATAAATTCCACACAAACCAACACTCCAATTATTCACGTAAATAAATCCTTTGTCACGTTAGTAATAAAATGCGCAGATGGTAACTTGTATAATGTTCAATGATGTTCTCGAAGTTTCTACTATATGTTCTATATACAATATTCTCCTACCAAATCTATAAGTGTTCTAGTGCGTCTATTTCTTAAGTGTCTGTTTGTTAGTGTCCTAACTTATCAGCTGTGTTCGTGCCGACTTACCCGTCCATACTTGCTTAGTGACTTATTAATGCATTGTTATACATAGGAACCGGGATTTGGGTAGAGGTCCAAAACAACAAAAAATCAATAGAAATTATTAAAAATGGGACACTCAATGAGTGCGTAGATCAGGCTTTGACTGTGATACCATGAGCTATATATAAGATAAAGCTGACCTCAATCTTTTAATGGTCAAGCCCCGCGTGAAGCTGTTGTGGAACAAAGATTCATATTGGCCACCTACATCACTAGGGACGGTCGCCGAGCGCCTTAAACCGCTCAACCTCTTCACCTTGGAACTGAGGTAGTTATCTGGCTTTCTAAACCTATTGGGACGCCATGGGAATTGGACAACGATGGGGATACAAATAAATATATAAATATAAACATTAATTATGGAAGTATGACCCAACCTGGTTAAAGATTCCTTGTAATCCAGGTCATCTATCCCGAACCTCTCGCGGAGGTTCCTAAACACCAACGGGCAGTATTCCTTGACTTTGAAATGGGATGGCATGTTCTCTCTGAAATTTAAGAAGTTAATTTATGATAACAATACAATGGCCATAGATTTATATATATATATGTATTTAGAAAATAACATTAACCAGAAAGATGATACATATTTACAATACAATAGATTTTCATGAGTACATAAATAAAACTGTACATTTTTAGATGGGACTCAAATATTGTATGTAGAATAAAATACATATATATATACATGTATACTTAGGTTTAAAGAAGTTTATTTCCAAAAAGAACAAAGTTCTCTTACAAAGGAAATTTTAAAAATTATAACTACAATTAAGATTACAAATTACTTAGGGAAATATAAGAGTGGAAAAATGTACAGATTCAATTTAACTATAATTGTTTATTAAAAAATGGCTGCCAATAGTTTAAGACATACTGACAAATGAAAAAATATGTATAAAAAGTTTTTATTTAAACTAATAAATTATTCATACTATAATAAAAGTTAGATACTATTACTATGTACAATTTATGATTTCAATATTTTTTATAAATTGTTAATTATAAAAAATGTATATCTCATTAGTTATCCAATGACATATTAAAATCAAATGGTTTCAGACATTAATTTAATTGTGTATAATTAATAAAATGGAGGTCACATGCATTGTTATAGTTTAGGCATTATATATATCGATACCTCCATCATAACTTGTTGTATGCCACAAAAATGTTATTTTGCTTTTTTTCTAAAAAATATCCTATTATGGATCATTATATCCATTCAAAGTAAAAAAACAATAAAAACACAATTTTTAAAGGATTTGTCAGATGCATACCAATGTTGTAAGTTTCAAATTAGGCAGATTTTGGTTTAATTTGAATCTTTGAAATGCTCTACAGTAAATTTACAGTTTTTGAGATACAACAACTTATGTGGGAGGTATCGATATATACAAATATTATACAGGGTGACTGGTGAATTACTATCAATATTTACGGAGCATACTCGGTACATGATTCTCATTTGAATAATGTAAAAAAAATAGGTACTTAATTTTTGACCAAATTTCCGTATAAATAAATAAAGTGTGTACACGTTCCAAGTGTTCCAAGTGTGGACGCGTGCGGCGGCGTGCTGATACAACACTACGCCGCCGCCGCGTCTGTGTGTGTGTGTGTGTATACCTAATCTGTAGGGTGTTCATACGATGCGTAATTAATTACACAACTTTTGATTAACTTTACTTAGAAGTTTATTAATATTTATGTTATATTAATTTTTATTTTGTCATATATGATCGTCAAATATCACATCCTCAAATATCGATAGTAATCCACCAGTCACCCTGTATAATATATACAATTTTATTTATATTAGGATATTGTTTAACATATGATTAATGAAGAAAATAGTTTTTCTTCTCATAGATATTTATCTTTCAAATACATAATGTGTACATAGCTTAATAACTAAGATCATTAACACTTTAATGTTATGATTAATTAAAAAACAATTTCAGTTTTATAATTAATATGTATAGAAATAGATTATAACTATTAAATACTTCAATAACATGTATATATATATATTCTGATACTTAAAAAAATATATAAAAATGCCTTAAAATTCGTGTTATTTAGTACTAAAACTTGCAATTGAAATAAAACTTATATTTTTTAGATTTACTACATATTTAGAATTATTTTTAACAACATACTCCCTACACTTTTACTTTTCAGAAACCGTGATCTCGGAGAGACAAGATTGGAATGTCTGTCTGTTCTTGTTATAACAAGATAAAATAATTGTAAATGTATAGTAAATCTGAAAAATATTACTTTCTTATCATATTTCTTACTTGTTGAAGAGGTGGTTGTCGACTTTCAGCTTGGAGTATGCTCGGAAGTCATCAGGCAACAACATGACGGGGATAGAAACATGACTCAACTCATTTATCTGAAATTAACATTGTATATTACGATTATAAGTACATACAAAATATGGGATATTTACTTATATAGATATTTACTTTTGATTTTTGTGATTATATTATTTTGTTTAGGATGTATGAAAAATATTTTTATATATGTTCAATAAAATGTTATTTACTTGATGTCAAGACAATTCTTCTGTGATTTAAATTATCACTTTATATGAAATAAATTTTCGTAGTTCTATAATATGAATTTTATTGTCAGACATATTTTATGTATCTTTATATTTATTATATTGTTGGCAGTTATTTCAATAATATATCCTTCACATTGATATAAAACTATATATAGAAAAAAGAATTTCATATTGACCGAGTGCCAGAATTAAATACATGATTTCTTATTTAAGTTCTTGAATCATAACACATATTGAATAAGTTCATTCGTGTGTGTGATGATTGAAAACAAATAAATCAAAGTAATTAATTCGTATTGGTTTAATAAAAAATAATGTCTGTATGTAAGAAAACTGTAATTACCGTATGATTTACTCCCCACATAAAAACAGACAATAACGGTTCATTAGCACGAAATAATTTCACTTTTTGATGTTTCACGCGAATATGTTTCTTTTTCAATTTGCTCAGACCAGTGCTGGGTACGGACATTTTGGATTTGTTTACAAGAGTCGGTGCACAGCCACTTATTAATATTTAAAATAAATTGAACTAATTAAACCATTTTTGGGAACACAAAACCAATTAGACTGCCAAAGAGTTAATAAATAAGAATTTATAGCAGAAACTCAACACCCATCAATAAGGCAAACGGCTTTTTGACAGACGAAATTATAATTTCACAGATAATTAGTTATTAGCAAAGTTGACGGCAGATTAAAAATATCAATAGTTTCAGATATATTAAATTAGAAAATCTTGTAAAACTAAAACCATATTTTGAGATAACTCCTGAAATATTTAAAATAAATAATTGAAAAAAAAAAGAAACAAATAGAACTATGTTAGTATGATTCAATGAATGTTATTTATTCAAATTGACACGATACGTCAAAAGTTTTGTCGTCGACACCCAAATGTCAACTGTCACCTTCAGTTTGAAATTTTTTGGAAATGCTGTCGATGCACATAGTATAAGAAAATAAAAATATTGTCATTTCAGTGTTATTATAAAAATGTCCGGTACATCATCATACAATAATGAGAAAGTGGTGCAAGGAGAAGTTGAATATCCTGCTACCGATCCGGCCTCCGGGGCTTTCTTTCAGCCAGATTACAAGAAGTATATTAAACCTATTCAATCAAATATCAATAGAAAGTTGCACTTAAAATTTTACTTGATTTAATTTTAAAACTTTAAAATACATTTCAATCTTTAAAATTTACCTAGCTTTTGAAAAACTTGCGTAAAATATCTTAAAAATTCTTTCGTTACTCCAATTTATAATTACTGAATATAAATATATGTTTTCATAGAAATGAAGACCTAAAGCTGATGTTGGACGGATCAAAAGACTCTCTCAAACTAGAGGCCATGAAAAGAATTATTGGCTTGATTGCAAAAGGAAGAGATGCATCTGACTTGTAAGATATATTATAATATATTTTCTAAATAACATATCTTCTTGCAAAATATAGTTAACTTTTTATAACTATTTCATTCATTATGTAAATCTTTTAATGAGTATTACTTTTCCTTCCATTCTAATTGTGCTTAAGAATAATTTTCTATTATGTTAAGATTAATGAGAATTAACATTATCTACATAATTAAAATTTATTTTCTTAAGCAATTAGATAAAAAAACTTATGTTCTCTTTACAATTGGTATTATTTGGCTGAACTAATATTTCTTAATCTTATTTACAGAAAATTTATTAAAAAAAAGCTTATATGTTGATTGTTATAATATTGTAAATTGTTATAATGTAATATATAATATTGTAAATTTTTTCTAAAAGATTTCCAGCAGTAGTGAAGAATGTTGTATCAAAGAATCTTGAAGTGAAGAAGTTGGTGTATGTGTACCTGGTCAGGTACGCTGAGGAGCAACAGGACTTGGCGTTGCTATCCATCAGTACATTTCAACGAGCTCTAAAGGTCGGGAAACTAAATTAATGTTCATATAAAATAAAAATATATAGGAATTGATAACCTCCTCTTTTTGTAGTCGGTTAAAAACTGTGATAAGAGTGAATGTAAATAAATTTACTATGAAAATTCAACAGCCAACTTTAAGCAAGCAGAGTAATTTACTAGTGCAAACAACTATAATAATGTCTATCTAAATAGATTATAAAAATATATATTTTTTGATACTTTTATACAGTAGTGGTTATGTTAATAGTAGTAACTAGGCTGTTAGTGATTTAAAAAATGAGGATTACAGCCATAAATTAGGCCTCGGCCTCGAATTTTGCGGGCAGCGGAGCGGCAGCGGGAGCGGCAGGATCTTACGCGTATAATCAAATGGACCGACCCTCGAATACAGCGGTGCCCGCTGCCCGCTAGTTTGGAGAACAGTATGCGTTTCCGTGCCGGCGCCGCTGCCGCTCCGCTGCCCGCAAAATTCGAGGCCGAGGCCTTATATAGATATTGCAACTTTTTTTCTTCAAACTCTTTCATTAACTAGTTCCAAATACAAAACATACATGAATTTAATGCATTTTCTATCTTTCACATGTAATAATGATTTGTATCTGTATTCCAGGATCCAAACCAGTTGATCCGAGCCAGTGCTCTACGAGTCTTATCATCTATCAGAGTGCCAATGATAGTTCCTATTGTAATGCTGGCTATCCGAGATTCCGCTAGTGACATGAGCCCTTATGTTAGGAAAACGGCAGCACATGCTATACCTAAGCTATATAGGTATGATTTCATTTATTTATCTTATATTTAAAGTTTCAGAATAATTCTCATAAATTTCATCATGAACAAAATTAATTATATATTTTTCTTAGTCACTCAGTTGGTAGCTCTTTTGTGTATGAGAATTTATTTTTAGCATAATTTTTGTGTTAAACAAATTAGACAGAATGCAGAGTAATTTTGCCTACTTTAGATGACAGATTTAATTATATTGAAAAAACTCTCAGAAGTACAGTGTATTTGCAAAGATCAACCAGAACATACCTATTTTCTTCAAATCTCTACAGATTTCTTATATTTTTAAGATATCAATTCTTTTGTCGCTCTAAAATTCATTTATTTTATTGAAATTACTTATTAAAAATAATTACACAATATTTCACCAGTCATAAATAATATACCCTACTATTCCTGAAATATCCAATATTTCAGCTTAGATCCAGACCAAAAGGAAGAACTGGTGGCCATAATAGACAAGCTTCTATCGGACAAGGCCCCGCTAGTGGTCGGATCAGCTGCTATGGCTTTTAATGAAGTCTGTGGGGATCGGATGAACTTGATACATAAGAGTTACAGGTATATTCATATTCATATAGACGAAAACTCTTATCATTTGATATATTCACGGTGCGTGTGTCGGGTCCATCGTTGTAGAGAGAGGAGCTTCAACAGTGACTGAGACTTGTGACCCAGGTGTAGGTTTAAGAGACTATCTAACGCGCGTTAAACGCTCACCTCCACCGTCCAAGCTCATCTCTCTACCAAATTTGAAAAGAACCTACTAGGGCTGCCTTCGAAGTATGTTCCAAGAATGCATTAATATTAGTTCTGGACAAACCCAAGTCTTTTAGTAGGTTGTAGAGAGATTTCGCTGTTATACCTCTCGCTCCGACATCTACCGCGACCAAATCAACGACGATCCTATTTCGAGTTAGTTTGTTAGTGAGCTCGTAATATTTATTGACATTGATGGCATGGTCTTTGGGGATGTTGGTTTCCCAATAAACCGTAAGCTCTATCATCACAACGCGCTTTAAAATTCGCTAATACATAAATAAGTCTGGTCTGGAGGCCGACGCACAAATAAATATATGAAGATTTCTTGGAGAATGTTTTTAAGAATTTAGGTCGTTGTTTCTAGAATAAACTTTATTTAAAATTATTACTACTGATTAGGGGCCGTCCATAAATTACGTCATCGAGTTTTTCAGATTTTAGACCCCCCTACAATCATTCTATCGTCGTTTCTTAACGACCCCCCCCCCCTCTCCCAAAATTGACGTCATTACCAGTTTGACAAAATTAAAACGTTAAAAGGTTATTTTATCTGTAGTTATTACTGTATTTGTGTACATCTATGTTGCATTATGTATGTTTATTATGAGTTATTTTAGTATTGTACGCGCCTTAGCCGCCTCTCACATTTGCAGTCTCACTTACTAGGTGCTGGAAGAAATTTCTTTTTAGAAATAATCTTTTTGTACGTGAACAATCCCTACTAATATTATAAATGCGAAAGTAACTCTGTCTGTCTGTCTGTCTGTCTGTCTGTCTGTCTGCTACGCTTTCACGCCTAAACCACTGAACTGATTTTAATGAAATTCGATACAGAGATAGAGTTGACCTTGAGAAAGAACATAGGATAGTTTTTATCCCAGACTTTTGAAAGGTTCTCTTGGAAACGCGATATAACCGAACTCCACGCGGCGAAGCTGCGGGCGGAAAGCTAGTAAACTATAAATGAATAAATAAGAATGACGTCAATTTCGAAACACCCCCCCCCCTCTATCATTTACCGTCATCCGTAGACCGGTCCCCTCCTCACTAATTTAGAATGACGTAATATATGGACGGCCCCATATACTACTAGAGAGGATTTAGTAATTTAATAAGTCTTCAATTCTTCTAGGAAGCTATGTCTGTTGCTAGCTGATGTTGATGAGTGGGGCCAGTTAGCACTCCTGAATGTTCTAACATACTACGCTAGGACATGCTTCCCTGACCCTAACAATGAGGCAAGTATATTATGAACAATATTTTGAATGATATCCTTACTTAATTTAGTTGCAGTCTTGTTTTCTATTTGTAGTCATAATCAAAGAAGTTCATTTGATACATATACTAGTAAAATTAACAAATTATTTTAGTGAATTCATTGATCAAGTAATGTGTTCAAGTATCAAAAATTGGTGTTAAACATCAAATTAGTATCGTTCAATTAGATAAATAGACTTAACGTAGTTAAATGTTAAAATTAATCATTTTAATATGGACTGACTGACCAATAAATTTTAATAATGTATAGTTAATTGTTAGTATGATATTACATAGATTCTCATAGCATCTTCAAACTTCTACAATCTATCCCAATTATCTGGAAAATGGCCTTATATCATATACTTAAATATATGATTAATAAACATACATGCAGTTATTGGTAGCTCTAATAACCAAGTTACTATCCATTGAACATGATAGTTGACAAAATCACTCTTATTATTATGACTACAAACTATATTTTAACTTGTATTTCCAAATTACCCTACTAAGTTCTACCAAAAGCGCTCTTATTATTATACTAATAGAGTATATTTTCATCTGTATTTCCAGAGTTGTTCCAGCGACAGTGACAATTCGTCGGGTCGTCATTCCCCTCGCGTGGAGGCAGATCTACGTTTAGTTCTGAGAGCAGCTAAACCACTGTTACAGAGCAGAAACTCCGCTGTAGTACTTGCAGTCGCACAATTGTTCTACCACTGCGGACCAAGTTAGACTGGTTATATATTTTGACCGTTAATGGCCACTTTGACCATGAAAACTGAATATAGTTCTTATTGGGATGGATTTAGAATTGTTTATGGTAGGGATTTATTGATTTTTGATAAATAAGTAAGGAATTAGAATTCCAAGTTATGTTCAATTTCCAATTTACAAACACACAAGTCGCGTCGACCAATTACTTTCCCGCGTAAAAATGAACAAACCAAACGTCATCGCTTTAACGACACTTCAGGCGTTTAACACATTTAAAGTTTTCCTTCAATTTAAATGTGTGTTTCCTTTATATAATACGTGTATATATTTAAAAAAAACTCCCTACTCCATACTTTTTTACAAAAAATAAAGTCCCATAGTATATTTGAAAATTATTAGTATCATTTAAATGAATATAATACGCCTAAATCTTAGATCTCATTATATATATAGTTTTTCATGTATATTTATATCTCCACCACTGTTTCTTTACATAACCATTTACCCCCCTTCCCCTATAGTCCAGGAGTTCCCCCCAGTGTCCAAGTCTTTGGTCCGTCTTCTTCGCGGGCCGTGTGAGGTGCAGAGCGTAGTGCTCAATACTATCGCCTCACTGACAGACCACAACCCGGTAATATATACAACACTAATAATACTGTTTCTTTATTTAATGTGACATACAAATATTATTGTATTTTTTTAATATATATAAATCTTTCGATAGTTCGACATTATATAATATGTGTTCGACTTAGTAACACATGTTCCATAAATACGTAATTTTTTTCTTACAAATGAAACAGAGTTACGTCATTCATTTTAGAAACTTTTCAAGCTCACGCTTACATTCAGAATTCGAATATAATATTCAAATTCGTATGTAGTTTTTGAGCTTTATGCCAAAATAACAAAATAAACTGATGAAATATTAGTTTAATATATATTTATATGTATCTCAGAAACTGTTCGAGCCGTACCTCAAGTCATTCTTCGTGCGTAACTCGGACCCTACTCACATCAAGCTGTTAAAGCTGGAGGTCCTCACTAACCTAGCTAGTGAGAGCAGCTCGGCCGTGCTGCTGCGGGAGTATCAAAGCTATGTTAGCTGTGGGGACGCCAGCTTGGCAGCTGCTACCATACACGCCATCGGCCGACTGGCGCTACGGGTCACTTCGCAAACAGATACTTGCCTACATGGGCTATTACAGCTACTGTCTAGCAAAGATGGTACGTATATACATACTAATATTATATATGCGAAAGTAACTCTGTCTGTTTGTCTGTCTGTCACGCCTAAACCACTGAACTGATTTTAATGAAATTTGGTACAGACATAGAGTTGATTTTTAGAAAGAACATAAGGTTTTTATCCCAGACGTTGGAAAGGTTCTCTTGGATGTGATATAACCGAACTCCATGCGGGCGAAGCTGCGAAGGAAAGCTGGTATATGATATTTGAGAGTTTGTAATCTAACCGTGATTTTGTTATGTATTTAGTCACAAAGTTATCGATCATTTATAAAAGGTGAAGAATTTATTAAGCATACAGTGTAATTGTATAGTAGTGTTTTATCAGTGTTTCATCTGTACGGAATATCAACCCTTGTTTGACCGTTCATACGATACCGTACATACTAGTATTATTTATTTATGTACCAAAAAGAAAAAAAAATAGTTACAATTAAAGTATTATAAAAGAAATGTGATGTACAAACGATAACTTATCTCTTAAAAGAGATCTCTACCAGAAACCCTTTTGATAGAGGAAATGCGAAGAGAAACGTGGAATAGGTAGTGTAGTATATGTAACTATACAATATATATAATACACTGTCTCACGTACCCCACTGGAGGGGGTGGCATGCGCTTGGCAGTCTAACGAATAGCACGGAGCAGAACGGGGACGTGCGTCGCTCTAGGCGGGGTAGTAGTGAGACAGGGACTAGCTATACTTACATGTAGGACCAGGGATCCTACAAGTACAATAAAAAGTATTATTATAATAGTATATGGCTATGTTTGTATGTTTCAGAGTGGGTGGTGTGCGAGGCGGTGGTTGTAGTGAAGCGCGTGGTGTGTGGCGGGGCGAGCTCCGCGCGGGCAGCAGTCAGCAGGGCTGCCAAGCTACTCAGATCTGACCGGTGAGATATATATACATACATACTACTAGCTGACACGGAGAACTTTGGTTTGCCATATAAAAAGTGGGGGTTGGTGATAAAAAAGTAAAAAAATTTTCGTCAAAAAATTAAAAAATATATATGAAGGTTTAAACAACCCTTATTATTAAGGAGTATGAAAAATATATGTTAGCCGATTCTATATGCTTATACATAGAGATGATATATGTATAAATGTGTTAATGGTTAGGTATTAGAAATACACTAGATATAGACCGACGTAAAAAGTGAACAATATTAATATTACCAGAGCACAATAAAATAAGAAGAATTACAGTTTCATTCAGTCTGACTCATCCAATAAAGAACTTATTATAGTTATACATTACCAATGTATTGTTATATCATTCTCTCTCTCTGTCTAATTCTCTCTCTCTCTCTCTGCAGCCTGGCGGGCGGTGCTCGCGCGGCGGCCGTGTGGCTGGTGAGTGAGCACGGGTCACAACACGCGCGCGCCGCGGCCGTGCTCGCTCATATGGCGGGGAGCTTCGCTGAACAGGTGGGACAAGAGATACTCCTATAGTTAGAAACACTGTTATATACATATACTAGAAGACCCGGCGAACTTCGTATCACCCTATAATCAAGAAATATCTGTTACGTTTTTATATTTATATTTTTGGAGTCTACCTATTAAAGCCATAAATCTCCGTGTTCTGAAGTGCGACAGAATGATTGACATATTAGTTAGTTGTCAAATCTAATGTCAAAAGAAAAGTTTGTATCAACAACTACTAATAAATTAAAAATTAAGTAAAAAAGCATTGTCCAGCGGACAAAATTGTGAATCTAAACAATTCCCAGATCCCCTTGTACAAACACAAAAAATTTCATCAAAATCGGTCCAGTCGTTTGAGAGAAATTCAGTGACATACACACTCACAGAAAAATTACATATATAAAAATATATACAGGGTGACTGGTGAATAACTATCAATATTTAAGGAGAATACTCGGTACATGATTCTCATTCGAATTATGTAAAAAAAATAGGCACTTAATTTTTGACAAAATTTCCGTATAAATAAATAAAGTGTTGATACGTTCCAAGTGTTCCAAGTGTGGACGCGTGCGGCGGCGTGCTGATACAACACGACGCCGCCGCACTCGTATGTGTGAGTGTGGGTGTATACCTAATCTGTAGGGTGTTTACACGATGCGTAATTAATTACATAACTTTTGGTTAACTTTACTTAGAAGTTTATTAATATTTATGTTATATTAATTTTTATTTCGTCATATATGATCGTCCAATATCACGTCCTCAAGTATCGACAGTAATTCACCAGTCACCCTGTATATGTCGGAGCGTAAGGTGGATGCTTCATGGCGGTCTTTGTTTTTCATATCCATCATAAGCGTTGTGACGTTTGGAACTCATAAATAAAAGCACACTTGTATTTAACACTATATTATAACTAGATTCCTTTACAATTTCATTTAAAATAACATTCTAATAATAAGATGAAAATGGATTATGAGCCAATAGGTTAAGTTTGTTTGACGGTCGTATAGCATTCTGGCCGTCCTCACATTCCGTGACAATTACTACTCTATTCAGCACGGGCTATAATTTCTATGGAACAAATCAAATGAATTCCCTGAGAAATTTATTATTAAACTCAGCCAAAATCGACGCGCTGTCATCTTTATATATATATAATTCTTCTGTGAGTGTGTATGTCACTGAACTTCTCTCAAACTACTGGACCGATTTTGATGAAATTTTTTGTGTGTGTTCAAGGGGATCTTGGAATTGTTTAGATCCACAATTTTGTCCGCTGAACATCTTGTTTTTAATTAATTTTTAATGTATTAGTAGCTGTTGATACAGACTTTTTTGACATTAGATTTGACAACTAACTAATATGTCAATCATTCTGTCGCACTTCAAAACACGGAGATTTATGGCTTTAATAGATGAACTCCAAAAATATAAATAAAAAAATTGTAACAGATATTTCTTGATTATAGGGCGATACGAAGTTCGCCGGGTCTTCTAGTGTATATAAGTTGGTACAAAAATAAATAAATAATATATATATACATTATACAATCTATAATGATATCTCTACCGCAGGATGAGCTGGTGAAACTCCAGCTGTTATCTCTATGTGTGAAGCTGTGGGTGTCTCAGCCGGCCACGCGGCCAGTGACCCAGTACGTGTTGTCCCTCGCGAGGTATGACGTCAGCTATGACGTCAGAGACCGCGCGCGCTTCATCCGCGGCTGTCTGGAAGGACCTCTAGCGCGATACGTCACGGATATCTTCTGCCCCGACACGCCAAAGCCCAGCGTGCAAGCTAATAATAAAGGTATTTAGCTATTACTAATACTTTCATATTACTGTGTTATATTATTATTAACACGATAAGCTTGGGTTGTATGTAACGGAATATTTGAGCACGATTTTTACCTCTTTCCAGAAGTCTAATCAATTTAAAACTTTGCATATGTATCAAAGACCGATGACAATGCAGTAATTTGATATCAGTTTTTCATTTAAATGTATTCCTTTATAAATCTTTTGTAGTATAGTGAGAGAGATAGAGCTAGTGCGCAGTCGGCGCATTCTGCAGTTTAGGCTTACTTTTTAAAATTAATTGAACTAAAACGTTGGGAGTATGTAGTTTAAATGATAAAAAATGCGTAGTAATCTTAAAATATTAGCTTCATTTAAATGTTTTGCATAAGTTAGATCTCATTAAGGTGTTAAAATCTTATTATAATCACCCGTGTCTTTGTATCTCATCTTACTTATCGTTTGTGATAAATACAAACTTGAACAGTACTCTGTCATCATTTACCATCTACGACTTTTTTCTCTTACTATCAATACAACATCTATCTAGTTTAATGTCCATATTTTGAATGTGGTTAAAAATAATACAATAAACGGCTAAAAAGTAAGCAAATAGTAATTAGTATTTGCTTACTTTTTAGCCTACATATAGTTTCTTTCAGTATATTTTATACATATATATGTAATATCAAATCGAAGTCATTCTGTTTATATTCCAGAGCGCACCCAGTACACGGTGGGTTCATTATCTCAGTACATCGGGTCGTGCGCGTGTGGTTACCGACCGTTGCCTACAGCGCCCTCTGCCGACACGTGTGCCGCGCTCAGGGACTCCGCCCCCGCTGAGGCGGAGCCCGACAGAGAGGCCGACCAACAGGTATACGAATATCAACAGTCCCTTACATTTTGGAGTAATATTTGTAGCTCAGTCTAGTCTTTATTACCTATTAAGATCTAAGACCTTTGCGAGTATTCATTTAAATGAAAGTATTATTTTTCTGATATATACAGGGTGACTGGTGAATTACTATCAATATTTAAGGAGAATACTTGGTACATGATTCTCATTCGAATTATGTAAAAAAAATAGGTACTTAATTTTTGACAAAATTTCCGTATAAATAAATAAAGTGTGAACACGTTCCAAGTGTTCCAAGTGTGGACGCGTGCGGCGGCGTGCTGATGCAACACTATGCCGCCGTGCGCGTGTGTGTGTGTGTGTGTGTGTATACCTAATCTGTAGGGTGTTCATACGATGCGTAATTAATTACATAACTTTTGGTTAACTTTACTTAGAAGTTTATTAATATTTATGTTATATTAATATTTATTTTGTCATATATGATCGTCAAATATCACGTCCTCAAGTATCGATAGTAATTCACCAGTCACCCTGTATAATGATTACGGTTGCTGAAAAGTAACTTAAAAGTCAGAATGTAGTTGTATACAAGAAATAAAGGACGCGTAGTATATACGAATAATAAATAAATAAATAATAAATAGTTTATTCAAGTTAAAACACCATTACAAATAAAAAACATATAAAAAGTAACAGTGAACAGAAACAAAACAAACATTAAAAATAATAATAAGATAAAAAACCACCACCATTTTAAAATTAAAATTATTTTAATCTTATCGAGACAGAATTGAGGTGTTTTAACCCAAAATGGCTGCAACTCAGCGTACTGCTGCAATAAATTTGAATTGATTACAGCGCTGGTTTTCAGTTGCCACCTGTTAATGTTTTGGACCAGTAGCGGTACAGCATCTATTTAAGGTTTTTACCTAAGGGAAAATAAAATAAACAAATAAAAAAGTAGTTGATTTAGATTGTAGAATGAAGTCTTTGCTAAACGTGAAATTTGAAAGTCAAACTAGACATACATACGATAGTTTTCGCCTCTAGATAACGCTTTTTTGTCTTTCTAATAAATATGCTCTAATCTTCACTTTAAAATTAAATAATGATTGCGAACTTTGTAATGGGGGAGGTATGATATTCCAAATTTTGCTAGAGGCGTAGCTGAAACTGCCGCGGAATGCAGCTGTCTTATGCCTCGGTACGGAGATCCGATAGGCTGAACCTCTTATTCCATATTTCTTTCCTTCTCGTGCCCATTTGATTTTTTAGAGAAGGTAATCAGGCTTTTTAGAGGGTGCAATACTAAAGAGCATTGTGGCTAAATGTAAGTCTCGTCGAGCTGACATGTTAAGCATACTTGCATTATTAAGATATGTACTGACATGTGCTCGGGTAGGAACCGGAAAACAAAACCGTGCGCAAGCATTTTGTACTCGCTTTATGACAAATAAACCATAACAACGCTCACACGTCTCTTAACCACGCATATTTCCGCACATTCTAAATTAAGCCATATCACCTTGAACATATGTACTATGAATAATATGTACTAATAATATCTGTAATATTTCCAGAAGAACAAGAACTTCTACTCGGAGCCTGGCTCCAGTTCGTCTTCATCTGAGTCCAGCAGTGAGGAGTCTACAGACGAGTGAGATGAACTGACATATAACATAATATAATACTTATAACATATTATAAGTCCTATATCTAAATTACTTGGTGACATTCGTTTTTAAAATAATTATTACTGTCCATTGACTCTCATATCAATTACTATGTAATTATACTCGTATATCATATGGAACTAAATAATCCATATAAAGTATCTGCTATTGTATATACATAGGTGTACAACTTTGCTTCCGCCGTTTTGCAATAGATGGTTGTAGCGGTAAGTGGTAGTCGAAATAAATAGATCGTAGATGTCATACAATAAGCTTAGGCATTTGTAAACATAACGCCATCGAAATATTAGTCGATTTGTGTCTGCATCATAAAGTTATTCTCGATTAAACATGTCAGCTTACGAGCCAAATTCTCGTCATTTGCGGGAGGTTTTAATTTTCTGCTTTAATATGAAGAAATCTGCGGCTGAGGCTCATCGAATGCTCTCAAATACCTATGGTGAGGCTGCTATTAGTAAAAGAACGTGCCGAGAGTGGTTTCAACGCTTCAAGAACGGTGATTTTGACGTCGAAGACCGGCATGGCGGTGAAAGAGAGAAGGTTTATGAAGATGCAGAATTGGAGGCAATACTTGATCAAGACTCGTGTCAAACGCAACAAGAATTGGCAGGATCATTGGGAGTGATGCAACAAGCCATTTCAAAACGCCTGAAAGTCATGGGAATGATTCAGAAACAAGGAAATTGGGAGCCGTACGAGTTGAAGCCGAGAGATGTTGAACGGCGTTTGTTTGCTTGTGAATAGCTGCTTGCAAGGCAAAGACGGTAAGGATTTCTGCATCGCATTGTGACTGGGGACGAAAAATGGGTTTATTGCGTAAATCCCAAGCGCAGAAAATCATGGGGATATCCCGGCCATGCTTCCACGTCGACGGCCAAACCGAATATTCACGGTTCCAAGGTATGCTCTATATTTGGTAGGACCAGCTCGGCGTAGTGCATTATGAGTTTTTAAAACCGACTGAAGCAATCACAGGCGATAGTTATCGAAAGCAATTAATGCGTTTGAGCCGAGCATTGAAAGACAAACGGCCGCAATACAACGAGATACATGATAAAGTGATTTTACAGCACGACAATGTTCGACCCCATGTTGCGAAAGTGGTCAAGACATACTTGGAAACGTTGAGATGGGAAGTCCTACCCCACCCGCTGTATTCTCCAGACGTTGCTCCCTCGGACTATCACTTGTTTCGATCAATGGCACACGGCCTGGCCGACCAGCACTTCCGGTCTTATGAAGAAGTTAAAAATTGGATCTATTTGTGGATCGCTTCAAAAGATGACCAGTTTTTTCAACGCGGGATTCGTATGCTGCCCGAAAGATGGGAGAAAGTAGTGGCCAGCGATGGACAATACTTTGAATCATAAATGTATAACCAGTTTTTTACAATAAAGCCTCGAATTTCGGAAAAAAACGGCGGAAGCAAAGTTGTACACCATACATATGTATATAATATATCTATATATGTTAATATATTTAATAAATTTTCAGCACAAATTAAACATTATTTACATCTATATAATTATATCATAATTTAATAAATCACTTATAATTATCATTAACAATAACTTTATATAAATTATTATCTTTTATAAATTATTTTTCTTCTTTGTTATAGTGAGGATTCCAATGAAGCGGACAACAAACAAGAAAAAACTAAACAAGTCAATAATTACAAGTAAGTCTGATAATGTTGACTTTTATATACACTTTAATTATATACATAGTACACACTAATATTATATTTAAATTCCTTGAACTAAGTCACATTTTCAAATGTCTAATTTATTTGTCATTGAATAATTTAAATAATTAACTGAACTAATTGTTACAATAATAATATTTTCACTTAATTATTAATTTATATTTGAGGATTACATTCCTAATTCCATATATGTTGTTTTTGTGTATTACCTATACTTTAACGGTATTGTTAAATAATATAATATCAAGTGTAATGTAGGTTGATGACATTATTATATAAGGTTCCGTCATTCAGTCTTGCTACTTAACACAATATATATATATATATATATATATATATATATATATATATAACTATTACATATATTACGAATTTACTATAGTTTCCTTCATATATAATTATATATCATATTATCATATCAATGTTTCAGATCGTCTTCATCGGGCACCAGTGATTCTGAGTCAGACAGTTCGTCCTCACATAGTGACGAAGACTCAGAAACAGATCAACAAGACGGAGAAGAGGGGGAGGATGAAGAAGTAGGAGGGATCATAACAAACATTATGTAGTACTAGCTTTCCGCCTGCAGCTTCGCCCGCGTGGAGTTCGGTTATATTGAGTTCCCAAGAGAACCTTTCAAAAGTCTGGGATAAAAACTATCCTATGTTCTTCCTCAAGTTCAACTCTGTCTGTACCAAATTTCATTAAAATCAGTTGAGTGGTTTAGGCGTGACAGACAGACAAACAGAGTTACTTATTTATAATATAAGGATGTAGTGCATGTAGAGTCCATTTGAATGAAAGTGATATACTCTAGCTGTGGTCTAGTTACTACAGTTCGAACATAGGCTGGTTAATGGGAAGTATCACCCTCTCACAGAAGATCGGCGTGAATTAGTCTTTAATAGTGTTATATAGCGTCCGATGAGTGAGAGAGAAGGTTGCCCTTTTTCTTTCCCACAATCAACATTCGCAACATCTTTAATGTTACGAATGTCTATGGGCGACGCTAACTACCTTCTATCAAGTAGGCCGTCTGCTCATTGAAGTTTTTGATATTAAAAAATGAGTAATGTTACCGACATTGAGGAAGATAATCCTCATTATCATTATTTATAACACCAATAAGTATTTCTGGATATATGTATGTATTTCTTATTCTGGTATACCTCAAGGCTTTCGTTCAGATTGTCATTTCTTCTTAATTTTAGAGTTTTTGTTTAAAGCTTTAAGCATTCCATTTCATGTTACAAAATCTATAACATTGATTATTTGTTTTCGATGACTTTTAAATTATCACCACTAAAAAACTTTATTTCTGATGTGATGCAGTTTTTCTGATATACATATAAACATTTTTTTTTTATATGAATAAAGAGAAAGTTCTTTGTAAATTATTTTAAGGACTTAAATATTTTTTTAAAGAAAAATATTCATCATATAAAATCTATCAAAAATAAAAATATACGCTGTATTCATAAGTTTTTGTTATTTTCATTCTCAATTAATTGCCCCACGACAATACGTTCCTCAATTTTCATAATATATCTCCATAGACTATACAACATCTTCATTTATTCCAGCCACCGAACAAACAGGAACCGGAAGTCAAAGATAAGAACGACAAATCTAATCTGGAGCTGCTCTTGGAGCTAGACGAGGTGGCGAGTTCTTTACCCACCATGACGCCCACGTGTGGAGGGTTCCTGTCACCCACCACACCAACAGAAAACGAGGGTACGATTGAATCTCTAAACAACGACCAATGACGTATTACTTACTAAATCAATCGGTTTGATCGCTTTAAAATGATATTCATAATTGGTTTTATGTAAAACTATTTTTAATTTTCGTAAAAATGCAAAAGTTATTCCAAATAAATATGATTTTTTTTATCCAGTATCGAAGTCCCGTCATGTTAGTTTTCATTGTTGGGGTTGATAGAGAAATAATAAATAAATTTTGTTATTAAAGAACTATACCATTATGACGTTATAAAAATAGTGACCTATAATGGCGTTTATAGTGACGTGATTCTTATTTAAATGACGTAAATTTTTAATTGATTATTATAATTAATAAAATTTTGTCTATAGGAGTTTGTATTAAATATATTAATAATATAGTTTTACAGTAAGTAAAAATATATTATTTCTCATAACCCAATTGTATGTAGTGTTTTAAATGTTATTTATTCATACATTCAGTTTTAAGACATCACTTTACATGTATTGAAATATTTTTAGCAATTATTCTGGTCGAATCTTCTATTATGCTCTAATTTATGCAACTAGTTACATAATAACACATTAATCATTACGATAAGTAACATACGCGTCTATTTGAGCCCAAATCACTATGAACTTCTTATTTTATTTTATTGTAGGGAGCACTTGGATTAATCGCTTTTGAGTTGTATGGTTCGTTGCTACTGTACTGAATTGTTGTTTGAACTAAATTATGTAATACATTTCATTCAAGTGAAGATTGTTCTTTATGAGAAATAAAGTTCTTTAACCACAAATTTTCCAATATCTCTCACTACGTCTTGTTCTTGTTAACAAATAACATATAGAATCACTTATTACGTCTTAGTTTTTTAATATAACTTTAAACTCCTTATTACAGATGATTCCATAGTTCCCGTGGGTCCAACCCACGTGCCAGTCGAGGTAGAGCTCGTGTCCCGTGTACGGTGGTCCGGCCTGGGGGTCACTCGACGATGGTTACGGTCGCCACACTTACACTCGGATAAGATGGTCGCCGTGCAACTGAAATTTACTAACCACGGACACGAAGATGTTGAGGATATACGATTGGAGAAAAAGGTTGGAATAAACATACATACACACACACGCACACACACACGAAGACGTAGAGAATATACGAATTGAGGAAAAGGTTGAAATAAATACTAGACCTCTTATTAGTATAGGTTTCCTTATAGTACTAAATACGGACTATGTAATTGTTATGATTTAAAGTACTTCATAGAAATATGTATGTACCTAAGTGGTATAATAATACCACCATTATAGAAATTAAATTTTATAATGGATTTCTTATGTGCTGTACATTGTAAGGGTTTTGCTTTCACTTGTTTATAATTTGCGGACCTGAAGGTTTTGAATAGTAGAAAATCAGTAATGAATAGAAATATTCTTCAAGATTATTTTGAGATAGTTTGTTTGCAATCTATTATTTCCTTTCATATCACTAGGTGGAGTTACAGTCAGCATATTTATATATATTCTCCACACAGTACTCAAGATTATAATTCGTCTAACTAATTAAAACGTTGACATTGGCAGAATATCAATTATTTCAGTGCTTATGTGTCATAGGATATAAATATATATATATATATATACATCCTGGAACATGTTATGTTCCAGGATGTTCCCCCTTCCCGCTCTATACAGCCGTTCCCGGTGATTCCCCGCCTCGCACCAGGCTGTTCCTCCACCGGCCTACTGGGGCTGGACTTCGGGGACACCATACACCCTATGGACCTTACATTCATTAGCTCCAACGGTCAGTTAGATACTACATATATAACACGTACCAATAGACATAATATATGGAACAAATGCTTCATTAGGACAAGAATAGAAGCTGAGATGCCCAGAATATTCTATAAGTAGCGATTTTACCTTAAATTATGTCGATTTTCTACCCATTCTAAATTTCTATTTGATTGTTGATTAGTAGGGCCCGGATTAATATGTAAATACACATTTTTAAATTACGCGATTTTTGGTCTAGAATGTGTTTTTTACATGGATTGTCATATTTAGACTGTGAAAAAACAACTTTTATTTTCCATATTTTACCATATTTCAAAGTTAAGTCCATATTTTAAAAGAAAATGTCACAATCATCCATATATTCATAAAATTTACGTTCCTGCCACTAATATTTTGGATAAAAATAAAGGATTTAATACGCTAAAAAAAAATAACAAAATTCTGTGCGAAAGTTTCGAGGGCTGTAGACATGGTTTACACAATTACTGAATTAAGCATGTTTAAGTCTGCACCCATCACGTCATGTGACTTGAGATGTAATGCTATATGTCGAACAAATAATCAGTTTTCATTTTGATATATTAAAGAAGCACGTCATTGTGTATTGCAACCAATTTGATAAGACTAGTGTAATGGAAGATGAATAAAACTGTTATTTTTGTTGAAATAAACATTTCGCTACTTTTTTTCATCGTTTTTTAAAAGTAACTTAACGATGTACGTCACGAGTGACCCTTTTTTACAATGGTTAATTATGAAAGTATTTAATTTTATACTCCATATTTTTTCCATATTTTTGATTTTTTCGTCCATATTTTATGTACATATTTTAGATTTTAAGTACATATTTATCCGGGCCCTATTGATTAGAGTATTGAATCGATATTGCTTTTATGTTAGAGAGAGGAGCTTGTACGGTGGAGGTGAGCATTTAACGCGTTTTAGATAGTCCTTAAACCTACACGTGGGTCACAAGTCCCAGTTACTGTTGAAGCTCCTCTCACTACAACGATGGACCCGACACACGCACCGGGAATACATTGAATGATGAGAAGTTTCGTCTGTATATATTCGTATATATTCCAGGGTCTGTGTGCGTGTCACTGAGCCCGCCGGTGGGCGAGTTGGTCCGCGCGGTGCGAGTGTCGCCCTCTGTGTGGACCAACACATGCAACGCTTTGCGAGGAATGAACGAGGTGAGGCAGTTAGGGAACGATAATAACTTATACGACATTAATATTCTTTTACCTGGCAATTTCCCAACTTTAGTCAGGGTTTGCCTTACATGTTGTGAATAATTTTGGCTAACTGTTTTTACGACCGGCCGCCTGCCTGACATCAACCCTCTTTGGGAATAATACGACATTAATATTGTAAGAGTTAAAATTCTGGAGGCTAATATAGATCTATGTATGTATATAGTATCCTTTTTTTTATGATACTTACTATTATAGTTATTAAACTGTGTTAAAAAAGGTGAGACAAAGTCTGTATTCTGTGTTGTTTTTGTAGTTCTTGAGTAATGTTGAATATTTGCAGATTTTCTCTATACAATTATATTAATTTTTTACTAGTTACATTATAAAAATCATATTTTCCTTTTAATGTATTTCATTCATTTTTTTTGTTCGTGTGTCCTTCAACTAATCTTTAACGGCCTGTATGAATTTCCCTATTATTGCCAGATAACTCACTTATAATATTTTAGTCATGTTATAACAAAACACGAGCAATCCTTACAAAGTCAAGGGTAGCTGTTAATAAATAATTCTATAATTCACAGTGCAGCAAAGAAACCTCAAACCCTGGGGCTGCTAACATCAGTCGGCGGGTTCTAGAGGCGGCTAACTTGTGTCAACTTGAAGGTTCTGAAGAATATAGGTTCAGCGGAAGAAGTATGAGCTCCCGCTCCTTAATACTTGTATCTGTGACAGAGGTCAAGGAAAACCGGTTGATTGTGGTTGTCCGCTGCGAAAATATCGCACTAGCCAACCTTATGGCCGGACATATAGCGAGCGCTCTTGATGGATAGAAGATTCATAAAATTATACGGCTTACGGTCGATATTTATATGTGAATTTCTTATAATAATTAAATTTTCTGACGATACTTTTATTGTACTGAAAGCATATTTGTGTTATATCCATTCAGAATGTTACAAACATCTTCGAGAATTACTAATAAATGGTGAATTAAAATGCAATTCTGTAAAAGATATCAGAATGTCCAATATTTAAACTAAAGTAGTTACATTTGTAAACTTTTTCTCAATGTATTTCAGCACATAAATATTGTTATCATTGAGCATACATTTATAAACACTGTAATATGCTATATATTATAAGCAAAAGGTTTTAATGTTTTTCTTCTAGTCAGAAAATACAAACGAATCATTTCGAAATTTTTATTAAAACTATCGTCATGGAAGTCTTTAGATTAAGATTTATATAAAATAAAATATATCACATAAACTGATAAGCACCTAACGTTATACAGCATGTATAAATATACGATTTACAAAATAATACCATTTGTTTCATTGAAAAAAATAAAATATTAATTATGAGAAAAATCATATCAAAACGAGCAGCTTACTTAAATTAAGATAATTATAGACTCACAAACATAATTCACACATTCCGGCATACAAACTGAACACCCTATATAATGTTACATACAGATCTATGTTATATATATGTATATATCTCAGTGTTGTGGGTAGTGACCCCAAGCGGGCGGCATGCCAATACTATAAGGATTGTTCATGAGTATCCTTGGCCGTTTGGGGTCTTCGTGCATCTGTTGCGGATGCTGCATCTCGTGATGTACAGGGTGTTCAACCGGTCGATCTTTCTTTGTCAGTCTCCTCTTATTAGTGGGGCAGGTATCTTGCGTGATGGTTCTCTCAGCCCATAGTCTCTGTATAAGCGCGGCTCTTGCTTGTAAGCCGAGCTGATCGTCCTCATGTTTTCTAGACGGCGGGGAATTGGCGACTCTCTGCTTCATAGCCTCGAGGCGCTCCTCTGCTTGAGTCATATCCACTTGAGGCATGTTATTCTCATTACATATGTTATGTAGCACGCAGCAGGCGCGAACCATCTTGGCGACTGTGGGCGGGTCGAACTGTTTGTTGCTGGTCGCCTGCAGACACTTCCAGCGCGCCTTCAGCTGTTTGATGGTCTCTGTGACGGAGGAGTGAGCCTGGCCGTGCAGGTTCGTGTAATACTTCTCGGGTGACATGGATGATTTCTTCGTCATCTTCGGTACGGGAGCCATCAGGTATGGTTTCTGTGAGTAATGCGGCCCACCTGTAATACAACAAAACATATATTGAACTACGCTGGTATACAAAAATGCTCAAACTGGAAAAGCATTGAGGCAAACCTTTATTATGAATCTTTAGTATGACATATAATATTCTTGAGGAGCTAGAGTAACTATTTGACGAGAGTCTAACTCCGCCCAACATGGACCCATACATTAAAACACTCATCTATACTCAACTTTATTTCATGTACATTGGCAAAAAAACAAGAAATTTTAAGCATATACCAGTTCCTGCTTAAATTCTTCGACATAAACATATAACAAGCCACAAACTTGGTTATTCACCCCTTCTATTTCTATATATAATAATTGTTAATAATACCTAACAGCCAACACAGGTCTCGTGAGTTATTCAGACTGACCAGGTCTACAGTGACCGCGTGTCTCGCCAACAGAGCGTCGTGTGAGTAAGAGCCGCCTCCCTCCGAACACACACTCAGGATACGTTGACGACTGTCGCTGATCTGAAACACGGACATACATATAGTATACTAGGTTTCCGCCTGCCCGCGTGGTTATATCGGTTATATCGCGTTTCCAAGAGAACCTTTCAAAAATCTGGGATAAAAACTATCCTATTCTTTCTCAAGGTCAACTCCATCTCTGTACCAAATTTCATTAAAATCAGTTCAGTGGTTTAGGCGTGAAACAAAGGAAGTGAACGATAAATGTGTCTAGAACTATGGGATGGAAACAATTATTAATATAGTTTTATATAAATATTAATTATCTTGTCTTAATTATTGATGATGTTCACCTTACTATATAATTTAATGGCTTGAGAAACACAAAAGATAATATTGATATTTAAAATTTTTGCATTAACACATTTAAATGAAAATAAGTTCTTCCTATACTAGGTGTTTTTTATTATTTTATATCTACATGTCTCAACATTTCATGTTTCGAGAAAACATTTTCATCTGGTCCATGAAAATACCTTACTGTATAGAACCAAAACTTCTGGATCATGTACAAATAAAATAATAAAATTTCACATAGTATCAAAAAAAAAGTTTTTATTGAAAAAACCAATACCAACCAATACTGTGTGACACCTTTTTCTAAACTATATTTATCTAATTGTACCTTCATATTTTTCTTATAGATACTGCAATAACTTAAAGGAAACTCAGTCATGGTCATTGATTTAATTTTGATTCAAAGTATCCTAATCACACAAAAACTAAGTGACAAAATTCAATATATATGTGTGAATATAAAATATTTGAATTTCATTCCCCTATATACATGTACTTTACAAGTTCACAAGACAACCTTTCTACGACCCCATGATAATTATCCATTGAATCTATTGATAAAATTGCTTTAAAGCTTAAAACATTTAAATTCTTGGTCATAATACAGGCCCTTAAACACAAACATCCAATGAAAATGAAACTAATACTAATTAATTCACTAATAATTGTGAAATCAACTCACTATTTGTACTTTCTTAGAGTGGTATGACTTGTTGAAGTGTTTTTTCTGATCTTCATCAGGCCGGGCGATTGGCACATGTACACAGTCCACGCACCCAACAACATTAGGGATGCCATACTTCATATAGAAACTGAAATACATAAAATATATATTCAAAACATATGAATAATCACTAATAACTTTGAAATTATGGAACTAGCATACAAATCTCTAATAAAAATAATGACTATATAGTATAACAATTCTTTGGTTAATATTTTGTTTACAAATTCTATAAAATTGAACATATAATATATTTTATATAATAAATAAAAAACAATATAATATACCCATTTTTGATGACTTCTCTCTCATTTCTCAAATGTGGGAAGTGAATATATTTCTTAATAATACTGGGGTCATTCATTGCTTCAGTGACTTGCATCACCGCTGTAGCTACAAAATACTGAGTTATACTGGGGTCCGATCTACCCCCTATTGATTTCTGATACTTGCCAGTAGCATAGAATGACAAAGCTGCTAAAACCTTAAATACAACAATATATCATTTTAATTGAGTCATTTCATCATAAAAAAAGAATTATACGTACTTAAAATTAATAAACGAAATAAGGCATTATTTATTTTCAGTTTAAAGAAATAAAAAATAAACATTTATAACTTACTTTACTTTCAACAGAAAACTCGATCGATTTAATAGAATCGGGCATAACAGGTTTCAATTCCTCACAAAGATTTCGCGCCAGATCTTTTGAAAGTCGATACATATCTAAAAAGGCGGCATCACTCAAATCAAACGGATCTGACTCTTCTTTAGATTTTGTCACCATTTTCTCCGGACTTTTTGCTTTTTCTAAACTCCTCGGCTCTTGTTGCTTTTGCGATTGTGACGAATCCCATTTGAGTAACTCAAAAAACACGGGTTCTTCGTCAACAACAGATATGTAGCTGTCTTCTGGCGGCTTATCAGCCATTATAATATAGTTTTTAAGTAATTTAAAGTGAAATACAAAATAATTTACAAATGTAACAAACGCAGCTTAAGACTTGGCTTTCCTTGTTTGACACATGACATGTAAAGTTTGATTGCCAGCAACAAAAATTGGAAAGCACTGCTAACCACTATTACTTTCATCTTGATTTTCTAGGGTGTTAAATGGGTTTTATTTTATTTTGATAAAATAAAATAAAATATTTAGAAATATTTAAATTCAAATATGGGCTACGAGCTAGCCAATGGCTACTCATGTTAACATTGAATACAATGTCAACGCTTTATAATTTTGTATATAATCTATTATGCTTTATTCAAATGGATCATCTATTTGCAACATATATCCTATATGCATCAATTGCATTTACATACATTTCTATTTATTTTGTTGTGGATGCATTATGTTAACATATTTATGAATATTTGATACATATATGTCTACGAGAGCATGGATATTCGAATGTGTATTTATATATCTTAGAAGTTAGATATCCATTAATACAAATTTCAAATACTTGGAATCAATTTAAAGACTAAAAATTAATTTTCCTTATATACTCATTCTCCTTATATACTCATTCTTCTTTTATACAACTTTTCTTATATACCAATTTCCCTTGTGTACTCATTTTCTTTATATACCACTTTTCCTTATATACTCATTTTCGACTAATTATCCACGGGGCGGGGATTGGGGGTAGCGACATAGCACGCCGTCGCACGCATCCACATTTGGAACGTGTACACACTTTATTTATTTATACGGAAATTTGGTCAAAAATTAAGTACCTATTTTTTTTACATAATTCGAATGAGAATCATGTACCTAGTATTCTCCTTAAATATTGATAGTTATTCACAAGTCACCCTGTATACTATTTTTTCCTTATAACTTATAAGTATACTCATTCTCCTTATATATCAATTTCCGTATTAATAGATTGTGTGAAATATTTACAATACATTAGGCATTATTTTATCGGATGGAGGTTAATAATGAAAGCAATCTCCTTAACAGATTCCACTCTTGATAAAATACGTACCAAATGAAGAGTAAATGAATTAGCAAATGTTATATCGCTCAAATTTATATTTAGGATTTGTAATATACTTTAATGTTATTTAATTTATATTTATAAAATTATTTTATACTAAAATTCTTATAATAATTTGTACATAATTGTTTTTAATTACAGTCACAAATTAATACTTCACACAGATCTTAATTACTGTGTGGTGCTTTGTAAGCTCAAGACAATTAAGACGATATAACGAGCTGTGTTTGATGACCTCAAATAATATGGTACACTTTGTTAGTATGGATAATGTTGACTCAAATCATCTTCATATATTTTTATTTAAAGTTTATTGTGGATGTGTGTGTGTTTTCATGTGTGTGTGTGTGTGTGTGTGTGGTTGTTACACAATCAATGCGAAGCCAACATTTTTTTCTTTGTGTGTTATCCTTACGCGTATAATTTTGATTGTATAAAAATAATATTATTTAGTATATATCCGCGTCTCGGAGTTGTTTTTATTTTATATTCACTACGACGCCTAATAAAAGCGTTACCATATCGCAACACAATGCAAACTGTCGTCTGCTTCCAATCACAGCCAACCTACAAAACTGAAATCAACGTTGGATAATATCTAGAGAGGAGAAATTTCTCAGCATTCAATTGATTCACAGGATCAATCGAGTTGTAGTGAGAGGAGCTTCAACAGTGACTGGGACTTGTGACCCAGCTGTAGGTTTAAAGCAGTGATTCCCAAAGTGGTCCAGGTGGACTCCCAGGGGTCCACGGGAGACTTGCTTGGGGGTCTACGTAGGCGTGAACAAAAAATGGGGGTCCACGAAAATTTATCTGCTTTTGATAGTAAAGAGCAAAAATGTAAGCATAGTTTTTATAAGGGCCTACCTACATTGTTTTAAGTACCTAACTAAGCAGATAATATTTTAATAAGGCAAGCGACTGTTACTTGTCCAAACTTGCGTATTCGATATTACGTACAATTTCGTGTACAGACTTGCAAAGCGCTATCCGCCCGACAATGCTTAATGCTTGTTCAGACATGAACTTGATCATCACTATAAATACTTGATGCCAAAGGCAAACTCATTCATTTGTTTCCAAAATTTCTAAAATTTTATTTTACCTAACGGAATATAGAGACAGAACTCAGAAGTGACACAATTTTTATTTTTTGGCGACTTTAAGAATGTGGTAGAAATGTAGCAGCAGGGGGTCCACCGAAACCAGTAAAATTTTGAAAGTGGTCCACGAGAAAAATAAGTTTGGGGACTACTGGTTTAAAGGTACCCCTATCTAAAACGCGTTAAACGCTCACCTACACCATCCGTAAGCTCATCTCTCTACCTAAGCATATCCGAAACGGACCTATTGGTACTCTGTTGGCTAATAGTGAAATTTCTTTAGAATTCTCTATTATGTTTCTAAAAATTAAATATCTGAAAATAAACATAGTTAAGCCCCGGTACGCTTGAGACGAAGATATTTATTTTATGTAAAATACCAATGAATATTGTATATTTCGTTATACACTGGTGCCAAATTAAACAACCAAAAACTTTATAACTTGGTTTAATATAAGAGACGTGTACAGAGAGAGAATAGACAGAATGAAAATTGACAATTAATAAAGTACTTATACCTTTTAAAACAATAAATATTAAATGACGTTAGTTTACTACATTTCTATTATAAAAGATCAGGAGCAAACAGAATTGTAAAATTAATATATGATATAAAATTAATTGTGTAGGCGTTATGCTCCGAAACAAATATATATGCGCATTTACCAACCAGTCAGTGGCGGTCTAGTGGTTAAAGGGCCCGCCTCTCGTTGCCGAGGGCGCGGGTTCGAGCCTAGCAAGTACCATTGTGATTTTTCCGAGTCATATGTACTTTCTAAGAGTATTTAGACATCACTGACATACGGTGAAGGAGAACATCGTAAGGAAACCTGGACTTATAATTTCACAATTATAAGCTTGAAATCACTAACCCGTCTTGAGCAAGCGGGGTGATTAATGCTCATACCTTTTTTATGTGAGAAAGAGGCCTTTGCTCAGCAGTGGGCTCTGATAGGCTGATGTTGATGATGATGATCATGCGCATTTATCATATTTAATTAAGGAAGAAAGGTTTTTGTTTACGTGTAATGTAGGAATTTGGGATGGGACTCTTTCCATCGTAATTCGGAGGACCATCGTCGGTCACCTAACGTCGTTTACACACTTATTAGAATTTTCATAAAGTACGAAATATCACTCTTTTATAAGAGAAAAGTCACAGTTTCTGCTAAATATAGGACAAGATTAAAATGACTATATACAATAACATAGTAAAAATTAAGAAAGTTTATATATATCCGAGCTTTCTCGATAGAGTTCTTTATTGTTTATATAAAAAATACTTAAAAAAAAAACTATTATGTGACAATTTAAAAATAATATATAGTAGGAATTGTATTCGAATATTATTGGTTGGTTGTTTAAAATATGGCCTTTATCCGTGCAAAGACTTTGAATATTATTTAAATAAAAGTAGGTAACATTAAGCTCGAATGCAGCCACAGTTAAAAAAAAATTAAAGTTAAAGAATTTGACAGAAGAGATAGATTCCAAAGAGTATTTAAGCAAAATGTCACATACGTCAAAAAAAAATATATCAAATTTCGATACGTCATAAAACGACAATGAAGAGAAACAATGAGAGCTCATAATATACAAACAAGGAACATTTTACTTCCATCTCAATACAAAACAAAGGACTTAATTTCATTTGGAATCTGCCGATGACTTTAAATGGTTGTCCTTGAAATGTAACTCGTCAACTGTCAATGAGTAATTCGTCACATAAATGTAATGCTATAATTAGGTTACAAACACTAGCTGTTCAACTTGATACGTATATGGACCTGATGATTCACACAAAACACATTTAACCGCTGAAATGTAAATATTCATGAAAAATTTTCCACTTTAAAATTTAACTCAAATAATTATACCGAAAATAGAACTGACTTTATGTAAAACAGAATCTCATAATTCTTTACTATCGAATCTGATGGTAGAGCAAATAAAGTTTTCAACTATGAATTATAAACTGTATACAAATATTATAATTTTTTTTATGTTCATATTACCAGAGTGCTTACAATTATTATTATTAATAGAAACAAAAAAGCTGTAAGTGAATAAAGTAAATATTAAAAATATTTGTGAAATATAAATTTAATGCGCGTATTTGACGGAAGTCATTGTATTTAGCACGTGTTTAAAACACCATAGAAGAACCTCGTACAAATTAGGAAATTTGTCTAAATACAAAGAATTTAAGATTTAAAACTATTTGGTTTTAAGACAATTTTCTTATCTTTTTATCTAAAATAGTTAGATCATCTTATTAAAATTCTTCTGTTATTGTATATAAAATGTATTTTTAAATAACTATAATTTCTGAATGAGTGCCATAAAGAATATTATTTTTACTATTAAATATTATAGTGTCTAGTTCAACGACTTAAAGAGAGAGAATTATATATAATTAATCTAATTACATCTGGCATTTTATAAAAATGCAAATAACTGAATGAAGGTTATATATTTTTAATATATATTTATATATTTTATAAGTTATAATAAATAAAGCTAATATACAGGGTGACTGGTGAATTACTATCAATATTTAAGGAGCATACTCGGTACATGATTCTCATTCGAATTATGTAAAAAAAATAGGCACTTAATTTTTGACCAAATTTCCGTATAAATAAATAAAGTGTGTACACATTCCAAGTGTTCCTAGTGTGGACGCGTGCGGCGGCATGCTGATACAACAACACGCCGCCGCACGCGTATGTGTGAGTGTGTAGTGTAGAGTAATCTGTAGGGTGTTCATACGATGCGTAATTAATTACATAACTTTTGGTTAACTTTACTTAGAAGTTTATTAATAATTATGTTATATTAATTTTTATTTCGTCATATATGATCGTCAAATATCACGTCCTCAAATATCGATTGTAATTCACCAGTCACCCTGTATAACAGGGATGAGTGACGTCAAGAGCGTCATCAATTTATCAGTCAGAGGCATTCTTCAACAGCGTACAAATATCTTCATTCTTCAGTACAGACTCTGTCGTTGAAGTGTTAGCGCGCGTTATGAGAAGCACGAAATACGAGTACAGTCATCAACACGCACAAATAAACATACTGTTATGTAATTTGTTAATATGTGAGTTATTTTGTGGTATAATTTATTATTTTCGTGTTATAATATACATCTTATATTGTATTGTTAATTTATAAATAACTTTGAATTGACTATTAATACGAACCAAACCCCCTGGAGTGAATTCTTATATGAAATTACTTTCAGTATTCAGTTTTCAGTTGTTATAAACAATGTATATTATCAAATATGATTATCATAATTATAATGTGTGTGTTTCTGTAAGATTTTACGAGAATAGCTTTATTTATTTTTGTAATATCGTAATTGAACTGACATTAGCGGTCATTGACCTATTTAAATGTACATAAAACTTTTTTTACTCATTTAATAATATTTATTTTAACAATATATATTTTTATTTTAATAAACAATGAGTAATATTAACAGTATTTCAAACTTTTCCTCTTTGTTCACATATCAACCATATAAGTAATGTTCTTGATAAACTATTTATATGTTTCCGCTGTTATATTCTTTGGATAAATACTCGTTTTTTAAATGCATTTTTAATTAAATTTATCAACAAATAAAATATATTTAGTATAATTTATATTTTTTTTTAGATTTCTTATAGTAATATTAAAATATTTGTTATATATTTTAGTTTTTATTTAAACATTAATGGTTGTTGTATTGATGGTAATCAGTCAGTTCTTGAGCGTGTTTTCTGAACATGTCTGCTTCAATGTTTACATCTGGCCTACTTTTTCATCCCACGGATCGCGTCTGCTTTTAATAACACCAATAAGTAATTTGTGGGACGAGCTTTAATTTAGGTATGCGGTGCAGGAATTAGTGCTGCAAACTTTAAAACCATGTGCATACAGTGTTAAATATTAGTTATACATACTTTTTTTATTATTATAACGAATTGTTCTCTGAATAAAATTGAAAAATCGGTCGCAACCTTCTGAATTTCGTCATATACTTATATAAATTAAAGAATAAAAAGTGTTTTTTAATTCATACCGTAATAATAATAGTTTCAAATTGAGTGAGTGAGTTTAATTTGAAAATAAATATTAGGTACTGAGGTAGGTGTTGGCTAGTTAAAACAAAAACGAAAGAAAAACATCTCTTCACATGATTACGAGTATAAACAATCATTGATGTTCAAAAAAAAAAAACGATGGAAGAAAAAAATAGAATTAGTTTATTTTTTGCTAAGAATATTGTTTATTTATTGATACTAGTGAAATTACTTCTCTATTTATTTATACTACAGAAAAATCATTCAGAATTTCATGATTTTTTTTTGTTTGTTTTAAGAAATCTACTAAATTTTGCTTCTTATAAATAATGAGTATGTAAAAATGACAAGAACTTATCAACAACTTACGTCAAAAGTACTGTTTGTTAAAACTTTCTTTGTATACCAAGTCTGTGTTTCGTCCACACAATACTCAAGATTTTGATTCGTCCAACAAATAATTTTGATATTGGCATAATATTCCACGATTCTAGTGCGAATTAAGCCATAGCATGAAAAAATTCTTTGTCTTATATTTCTATACGAAGTCATTTGAATTGTATAGATATGTAAATTTATGTTAACGTCTTACCTTATCAAAAATTCGTAACGTAATTTTAAAATGGAATATTCCAAAAATATATAGTTATTATGAGAAAAATACAATGAGATCTGAGATTGTCGCGAGTCATTTAAATGAAACTAATATTTTGCAGATATACTACGCGACTTTATTTAACTTACAGCAACCGAAACACTGGGAGTATGTAGTTTTTATCAAAAACAAAGTGTACGTATATCCGCAAAATATTAGTTCCAAAAATATGTAAGGCCATTTTAAGTCATAGGTTTTTGCACATATAATTTCTATTTTATGTATAAATTATAATCATTTTGTGTTCTTGACATCGATTGCAGATAGCATTGTCTTTCACAGCTCAAACAAATATCTAGACTCAAATAAATACTTCATAATCACACACCGTTTCAGTCACGTATCTAAATAAATATTTTTAAAACTTAATAATAAGTAAATATTTATTGGTCTTGAATTATGTTTATAGAAAATATAATAATATTTTTTGTTACAGATATTTACTGTGAGACTTTTGTAACAAAATGGTGGGAAACGAAATGAATGGACAGAGTATAAATGATATGAACAAAATAAACTCCTTGAAATCAGAGGAGGTTAAGAGCAAGGAGGTCGTACATTACGCTAAGGAGGATTCCGTTCAGGGTGAGAGGGTGAAGTTTGAGGGTTTGGATGGAGATAGTATATTGTCTGTGGACGCGAGGAATGATGGTTTGCCGCCAATTCCTGACGGCGGGTGGGGCTGGGTAGTTGTTTTCTCAGCATTCCTGGTATCAGCCTGCGCTGACGGCTTAGCGTACTCCTTTGGCATATTACACGAGGAATTCATAGCTTCCTTCAATGAATCCCAGTCGAAGACGTCTCTGATCGGCAGTTTGTTCATATCGATACCCTTGATATCTGGACCCATCATGAGTGCTTTAGTTGATAGGTATGGTTGCAGAGTAATGACGATGGCTGCGGGCGTCATAGCCACACTTGGTTTTCTTTTGGCTGCGTTTTGTAATTCAGTGGAGATGCTGTGTCTCACTCTGGGTGTTCTGAGCGGTTTGGCGATGGGAATCTTTTATGTGACGTCAGTCGTGGCTGTTGCGTTTTGGTTTGATAAAAGGAGAACTTTAGCTGTTTCTATAGCTTCTTGCGGAATCGGTTTCGGGACGCTTATATATTCTCCGCTGACGGATTTATTGATTCAAATGTTCGATTGGCGGAATACTCTAGTTTTATTAGCGGGGACGGTGTTAAATATGTGTGTATGTGGTGCCTTGATGAGGGATCCTGAATGGTTGATTATAAAGGAATACAGAGAGGCTAAAGAAGCCAAAACAAGATCAAGAAGATCTTCGAGCGCGGGTTCGATTTCGTCCAAATCACTTGGTGGAGAATCAGCGTATTTGAGTGCTGACGAACTTAATGAGTTATTGAAGTGTGGGAAGAATCCGGAATATATATTAGCGCTTCTCACAACTTCTTTGGCGGAAGCGGAACAGTTAGAGGCTACCACTCAAATGAACGCCAAACAGTCATATAAAAAAGTACATTCTGATATTCAACTACCTACATTTATTCAGAAACGGGAGAAGGTACGTCATAGACGAAATAATGCTCTTTATTCATTTATAAAGCCAATATTTTTTAGTTTAATATTATATTAATTAAAACTGTATTTATTTTTCTAGGTTCCAGCGGAGGTTTTAGAAAAATTTATGAGCAACAAACGCCTTTACAACATAATCCTTCAAAACTATCCCGATTTATTAACGCGGAGACATTCCGAAGAGAATATACACGTGGAACCTCACATGCAAAATCTAACCGAACCCGCGACCATGAAAGTCGCTGTGATGGCCAAAAAACCAGTAGATACTAGCCAAGAACAGACAAAGAAGACGATACCGAAAAGCGAAACGGCTCACCAGCTCGCGAAGACGAACCACAAAGAACAGAAAGACGGGAAACTGGCTAACAAAGATCATATCGACAAACCTATACGTAAAGATGCGTCTAAGCCTATCATACAAGAAATTGGTTGGCTAACAAGGCATATTAACACAGACCACCACTACCTCAGAGACGTACCGCTGTATAAGAACACTATCATGCATCGAGGAGCCATGATGAATATCCCTCGATACAAGCTCCGAGCGTCCTCATTACCAGATATATACAGGAACTCCACTTGGTCCATCTGGTCAGGCTCCGAAGACGAAAAGGTATGAGATTTTAAACTCAATTTAATAATCCACTGATAATGTTTTGTATATCTATTCCTTACTCTGTATTCTTAGTGTAATCATAAATCTTCCAACATTGTAGTATTAATGTAGGCTATTTAATGAGATAATTGGAAAGTTTCGTATGTACTTAAATATAAAATTGGACTGATAAAGACTCAAAATTTTAAACAGAATTTTAATTGCATATTATTTAATGATTCATAATTTGTTATGGAGTAATTATCATTTCTTAGTAATTTTTATCACTGAACTTGGTCAATGCCCATACTCTTTGGAGTTATCGCTTCCAGGAATATTTGATACACGAATAGACTCTAATAAAAGAAATTGTGCATGGTGCCTCCCAAGTGAACCTTCGTAATTGTAAACAATTCTTATCCACTAAATTTGAAAATAAAATGCTGCCATAAATTATATGTGTATAAAATGTAACTAAAAATAATATTATAAATAAATTAATATAGAATAACAAGTACTTATTTTCAGCTATTTTAACAACGCTCACACTATTCTCTGCATAGCAACAATAAAATGCGCATATTCTTGGAATTTACCGATCTATCTACATTTATATATCTTTTTTTCCCTCATCTTAACATTTCACGCAAGATGTTCGGAGTCTTTTTTAAATCTTCCCAGAAAAAAGCTTATAACAGTATATTAACGATATCGTATGTGTTCAGCGTTGGTACGACCGCGTGTTGGACGGCTTCAAGTCAACCTTCAACTTCAAGATGTTCTCCGAGTTCCACTTCTTCATGTTCAACGTGGCCACGCTGGTTCTGTTCGTCTTCTCCATCATCCCCTACTTCTTCCTCAAGTCTTACATGACGGCCGCGAATGTGGACGGCGGAGCTACTATGATCAGTATTATAGGCATCTCTAGTGCTATTGGAATCGTAAGTATCTTAAAACTATTAACAAACTATAAACCTTATTTGTGTAGTGGGTAGAATCGTTTTACGTTATCCATAGAGACGAGATAAAACTTCTCATCATTCAATGTATTCACGGTGCGTGTGTCGGGTCCATCGTTGTAGTGAGAGGAGCTTCAACAGTGACTGGGACTTGTGACCCAGGTGTAGGTTTAAAGGTCTATCTAACGCGCGTTATACGCTCACCTCCACTGTCCAAGCTCCTCTCTCCACCTAACCAAATCTGAAATGAACCTACTAGGGCTGTTTGCCTATAATAATAATATATTTATATTACGTATTCGTGTCACGGATTTTGTCTTATCTCATGTTCATAAACACACTAAGCCTTCATAATACAAAATCAAATAAATAATTTTGTATAACAAAACAAGTTTATTATCTGTAGCAAGATTAGTTGGCTTTCAACAAAACAATGGTTTTATTTTACAAGCCTCTGAAATCTGCAAACTTAATTAGTCTCAATTAGCAGTTAACACCAGAGTTTGTAAGAATTAGGGAACACAAAGTATTAAAATTTTCTGATAGATTTTCGTTAGATAGATTACTGAAAATGTTTTTATTTCATCGAAGCTTTTTTTTAACTTTACTTCAGTCAAAATATCTGTGAAGTATGTTGAGTGCAGTTTTACAGCCAACGAGCAGTTAAAAGTAAAAATAAACAACAAAACCCAAAGTTAAAATTGACATTGGATGTCACGAAAACAGTAGATCTATTTGATTTGTAGTAAACATTGTTGGAATTATAAATATTGGCATGAAACCAAGAGTTTTTTAAATAACAAAATGAATGACCTTGAGACGCACATTTTCGTGTTTTTAGAACAGTGAAATGGAGATTAGGAATCGTTGGCTGTAGATGACAAATAATAAGAGTAACTGACTGACACTTTCATCTAACCGCGATCACGCTTGTAAAGTTACCGAAACGTTTAGTAAAAAAAATATATTATTAAATGATAATAAATTTTTAAACTAGCAACCCTCAATCCACTTATACAAGGAGCGCTATTACTGACAATCTTACACTTTTTGTTTTTGTCAAGAACCAAAGCTTTGCACTAATTATTATTAGCCTTGAATATTAATATATCGACCATTGATGGCGAACGTTTTTTTTAAATTATAACTTTGTTTCTTTTCTATCACTATATAAAAGAAAGTCGTGTTAGTTACACTATTTATAACTCAAGAACGGCTGTAGCCGGTACGGGTTTCCATAAAAATCGGCAGGGAGATAGCTTAGAACCAGGAGTCGGATATATGATACTTTTCATTCTATATAAAAAGGATAAAATCCAATATCTTCTTACTTACTACAATTAATGAGGTACAGAGTTCGCTATATATGTATTTCTAATTCTAAAACTTACGCACACGAAATCGCAGGTAAAATCTAGTGTAATATAATAAAATTATGATGAAATTTGTTTTCTTATGACGTTTGCTGTAAAGTCGCTAAAATCTCGCGTTAAAATAAGTAGATAAAAAGCAAATAAAAACATTATCTAAGTAAACAACAGTAAGAATATAAAAAAAAATTTAGATGACGCAATAGTGTTGTAACTGTTGGGATTCACTTTAATTCAATTTCTCCTTTGTTTATAAATATACATATACATTTGTACATTAATATAATTACGGGCATACAAAATATTTAAAACTTAAATAGCCTTATACAATAATGAAGGAATTAAAAAACGATGCAATGTTTATGCTCACCTAGTATAGATAAAATAAAATATATATACCTATACATATATACATATAATTTTTGATCTTAATTTATTTTTTTCCAATTATAACATAAGTAAGGCAAGTTATTTTTATTCTAAGGTAATCCTGGGCTGGGCTGGCGACCAGCCGTGGTTGAATGTCACGAAAACGTTCGCTGTATGTCTGTTCGTATGTGGCGCTACTATAGCCGCGTATCCAATATTCATAACCAACTACTGGGTCTCCGCGGTACTTTCTGCTGTATTTGGGTTATCATACGCCAGTACATATTCCTATACTCCTGCTATATTGATTGAGCTGGTACCTATAGACTACTTCACTCTGGGTTATGGACTAATTCTCCTCAGTCAAGGCGTTGGACATCTCATGGGACCACCTCTTGGAGGTAACGTATATTTGGACACTATTAAATCATAAACTTCCATAGTATTAATCATGTTTCATATAATTTTTCAATAAAGTCCCATCCTTAGCAAAAACTACTGGAAGTTCTCGATATATTACTTTATAACTTCCATATGAAATTTAAATGAAGGAATATAGTGTATTAATATAGTCAAAAAAACTATCATTTAATATTAATTTTCTTTATAGGTTTGTTGTATGATTTAACTGGTTCTTGGGAGCTCACGTTTTATATGGGCGGGTTGTGGGTGATGCTGGCTGGGGGCTGCGTCATCATTATACCTTACACCAAGAACAGACGACTATTTGGAAACGCACCGCTCTTAAAAGATGAAGACGCACACACGAGCTCGATAAAAGTATAACAATTATAAATAAAAAATACCAAAACATTTATTTGTGTCTTTCATTTCGCATTTTCTAAGCATAATCAACAAGTAAGATGGAATCTCATAGAAAATACAAATCATATTCATGAAATTTACCATAAAATAGTGTTCCTATATTTACCTAAATCTGAGAGACAACATTATATAGTTTACAAATAATATATTACGTCATACATTTGTTGAACTCAAATATTATATTATATACTAATACCATTGTCAATAGAGATTTAGATTTTATCAAATAGAATTTCAAATATATGACGAAACAGTGTCTCCGCTGTTGTTTTTATAAAGCATGACGTCATCATAAGTGACGTCACAGTAGCTTATCACTTAAAGTCAGCCTCGCAAGGCTTTGGAAGGAAACCTCGTAGATGTTCTGACGAATCCCTTATTTTGTGGAGGTTCGATCGCTGAAACGACTAGAATGAGAATGTGTTTAATCTGTAGCCCCGCCTCTATTTATACTATTCAGCACTCATTGTGACTGCACGTGCATGCAAGTATATAATATGCAGGTCGTTATCCTGATGACATATGATAATTTTAAGCAACCGGAATTATTAATTAGTTTAATAATAGATATTTGCGCCGATGTATATGCATGTCGATGTATATGTATGCATAAATCGATTGTTCGTGTATACGTCACTGAATTCTTTCCAAAGGACGGAACCGATTTGAATGAATTTTATATGTATTTTGTGTCCTCCCCTAGATGGTTAAACTCACAAATCAACATTGAAATGAAATTAATATTTTGCGGATATACTACGCGACTTTACTTTTGATAAAAACTACATACTCCCGACCTTTCGACTATTTTTCAGCAACCGTGATCGCGTGAACAAATTATTAGATTCATTTAAATGAATACTCGCGAAAATCTTAGATCTCATTACAAATCAACCTTACAGGTGGCGATGCAGTCGGTATAAAGGTTAATATTCACACTTCAATAATTTATTTAAAGAATATATCCCAATATTATTTATTTATAATGATTGTGTCATTAAAATAAAATTTAAAAGATTTATTTGAAATTTATCTAGTAGTTTTGATATCACGGAAACATTATATTAAAAAGATGTGATTAATGTTTTGCTATCAGAATAAGGAGAAATAAAACATGTTTATAACTTGATACAATGACAACTTTATTAAGAAGAACCAACAATACAGTATAGGGATCGGGCTTAAACAGCGTGAGGGGACATATAACGATCAAAAATAGAAAGCTTCGGAATAAATTTAACATATATGAATTGTATCTCTAAATATATCCACATACAATTAGTTTCCGCTAATGGAAATGATACATTTATTGCCATATCACACCCATTTCTGTGTTCTATTTCTTTGTAATTCTGTTTAAGTATTCATTTAAACAAAAAAAAAAGATTTTACCATAAGTAGAATGATAGTGATTTCGAGCTTCTGGAATGGCTAAACGGTTCTAATACTACATTTTTTAAAACACATTGCAACTATGTACTGAAAATCTAAGTTTGAGCAGATTTAAGTGTTCCATTTTATATGTACTTACAATTGTTTTAATATGTGTATACTGTATTTTTAATAATTCAATTTATTTCATTGTTAATGAGTCGTTTTTTTACATTTTTATAATTCCCCTTTAGTATACAGCCGATTGATAATTAACTATTTCATTGAATTATATAAACTTTAGTACTACACTTAGTACCTAGTTGCAGTTCTAAATAGGAATGGTTTAAGTCGGTTTGAACGAAAAATAGCAGCATATAAACTTTTCTATTAAAAAAATAATTGATAGATACAGTCTCAAAACTATATATATTTGTAAAAATGTATCTCGGGTGTGATATGGCTGTGTCAGGGTTACAAATTCATAATACTTCTATAATACTGAGAGACAATTAGAAAACTTACAATTATATTACAAAGGCTTAGGAAGAAACAATATGATATGGTAATATCAAGGCCTTTTATAAGAGAAGTACATATATAACATAGATTTGATATAATTATTTCACAGAAAAATATAATATATTAAATACTATAATTATGGAATGTCTTTATATAACTTCAATACATGCTTAGTTTTAAAAAGGATATGTAAGTTGAGTTTTAAATACAATCACACTGTATTATTATAATTAGATAACTTAATATAGTTCTCTTTTATATAACAATATGTTATGAAATAAATCTTTGATATATAACAGACAGATAGATTTAAAATAATATCTTATAAATATTTTATATTGTCAAACCGGTATATAAGAATTCTTTTATATAATTATAATTATTTTAGAATAAAGCGTAGAGGTAGATGCCTGTAGATGTATAGAAAATTTTTCATAAGAATATAAAGCAGATTTGAGTGTTGGAGACAATGTGTTTTATAAAAGAGATAGAATGTAACATAAATATATTTATTTACAAATTATGTTTTGAGCTACGTATCTCGGCTAACGCCTTGTGCACGATTTTAAAAATGTGCATATATTATATGTATATATATTTTTCTGTATTTTATTAATTTTGAAACAACCATTTAGCTTATTAACTAATATTTCAACAAGTAAGAATGAGATTTTCTTTCAAGTTAAGTGTTAAGCTGAGAAGTTTTTTGTGTAAAATTATTTACTTTCATTCATAGAAAATAATATTTTTTAAGTGTCTTGTATGTTTACTCCAGGTTTGAATCGTTACTACACACGTTGCGTTAATAGTTTTTCATTTCTTAATATTCTCACATAGTATTAACGTAAAGTTTGACTGTTTACCAGAAGACGTTGCGTATATGGTGTCAAGATGAAATCTTGTTTCAAGCAAACATTTTTGTACCGATCTATTTTCCGGAAAGTTTTAAGATAAATATCTTTTCTAGTAGTTAAATTTGTTTGTCACTACGAACTACGTTTGCTCAAATAGTTACAAATGTGTCACAGCCAATCAGAATGCTAGTGTCGAGTATAGTAGAAGCTTCAACGTACAGTCTAGGTTTTATGCAAAATGCGCACTAATAATAGATATTATACTAATAAGTTTGATAAGAAAATGGAAAATATTAAATATATTATCATAAGATCGCTTTGTAAAGAGAATTCAAATACGTATGTTCAATATTATATCTATCAACTAAACTAACATCAAGGCAGACTGAAGACTTATTTGATGGTCAAACTACGGTCATGTCATAGCTACATTCTGTCAAACATTGATATAATTTCCATTGACTTGTGTTTCTATGTGATGTGTACATTAAAACGGACAAACATCAAACAGAACAATATAGATCTATACATTAATATACGACTAATAATAACACTAACATTAAATGACATAGAAAAGGGTGTAGAAAAGACTTAAGACGAATTCTCACTTGAAATCACCATAGGTTTCATTAGACATTTAAAATGGGAGAACAATATGAAATAGAACTATTACAATTGAAGATAACAATTGAATAGTTGTATTTCAATATAACATTTAATACTTACAACTACTACGAGCATCGTATAAGACAAAAATATTCATTAATCATATGTATTGAAAACTGTTTCGTTTAACAACAGTTGTAAAACGTCATCGTCAGAGATTTATGGTTTAAAACGTGGCTGAATCGTTCTGTTCTAGTCTAGACTGTGTCATCTGTTCTAGTCTAGACTGTTTTAGTCTAGACTGTGTCATATTCAGCCTTTAGAATTGTTTTACGTATTCAATAAGATGAGTGGATAATATTATTCAAATTACAATTCTCAAATTCATAAAAGTCGTGCTAGACGAGGTTTAATCTTGGATAGGACGGATGAAAGAAGATAGTTAGTATGTGGTTAGTGGAATAATGATATTATAACTACAGTTAGAGTTAGACTACGTTAATAACCAGAGTTTACCTGAAAACGTAATAGAAATTTATGTTTTAATAATATTTGTATCGTGAAAGTTTACTAAATTTATGTTCATACGATGAAAAAACGTGAAAAAAAATCCAAAAACAAAAGCAAAGAGCAATAAAATCATTACATCCTTTAAGACTAATTGACGCTCTTTAATTTTAGTATTTATTTAATAAATTGAGATTAAACACACGTCTTCCCAATTAGTTTTCTAATAACAAAAAAACATAAATAACAAATAAAATGAATATGTATTTTGTCAAAGAAATTGACTTTTTTGAGCATTTGATGTAAAGATATCTTAAATATTCCTTACTAATACTACATAGTGTCACATAGAATTATGTTGTATATCTCTTCGTCCAAGTATTTGGTTTCGTTTCTCTTAAATAAAAGTGCATCTTAAGTCGTTCTGATGTATCCCATTAAGAAGTTTAACAGTTTTTTATACAATCCAAGTATCTTTTAGATTCAGTTAAGTTACGAATTTACTGGTATGGGATGAAGTTACCGAGAATATTTCTGGTCATCCTGAGATTTTGAATGTGAAGTACCCTACTATATTTAAGATCGTCGTATCTAATGACTGTTTGTTAAACAATCAGAAGACAGTTTTTGTAACGATTATAATACTTGTATTCATTTTGCAATAGATGTAGTATGTTTCGCCTTAACTGACTCATTTTTACTCCTTAATATATTCTTGAATACATTCCTTGAGAAGGTTCCACCTGATAACAGGCTAATGTGAAGTTGTTTCTTTATTTTGGACGAACTATATTTATTAAGAGCTAAGAAATTGCAGGGTGCAAACTGTTAAGACCGCGTGTTCTATCAGGTGGGTATGAAGTACTCTTTTTGTACAACTTAGTCTCACATCATCCTAGTCTCATCGTTGAATCGACAGTACTTGGTATATACTTCTATTCAAGAGAATAGTTCATTAGTCCTCATCAATGAGTAGGTACACTTTGTATTTTAATGTCTCATATAGACTTCAATTCTTTGATAAGTGATATTGTCCTGACCCAAGGATGTTTTTTAAAGTTTTGTAATTTTTTCAGAGCATTTATTAATTTCATGAAGACTATATTTTGCTTTTTATTTTATTGCCTAGATTGACGTCTTTTCCTTTCTTATAGCACTGCCTCTGTATTACTGCAGTATTTTACCACATTCTCAATAAAATAAATAACTTACATCTTAAAATATTAAATCTAAACATGAAAGAAATACATATAAAAATCAAGATCTACTTACACGAAAATAGAAATGATTAACAACAGACATTGAAAAAAAGGAAGATTATTAAATAAGAATAATTTCCTGGATTATTTAGCGATCATTGCGTAGTGGAGCAAGAGGTGCCAAGGCTGCTAATGAGGCTCGTCGGCGGCGTTGAGCGGCGGGCGAGGCTGGTGTGGCCGGAGTCACCACCAGGCCTCCAGCAGAGCCTCGCGGAGCCCGAGGTTCTAGCTCCAAGGACAGAGTGAACTGACGCTCCTCAGGGATAATGAAGGATTCCTCGAGGAGATAGTCGCATACCTAAACAAGATCAAAAACTGAATAATTATGAATTATGGTACAAAAAACTACAGAGAATGCTTGACGTGAAAGTGGTTTGTGATTGCTTTTTTAAACTAAAAGCTTCTGCGGTTCTTGTAGCAACTATTAATGAGATATATGACTTTCGTGAAGTATAACTACGCATTATTTTATTATTGTTAAAACTACATATTCCCGACGTTTCGATTACTTTACAGCAACCGTGATCCAGGGCAGACGAGATGTCCACATTAATGTAGTTTTTTAAATAGTAAAATACGTGTAGTAATCCGAAAATATTACATTCAAATAAATGAATATCCGCGAAAATCTTAGATCTCATTATAGAATAAAATAATATTTTAATTGGGTACATTTCATTTTGGGGAATAAATAATACAAATAAAATTGTTTAATTTCACCACAATCTGATTAGCAAAAAGCTAAATTGTGTTAAAGTACTATTTTGGATAAACTATGAAGTGTCATACGAATTAAAAAGTGTGTGTTTTAAATACTTTTATACAAGATTTAAGTTACCTTTGGGATGTGATCGATCTTGTACGGTGTTTGTTGGAAGTTTCTGATTTCTCGAATCACGTGTGCTATCTATGAACAAAAAATATTAAAGTGTACTTTATTCTTAGTATTTGTTTATTTCTATAATAATCGTAGTCGTCCTTACCATTCTCATTTTTGAGAAGTTCAAGAGTCCATCGGGAGTGTAATTCGACGTGCCCTCTTCAATGAACGACAGATCCGATAAATACATACCCAAGTACGGAATGCAGGGCGGGTCGCATCTTAAAGAAAAAACAATTGTATTACATATATGTATAAAGAACATTTTTAATTATAAAACCAATCTACCCTCACTTTACCTGTGCAGAGATTCTCTTAGAATTCTGAATCTGCATTCCGATGATATGATAGTCTGCATTTTCTCGATAGTTTGTTTGGTCTGTAATTTTTATATAACAAAAAAAATCAAATTTAATGCACTAGTATATACCATAACCCTTCCAAACAAAATATAACTGAGTATAGATTAAATAAAGACGATAAGTCTATGGCAAAGATCAATTGGTTTGTCTATGGTAAAGATATCTTTATGGCTTACAGTTTTGGAGACTTTATCCCAAGTTTTCTTGAGACGGAACACAGCCGTGTTAGAGAGAGCCGCACACACTTGTAGTACTCCGTTAAAGTTGTGTAAACATCTCATTATGTCAGCGACGGCGGCCCATTTTTCGATAGCCGATACACGACCTAATCATTTTTTTGGTGAATAAAATGTATTTATAACTTTGACACGATTTTTTTGTTGAAATTACCTGTAAGAGTGTATTTTTTGAGGATTTCCGAGATCACCAGGTTCGAGATATGGTTGAAATGACTGGTCATCATCAAAATGTGAGGAGCTCGTTCGGCTTTATCTGCTTTAGTCCAGGCTTGGCTAAGGAACTCCCTGTATATAGAGGCCAATGATTAGAAAGATATGTTAGTTGTATATATTTTAAATAAGATACATATTTGTATGATACATACTCGCTATGTATGGCGCTGAATATTTGATAATCCAAGTACGTCATCTGCTCGGCGATTTCAAGAGCAGACAGTGTTTCTATGCTTTCCTTGGTCGGTATCTGTAAAATATAAAACGTTTTATAATAACATAATTCCTTTTTTTTGTTATTTAACAAGAGTTTTTAGTAATTAGGCTATTTTATACCTTTGACGGCGTGAACAAAGCTTTCAAATCGACTGCCCTGTCCGGGGCGCGTTCTAAGAGACGAAGCAATTGAGCAGCGGCTTTGTGCTCAGCCGGCAGTAGTCCAGGGCTGCCTTCGATCTCTTTAAGGAAATCCATCGTCATACCTCGGAGACGTTCATCCGACCAGAAGTCTGAAGAATGCTTTGACACCCAGTGCCTACAAAATATGAATGAAGTAAAAATAGGATTCTTTCATACAAAAGTAATCTGGACTTTTTCTGACCTTAGTACATTGAGCACTCTCATGGTAGCCGCAGTTGAGATGACAGAATCTCGTCTGTTTTGTGGAGGTGACGTAGGTGGTGGGGATCTTGGGTTTGAGGAAGCTGATGTAGCCACAGCAAATGCTGCTGCCGCAGTTGAAGTACTGCTCCTGGATTTAACACAACTAGATGCAACCAACTATATATACATATATGTATTGTCTGTTGTATTCTTGTATGGACATGTGGTTTTCGCCAATCGAGTAATGTGAGTGATTATGATATGTATGTGAGAGAAGAACGTGTTATGTGAACAGTAAAAATATAAAGTAGAAAAGTTGAAGTCATGCAGATAAGATAAAAATTAAGAAATAGACAATTATAGTGCGTCATTTGGTAGTTTTACCAGAAAAGTTTGGGAGAGTTTCGAAAATTTGTTTATTATGAAATTCTATATTTGCTGCCATGAGTTTTAGCCGGTAAATAGTGTGATGTCCTTGTTTTAAACCCATTTACTGTATTTATTTATTTCATCACGATTTTTTTGTAATTTTTGAGAAACAAGTTTCTTTAATTCTTGTATAATTTTTAACATACTAAGGAGATGTATAAGAGGTGGCAAAAATGATATACTGGAGGGATAAAATAATATAAATCTTCAAAACTCCCGGAAAATTTTCTGGTAACCTTGTATTGGGTATCAAATGACTGCACTAATAAAATTGGTGATTTAGAGGAAAGTTTGATAGAGAAAAGAAAAAACAGTAATGTACCATGCGGAGACTTAAAAGTGATGGTTATTTTTAATGAAAATTTTGCATTTATATTACAATTCACACTCCATTAGCTATATTGCAAGGAATATCTATATAATAACTTCGACGTTTAACAGTGAGGAAGAAAAAATATAGTGCAGTTACTTATAAATATTGAAATTAAACTACTTCACAATCATCTTACGAAGTGATTCAGCAACGAGCTAGGCTGAAAATTTTTGTTTATTTTTTGGCACCATTTTGAAAACTATTTTGTTCACTTTATACTATGTGGTCTGCATTTTATTAATAGTACAGGGTTTGTGAATTCTAACAGGGATTACAATTTCGTAGAATAAGGGAAACTTGTCTATTTTAAGCGTATATTGTTAAGGATTGTCTATGCACCTCTACCAAGACTGCTCTAAATTTACCTCCACCGCCTACTCACCATAACAGGTCATTTCCAAAGCTGTTAAATTAAGAGTCATCAATAACATTCAACTAATGCCAATAATGAAAATGATTTTGATATTAAATCGTCACAACAATTGAAATCTATTGGAAGATTATAAAATAATGTAATAGAACTGTAGCTATTTAGAAATCAAATATATTTTAATTAAACTACTGAAAATTCTTATAATATCTAGAATATATCTAATAACTAAACCGTCGCATATGTGTATTGAAATAATTACATAAATAATCGTAGGCATTAATTTTTTAGGAAAACTAGAATTCATTTATTGTTTTGTTCCTTCGTCCGATGTCCACGCTAATTCTTAAGTTCAGCACAACATAACCTTTTTTAATTCAATCTATCATACAAAAACACGATAATTTTTCGATAATTTGTGTACATTTCAAGTCACAAAGACTTTGAGAAACATTGTTTTATTTATACTTGGACAACATCATGAATAAAATAAACTAGTTATCTATCTCTTCCATTTTTCACGAATATCAGTAAGTAATGATTTTATTAAATTTACATGTCACTATAATTGTATGATTTAATATTTGTAATATTAAACAATACACAACCCTAGCATCACGCAGGCGAAGTCGCGAGCAACAGATAGTATTAAAAGTTAAATAAGAATAGAAATGTCAGATCGTAGAAAAGTTGTCTCATGCAACAACACCAACAAACAAAATTCCGTTCTGTGCTCCAAAATCGATTTATGATAAATTAATTTCATAAAATTAAAAAAACGCTAGACTTTGACATACCTTCTGTGAGACTGTCTGAACGAAGTAATGACGACGCCGGCTTTCGGTTGACTTGTTTCACGGCGATAGTTCTAAAAACGGGCTATTTTTAGTAAATATATGACTGAAATACAAACTATTACTAATGAAACATAATCGAGCTAACACTTATTTCTGAAAACGTATTTAAATCAGGTTTTTTTAATCTCTGAATGGAATTTAATGTCAAATAAAACGTCAAAGTCACCTGCATCTGTGACACTTGAGATGTGACAGACGTCCTCGGCTCTGAGCCGCCCCAGTAACGACGACGCTCGCTGTTCATAGATGAGTTTGTACAGCGTCTTTCACTGAATAAAAATATTTGAATTAGCTGATAAATTTAATTTCCATCTAAGATTTTCGCTAGTATTCATTGATATAAAACTAATATTTTTCCGATTTACTAAGTTTTTATAAGTATGTTTAACTAAATACTAACGAAGTTTCGGTTAATTTGCAGGAACCGTGATCCCCGTGATCAAAGTACAATAGATTTGATTGCCAACATTGACAGACAGTGACAAAGGTTTTTAAGATAATTACGAAATATACGAAATTTCAGACTGATGATATAAGTTATAAATATTTTATTAATTATAAATTACCTCATTATAGCCCACGTCTAAACTAATATCCAAGTTTCTATACTGTAAATTTTCTACAAAAAACCGTTACATTGTTTTTGAATGAACGAACTATAAACATCCCCACATCCATACACCCTCACAAGTCTTTAACTTTCGTATCTATAATATTAGTAAGATTTTTATATAAAAAAACTAGAAATCTTTTAAGTATTATGTGTAATGACAACTTATTACATGTAATTACTTCATCGATACCTGCAGTCACGGTCAGTCGCTGAAAATTACCACCAAATGGATACCAATGTGTTCCCTAGAAAACTCTCATTGGGTTGAGGATAACTGCTCATATATTGGGTAATGGTTGTAAGTCAGTGGTGGCCTAATGGTAAGACGGCCCGCCTCTCGTTGCCGAGAGCACGGGTTCGATCCTGGCCCGGGCAAGTACCAATGTGATTTTTCCGAGCCATATGTACTTTCTAAGAATATTTAGACATCACTGATTAATGCTGATTCCCAAAAGAGGGTTGATGTCAGGCAGGCGGCTGGTTGTAAAAACAATTAGCCAAAACTATTCACAACAGGTAAGGCAGACCCTGGCTATAGCCGGGAAATTGCCAGGTAGAAGAAGATATTGGGTAATGGTTGAATACCTGACAGACCGTCTGGGTAGTGCTCTCGCGGCGATATCCGAGGCTCTCCTCGGCTCTGTGTCAGTAACTTCCCGCGCTCCTTCAGACCGGCGTCTCGCGTCCGCCAGCGCAGCCCCACCTGAACCCGGCTGAAGGCGCCGCGGACTCTCAGACATGGTACGAACACGCTGCTTTAGTGAAAAGATTTGAGGTTTAGGATGCATCTCCATTAAAATATTAGGAGTGAATGTTAGGAATGAATTTGAACGTTGATGAGTATTGAAAATAGTTAGGTATATCGCTCATCCAAAAGAATAATGACACAATTACCAAAAAGTCGAAAATGAGTTTTTGATGCCATAACTTTATATTTTGCACGTTTTATCGATGGTAAAAACGATAGAATTGTTATTCCATTCGTTTCAGATAGAGAGAGTCAATGTCGTTATGGTTTTAGCCTATTTTACGTACGGTTCCGGGGAAATATCACGTATTTGTCATTCGTGCGCATAAATACTATTAAGACTGGTGAACGATTACGATAATTTCTTATAGCAAAATTGTTAGATTAATGAATCATTGTGATATTATTTTATATTCCTACCAGTTTATAATAATTATGCTCCTTAAAGATTATGCTACTCTTAAATAAGTAGATACAAGTACCGAATGGTACCCGGTTAAAGATGCCTTTAACTGTAATTTCTCTTGATCTCATTATTACTTTAAACACAACCCAGGTATCTACTTATATACATTTATTATTTTCAATATTAGATTTAGTTACTTAGATTTTTTTTTAAATAGTTTGTGTTTTTAAACTCATCAAGATTTTTATAATACTTATTTTTATTACTATAAAAAAGTATAAAATTTAGACTGATTAATTGAAACAAAACAAATAAAGTATAATGTTGTCTAAATTCATGATTTATTACCATATCCAAACCTAGTATTATGTCATAATTGCTTTACTCATTTTAAAAATTGTCATAGATGTACATCTGGTTTGTTTTATTTGGTATTTTCTAATAGTTATCTTAATTTTTCTCGCAATTATTTCACATAATTTTATTGATGCTAAAGTAACACAACATAACTATTAAAATATATCAATAGTATTATTGGAAATACACATTATTATCGATGTCAAACTTTTATAACGCTCTCTTGAAAAATCGCAAAAACGTAATTACGTCAATATTCTTTTGAATGAGCGTTATGTGAATTTGTAATCATTTTGAAGTACCATACTTTATAGCCATATCAGAACAAAAAATATAGATGATATATTTAACAAGTTGATTTGTTTATGTTGTATTAATAAAGATATGGTATTTACATTGCAAACTTCTGAAAATCTTTGTGATATTTTAAATTTATCGTCAATCTTATGTTTGTTTTTCTCAGGTTCTTCCTCTTTATACTTGATGTCTTCGTCACTCTGATCGACGAGTTCAATGCTCTCTACTTTCATGATAGCGGCTGCTGTGTCATTGTCTTTAGTCGGTGACTTTTTCTCAGTTTTCGCTGGTTCCACTGGACTGTTTTTTTTGGGACTGCCCACAAGGGTCACTGAACTTAAAGCGCCAGGAGAAGACGGAGAAGTACCTATAATGCAAACAATAATAAATTGTTTAGTAAATTCGTCCAAACTTTAGTAATGATGTATATTATAATCATTACCTTTCAGTGTTTCGTTACTGGACGAAGTGGCCATTATTTTTGGTATTTGTAGATGGCTGTTATCTTCTTCAGCCTAATTAAAAATGTAATTTTCATTAGTAAGAAAAATCTATCCATGAAATTTACTGCAATATTTTTCATTGAACGTACCTTAACAGCGGATGTCCGTCGTGATGGCGCCATTAAATACGGTGATAATTTATCATCTTCCTCACCTGATTAAAAGAATACGTTTGAAAATTATTTCATTCAATTATTAATTAACAATATAAGCATATATGTGTTCATTTCAAAATTTCCGAAACGTGCAAAGACATTGAGATATAAAATATAATGAAATATTACTTTTTCTAGATGTTCTCCAAAATCTTGACTGCCAATCACGGTCGCTATACTCAGATCCGTAACCTAGAAATAGTGGATTATTCGTATCTCGTGCACTGAATACAATATTTGAAAAGAATACATAAAATTATAAATAAAGTGAAATTAAAGCCATACATATTTATTAAAACACAAACACTTTCAAAACCAATCAATTTTTAGGAAAATATTAAAAAATTTCAACTCGTTTGCTTTTAGTTTTAACAATCCTTACCTTATTACATTTAGTATCAGTTTTATATTAGCCACATAAAATCCAATAATCTCTGTTTTAAAATAATTTAAGCTATTAACGAAAGAAAAAATCTCAGTGCATTTTTTCTTCTCAACACAAATATGACCAAATACTTGTAAGTAAATACCATAAAACCCTAGATTTAAGGATGATGAAAACTCCAATTAAAATAATGTATAGATGAATCTATATAAACCAACAGTTTGGGCTAAATATAAAACTAATACTAAAGGTACAATTAAAAGCCCAAAGTAATAGTATCATGTACTTTTACTCAAAGTTCGTATCATCAAAATGTTAATGGTTACCAGACACGGAGCTGGCTCCGCTCGCCTTCCTGGTGGTGTCAGGAGGTGCCAGCTCGAGCTCCTGCTGTGACTGTTCATAGAAGACAGCCTTTAGAGCCTCGAGGACCTTCACTCCATCCGTGAACACGCGGTACGTCAACAAGAAGGTGTTCAGGAAGTCCACGGATAAGAAACGAAGATCTGTTATAAACATAAATAGCAGAAAACATAATATATGGTAACATTATCTGGTTTTAAAATCATTATAGGCAGTAAAAAGCAAATTATTGATGAAGTATTGAGATAATTATGAGAGAAATAAGAACTTATTAGCTTTTTTCCATTCAATGGTATGTAATAGGTCAGTAACCCACCCGTCAATCTTTGCAGCAATCGTTCCGGAGTAGCCGATCTAATTTGCGGCACCTTGCAGGAGTTCAATGTTCTGCTGAATCTAATATCCACATCGTCAGTGAACAGCGCTCTGTCAGACCTACAAGCGGGGAGACTGGCTGATGCTGCACCACACGAGCCGCACGCTCGTAACAGTTCAGTTAATGCAGCACTCTCCATACATTGGGCCAACTCGCTTGTCCATGCTGCTTTATCTTCCAAAGTTGCTGCAACTGTACCCGTAAAATTAATAAAATGTACCTTTTAATCAGATCATCGTTAGGTACATACCTAAGTGTGCACAAATCTGTTCACCCTTGACTTCAACGAGTATTTTAAAGTCCTTGCCGTGATAGAGATCTCCTCCAGGAGATGAGCAAACAGATGTGGAATCTAGGATAAATATAAAAAGATATGATCATACTATTTTAAATAATGTTACTTGTTTAGTAGGCTCTTTTGTACCATCATCTTCATGGTTTGACGGGTCCTCAATAAGCAGTGCGTCATGTAGCGGCAGACGCCCCGACGGCGGCAGGTGAAGACGACCACCAGCAGCTCGTGTGGTCAGCAGCAAGTGGTTGCTGAACAGAAACGCTTGCCGAGCCTGTAAATTTGCTCGCCGTCCTTTACCTACCACTTGGGAGAGAGTTCCTGGAAAGATTTTAGATCAGTCATATTTATGTTATGTTAATAACTATATAACAAGTCAAATGAAAATACTTAATATGTTACCTTGACGAATGAAAACTTGGTTTACATCCAGAAGTATGTCACATCCTTCAATTATCATTCGTTCGACCGCTAGATTCTTCCTCAGATTTTCAGTTTCGCTGACCTGAAATAATATTAACTAAATATGATCCACATTTTAGACACTTAAAGAAAACCTCAATATTATAATATCCTCCATAGGATTTGGAAGTTATGCAGGACCAAACCTCATCATGCATTTGTCGGGACAGTTCCTCTAGTTGAGCACGTGCGTGTTGCAGACTGCGACGCTCCACGTGGTCGTGTGGCGTGTGTGCCAATAGTTCATGCAGGGTGATGATGTATCTTGGAATCTTAAACCAAATTGATTGTTATCAATAACAACAAAAAATGCTAATAAAGTCATCATCTATTTCTCTTGGGAAGCATTATATACTCGTATATCTTCCAAGGTCGATCAATTTTGACTTAGCTATAATCCAAAGCTATTATTGTCAACTCTAACCTGATGCATAGGATACGTCAAAAATGTCTCCAGCAGTCTTGACTGGCAGGCTGGTTTGCTCTCGAGGCGTGCTAGAAGCTGCGTGAAGGGTTGATTCTGTTTGCACTCTGTGAGCACTTGTAGCGAGTAGTGATGGTTCCGCACGTATTCTTGGTAGATCGTCAACATCGGCAACAGCATGTCGAAAAGGTCTCCTGCATACATTTTATACTAAGTATGCATTTGAAGCTTGTCAGAAAATTTTTATCGTATTTCCTATACATACATCTGACATATTACTTTTTATAATAAAACTACCCCCGATTCATAGGGATCATATTTTTTTAAGTATGACTAATACCGTTGTGATAATCGGCACTGAATTTAATGTGGTTTTTATTAGAACATTGTATTAAGCAGTTCGTAAGCAAAAATAATACAAAATCAAAAGTGTTTTTGGATATAAATATAAAAAAAATCGTATTACCTTAAAATTATTAAAGTATTTCAAATGACTGTACAACCGATTTAGAAAATAGACTAAACTTGTTAAAAATTTCTTCTTATATTGCAATATTATTAAAGATTACAATATTAGTTTAATATTTTAATATTTAGTATCCTAATATCCTAATTTACTACAGACTTCAATAACCTCTGGCAGGTTCTGAAATATATCACCTTACAGAAGTATTGGTGACATCAATTTGATTAAAACTTTTCTAGTTAGCATTAAGCAAGAGCATGAAACAGCCGGAGTGACGACATTTTACAGAATATCTCATAGGTTTGGATAGCTACGACGACCACTGGGTCTAAATCCTTTCATTGTAAATCTTCCTCGTATACCTACTTTCACATTCACAAATGATTGTAACGATTTTCCTGCATCTGTGTTTCCTCTGACGTACAATTAAAAAGTTTTCAAGGAATAGGTGAATATGGTTATAAAGCAGACGAGTTTTTAGATTACTTTGAGATTGTAAAGCATCAGGAATAATCGTTAATAACGAAAAACTCCAGTGTCTCACCTAAAACGAGTGTCGGCCACGACTCCATTCTGGAAGTCAATCCTTTGAAAAATATTTGATGTAAAAACAATACAGTCTCGCTGTTTAGGAAAATAGAGTTGACATCCTCGTGGGTGCAGGGAGGCTTCTTGGAGCTCGCGGCCATCTTGAAGGGCCTTAAGAAGCAGGTGACCAAGCATTCCATCTGCTCCAAATATTCTTCTTCAGCTTCAACCATTTTGAAGACCAGACTGCAAGTAGAAGTGAGCATTTTATGATATATGTATATATGAAAGTACTGTTTTTTGTATAAGTTCTTACCTATTTCTCTTCCTCATACTCTCAGCATGAGGACTTTTAATATACTGCTCAACAATCTGCTTCCAACGACGCCTGCATAACCACCCGCGGAAGAAGCTCTAAAAAGGTATTTTAATAATATAACACCATCAAATACTACTGCTAATAATTTTATATAAGAGCGATTTCCCCAAATTATTTTTTCGTAAGGAATAGATAATGGTTTTTTTAAGCAAAACTTATAATACCAAAGTATAGAGTAACAAAACGAAGAATTAATATCTTTTATGCTGTAAAGATCTCAAGTAGAAACTGCAAGAAGATAGTATAATCGTGAAAGTTTTATGTCATCGTTTAGCGTATTTTCCTTTAAATATTGTTATTTTAACTGTATTTTCTGCACTTAAATTGCAATTAAAATCCATCCTTATTTACTGGTACGAAAGACATTTTCTATTTCAAATAGTTTTATTATAAATAAAAAGTCGTAGTTACCTGAACTTTTTTAATCTTCCTCAATTCATTGGGATCGATTTCCTCCGAGTCGGTGGGTGAAAGGCTCGTAGTTGATTCCGCTCGAGTTGCTGGCTCGTGTTCCTTCTTGTAAGCGCATAGCTATCACAATAAATATATACTTATTTATTTATTGCTGCCTCATATATCCTTCAGTTCCTCCCTAATAATATAAAACCTACATATAACGTATCAATACAGTTATTACCCACATCTTATAAAACCTAACATAAAGCTACAAAATAATTAATCTTCATAATTCTGTTTTAGCTCTTATTTATATGAAAGTAAAACTGTTTTTCACTTGATCATTCTCAAACATATTTTTAGTCACTGTATTTCATGATCCAATAATATATTAAAAACATTAAACTTGCAAATCCTTGATATAAACCAAATAAACCTTTTTTTAAAGGTCAAAATCATCAAATGACCCCTCTTCTCTTGGGTGGGACAAGAGAGAGTGTCAGACTTCTACTGACTAAAAACCCTATGTACCTACCTACTCCTGCTTTGAGCATGGAAACCAAACCAAATATTCCTACTAGCTATACATCGTCACCCTACTTCTATTAACTCATACCTCTGTCCTCAGTTTCTTGACCTCGTTGGTAAGTTCGTCACACTGCTGGGCGTACTGCCAGCGTGAAGTTCTCTCACTCTCAACTACCTGCAGCAGATGCAGCTGCTTCTGTTCCAGCTCCTCCTTCTGCTGCAACAGCTTGTTGAAGCTGTATGAGATATTTATATAGAATAACTTTAGGTATACATATTTTTATTCTATGAATTGTTGATATGCTGTAATAAAATATGTTTCCAGAATCTCAAAAATAAGGAATGTCGTGGTAGCCTAGTGGTTATAACTTATAAGACCGCCTTTCATGCACGAGGGCGCGGGTTCGATCCTGGCAAGTACCAACGTGATTTTTACTTTATAAGAGTATTCAGACATCACTGACTGATGAAGGAAAACATCGTGAGGAAACATGGACTTATAATTTCACATTATAAGTTTAAATAACCAACCCGTCTTAAACAAGCGTGACGATTAATGCTCAAACCTTCTCCATGTGAGAAGAGGCTTTTACTCAGCAGTGGGCTCTGATAGGCTGATGATGATGATGATGATGAATAATAAGGAATCTCGGAAACTGTTAATGATTGATCAAAGATAATAATTGCATATATGTATTTCTAGTAAGTCAATCTGTTTTATTATTTTTGTATTAGAGGGCAATCAATAGTCTAAAAGAAACTAATATTTTCAATATCACTACGCGTACACATCGACAGACAGCGAGATTCATCTCGTCTTCGTGATCACGGAAGCTGTAAAGTAACCGAAACGTCTGGAGTATATTGCTAAAATAATAAAATACGTATAGTATCAGTTTCATTTAAATGAATACTCAAGTCTTAGGTCTCATTAAATCAATAGTCTAATAATAGAGTGAGCACATCTTCATATACATTATACAGTGTATGTTTATTTCTCAAGTTCTTATAACAACCTACGCAACACTTTTCTTGCTTTAAGAATAACTGGTTCAGTATCTTCAGCTCGATGTAAGCATATTTATAGAAATCCAAATATATGTAAAAGAAAATTGTGTTATTTATACTATTTATTACTCAAGAACGACTGTACGGGTTTGGATGAAGATTGGTGGAGAAATAGTTTAGAACCAGGAGACGGACATAGGACACTTTTCATCCTATTGAAAAAGAAAAAATAATAAGTTGATAAAATCCATAAATCCAAAATATTCTTATGTACTGTCTTTACGGAGGAATAGAGTTCGACGGTCAGCTATACATTTCTAATTCTAAAAATAACGAAACGCAAACGAAATCACGGGCCAAAAGAAGTAAATAAATAAAGATATCTTAAAATCGTTTTATAGATCATAACTCCCAAATGTCACATAAATTTTTTAAAGGATAATTTAATGTTTCTATTAAAACCTAATAAAAAACCTTTACTTCTCCTCAAAGTATTTTACTGACGAATAATGAGATGACGGGACGCATTATGTGTTATACTGGCACGTAAAGATACGAAAAACCTCTCAATACTTTTATGGGACACAAATAACTCGTGTCAATAACAGTTAAATTACAGAAAAAATGTTTTAACTACCTTTATGTTGACAGATATTTTTTATCTTCTATCTTCTATATATATAAAAATGGATTGCTGTTCCTTAGTCTCGCTAAAACTCGAGAACAGTTGAACGGATTTATCTTATCTTAGTCTTGAAATGTTCGTGGGGGTTCAGGGAAGGTATAAAAGGTGAAAAAAAATTGATTCATTACTGGGAAAACCATAAAAACAGCCCCTTTCTATTTCCCATACAAACGTTTTTTTTTTGACATTAGATGTGACAGCTAACTAATATGTCAATAATTCTGTCGCAACTCCAAAAATATAAATAAAAAAACGTAATAGATATTTCTTGATTATAGCGCGATACAAAATTCGCCAGGTCTTCTAGTTTAATATATATATCTGACAATACAGAAATATCGTCATCATTAGAAAATTATTTATCAAACTGCATATATTAGGCACGTTTCGATTAAAACATCCAATATCAAAATAAACAAAATATCAGCCAATATTATATAAATATAATCATTTAATATAATCACGATAAAATTGTAAAAAAATCTCGAAGCTAATTTGTACAGTAAGTTATCTATGACCGTAGTTAATTCAACTCTTGAATCCATTAGGCGGTAGCTTATTGAATGCTGCTCGGTACACGCTACAGGGCCCGTGGAAATGTCAGCGCGTCCTTGAGCCGGTTGCCATGGCAACGATCTCATCACAGCCCAGCAATATTTGCTGGTAAAATGCATTCCAATATGTTATGTTTAATATATTGTATATAAAATACAGCAATAATTGTTTTAAGACTGTTGTACAACTGGTGTACGACTGTTGTACAACTAGTGTACAACTGGATTGTACAACTAACTTTAGACTTTCTAGTTAAAATTTTTTGATAATCGATAAATCGAAATTCTCATTAATGTATTTATTATTAACTCGTTACTAAACATTCTTAAATCAATGTATTCATTATTACGAATAACAAATGAAAAAAAAAAATTATATTGTATACTGGGTGACTGGTGAATTACTATCAATACTTGAGGACGTGATATTTGACGATCATATGTGACAAAATAAAAATTAATATAACATAAATATTAATAAACTTCTAAGTAAAGTTAACCAAAAGTTATGTAATTAATTACGCATCGTGTGAACACCTTACAGATTAGGTATACACACACACACATACGCGTGCGGCGGCGTGGTGTTGTATCAGCACGCCGCCGCACGCGTCCACACTTGGAACGTGTCCACACTTTATTTATTTATACAGAAATTTGGTCAAAAATTAAGTACCTATTGTTTTTACATAATTCGAATGAGAATCATGTACCGAGTATTCTCCTTAAATATTGATAGTAATTCACCAGTCACCCTGTATATAGAATTCATTTTCTAATTCATTACATAACATATAGTACTAGGCATTTATTGAACTACATAATTGTAACTTATTATTAAGGAATTATAAACAATAATATAATTTTATCTTTACACTATAATTTTGCCTCAACTTTTTATTCTTTATCTTGTATATATAAATCCCTCAGATATATAATTCATAAACGCGATACAGAAGCGAGAACAAAAGAATTGGTACATTAAAATTGAATGAAGCAACATCCTTGCGAGATTGTACGTAAAAATCTACCTCTGAATTTATGTACACCCATAAATTGATTTATATGTAATAAAGGTATAAATTTTATTAGATAAACAAGATATCGAGTTATATGTACTTTCTAAGAGCATTTAGACACCACTGACGGTGAAGGAAAACGTGAGGAAACCTGGACTTATAACAAATTATAAGTTTGAAATCACCAATCCGTCTTGAGCAAGCGTGGTGATTAATGCTCTAACCTTTTCCATGTGAGAAGAGGCTCAGCAATGGGCTCTGATAGGATGATGATGAAACAAGGTAAGTCTTTTTATTAAATATTTATGATTGAATTAAAAAATATCGATTATAATTAATATTAAAATGTATTTTAAATTTCAAGTACCGTAAGTTATTTTTTATGGATGGACGGTTGAAGGTCAAACCAATTATCTTGAGAGCGAGTCTATAAATTAGTTATCTTGTTGTTACCTTAACAGGTAAATATAGTTTGCGGGTAAATTAAGTTTTAAGGCTGCAGCATGCTCGTTACTTTTAAACTAATTTAACTATTTATAAATTAAAATATTTATTAAAAAAGTATTCTATATAAAAGTGCAATAATAATAATATGACTTTCACGAGTATTCATTTAAATGAAACTAATATTTTTTTATATACTACGCGTGCACTATTTTTTAATGTCGTCTGTCCGTGATCACGGTTGCTGTAAAGTAGCCGAAACGTCGGGAGTATGTAGTTAAAATAATAAAATAACGTGTAGTATTTGAAAATATAGGTTTATTTAAGTATAATAATAATCTTAGATATGTTTTACTCTGAAATATGTCGCGAATTACACGAAATTGTGTAGGTTCTGAACGACAGAGAAACATGTTGTTCTGTCTTGGAACATTAGACTATAACTATAATATTAATACATTTTTATTTTCATTAAAAGAACTATTTGAAACTGGCAACATTCTTCATTCAGGTTTCTTTTGATTTAAAATAATGGCAACATCACATTCACATACATTAGAAAGAAAAAAAATTATACATAAAGTAATATATTCCTAAATGTAAAAGTTAAATTTGGTTGAGTTTCGTGTAGGTAAAGGAATAATGATGGATGTGAACACTTAGCAAGGAATCCTTTGGGAGTCTGTATACAGAAGATATCAGATACTAAACTTATGATAATTCGTGGTAGCCTAGTGGTTAAAGACCCGCCTCTCATGTATGAGGACGCGGGTTCGAAACCTGGCAAGTATCAATGTAATTGTTCCGAGTCATATGCACTTTCTAATTGTATTTAGACACCACTGACTGATGAAGGAAAACATCGTGAGGGAACCTGGACTTATAATTTCAAATTATAAGTTTGAAATCACCAACCCGTCTTGAGCAAGCGTGGTGATTAATGCTTAAACCTTCTCCATGTGAGAAGAGGCTCAGCAATGGGCTCTGATAGGCTGATGATGATGAAACTTATGAAAAAGAAGAAATGAATTGTTTAAAACTGCTATGATCCAAAATTCCAAATACTCGATGTAGTTCTCATTCAAAATTAATTTCTTTAATAACTTGTATAACTATTCTATATTGTAAAGTTTTCATGTATATAAATAATATATGTATGTCTGTAGTGAACGCATTACATCTCATAATTGTAATATTATTGCTTTGGTTTAAAAAGGCGCGGAAAAAGTCGCAAGAATTATATAGTAGTTAAAAAAAAGTAGAATAAAATACAATATTTTTATTAATTAATTATAATTTTAATATGCATATAAGAAGAATTTAATATCATCTAAATCACGTAACGAGATGCTACGTTGCTACGAGATGCTACGGACAGCTACGTGCTACGAGGCTACGTCATGCCAAGGATGCGACCTGATTACCGACCTAACATCTGTATTACAATATTAATATTGATACATACATTAATATTACAGTAATAATATTACAACATTAATATTATATATAATAACTCCTAATTTCATATTAATTCTCATTAGAACATTTCTTAAATTAAAAATGTATATAATTTCTGATATTTAAAATGTTCATTTCTCTTCGTTTCTTGAATTTTTAATGCTGCAATAATTCCTTTACATAATAATAGCGCAAAAATACTTTTATCTATACACACATCCATCCATACATACATACACACACACACACATACAACAAAAAAAACATTCAATAATTTGTAATCATTTACATATATATTTTATAATGTATCAAATATACATTGTAGATCTGTTACCAGTTATCAGAGCTCAATATGTTGCGGGGTCAGGGTCGTGACCTAATACTCTCCCAGGATACGGACCCGGCCTCTTTGTAACGTTTAAGAGGAAATATTGTTTATAATAAGAAAATACAGATACTTTAGAAACACTCTTTAAGATATATATAATATAAAACAAGTAATATTTAACGTTTGTATGTCATTATCACCCTATCAGAGCCCTCTGCTAAATGTCTTCTCACATGGAGAAGGTTTGAGCATTAATCACCACACTTGCTCAAGATGGGTTAGTGATTTCAAACTTATAATTTGATATAAGTCCAGGTTTCCTCACGATGTTTTCCTTCACCGTCAGTGATGTCTAAATATTCTTAGAAAGTACATATGACTTGGAAAAATCACATTGGTACTTACCAGGATCGAACCCGCGCCCTCATGTATGAGAGCCGGGCCATTAACGACTAGGCCACCACGACGACGTTTATTTATATTGAAATTAATATATCACTATGTAAATTAGATTGTGTATTTCATTGTTATATCCTTATTATAAGTTAGCATCGTCACTACATACGTAGCGTTAACAGTATCCTATTAATAAATCTTCACACATTATAGTATTAACGTAGATCATTAAATGAAAAACGGCAGACGAAGAGTATGTAGTGACGATAGAAACTTAGACTAAGGATAAAAATATGTAGATTATCTTAAAACTCACACAGATGTGTAATCACTAATTGTCATACGTGCGCCATTTGCATTTTAGTTTTCATCTTAAAACTCACTTACATTGAAACAAAAACTAGAATAGTTTATAATAAAATGAGACTAAATATATAAATAAATCAATATTGAAACACGAAAAAAGCATTAGCATGTAACAAATTAGGAATATATGTATACACACACGATATTATGTATAGAGTATAGTCACAATCATCGTCTATACATTTCAAAAATCCATTATTGATATCGAATCAGTAACAATTCACTTAATAGAAAGCCGTAACGACTCTTTAATGACGCTGTTTGTATCGTAAAACACGTTTTGTTTAATTAATATCTAATTATATTAAACTACATATCTTTATATAAGTCCATTTGTGAGCCTACATTAAAAATAAAACGGATATATTGCTGACTTGAAATATTAAAAATATATAATTAATTCAATTTAATTATTGTTATTTATAAGAATATTATAAGCATTGGTAATATTTTGTAATATAATTTAAGGTAAACGTGGTTTTTAAATGAATATAAAGTTGACGGGTCATAAGTCATACTTCGTATGTCAGATTGACAAATGACACATGACATAACATTGCTTTTTTTTTGTAACTCATGTGTTTTTGACAAATTCCCACTATTCCATTATTTCAACAAATCATCTTTCTTTTTTAGAAGACTAACTTTAGCTGCTGTTTTGTTTGTTATGATTGCGTTTTAACGATATTCATAATGATGAAATCGTTGGCTTCCCCTTCTTCCTGGCAATTTCCCAGCTATAGCCAGGGTCTGCCTTACATGTTGTGAATAGTTTTGGCTAATTGTTTTTACGACCGGTCGCTTGCCTGACATCAACCCTCTTTGGGAATGCATTAATCAGTGATGTCTAAATACTCTTAGAAAGTTCATATAATAAGTTGGCTATTGCATTGATATATAATATTAACTAACCTCGCCTCGCGGATAGCGTCGACCCAGTGTGAACAGTCTACTTCAGACGCGGCTCTGAGCTCGTACTGACGCTGGCTCTCACGGCGATACGATATTGTGAAGCAGAACTGGCAAATTAAAGTGTTTTAACATACAAATACCAAAGGTTTACTAAGTATAAACAAATCGTTTAAAAATTCGTTAGGGCCAAGTATATATAACAATATTTTTCTTCTTCTTTTGTTACTGGCGTTTACTTATAGATTTCGCCAATATCAACTCAATATGTCTCTTTTAATATTTGTTATCAAATCTATGGTCTCAAATCAAATCAAATTTATGGAAAAACTAAGATTAAAGTTAATAAACAGTTTGTAAGCGCCTGTTGTAATATAATCTCACCGAAGCGTTCCTCTCGAGCGGTGCTTTGCTAAGTCTCTCGCAGTAGGAGCCCTCCAACAACAGAATGCCGGTAGGACGAGTGTTGTTTTCAGACTCGTAATAAAACAACAGGTTCTGTTGATGACAAATTATATTATTCTAAAAATATTTTCAAGAATAATATTATATGATGGTGTTAGTATGGAAAAAGGAAAATTTACTTGTTAGTAAGTAATTTCTTATAAATATTTCTTTTACGTATACACACACAAGTATAGATTAAATAACGAAATTCGATAAAATCCTCTTTGCGTTAACTGTCATACGACAAAAAATGTCTTACAATGTTTTGTAAGAGAACTCTTACTTGGAGGAATACACAAATACTTATTGAATAACAGAAAAATTGACAGAAAAAACTGTTGTACTTGTTTACCGATAGTCATTGACCATCGACTTAAAATCCATTGATCTGTTTGCCACGTAAATACCTACATTTATTTAACTGACAGGAATGAAAAAACTTTAAAAAACTTAATATATTTTGATACATTCCTATTCCTTATATTTCATTTACCAGTGAACTTCATTAATCACAACTAATTCATTCTTTGAAGTGGATTTGAAATTGTTCAGCTGAAAATACTAAGTCGTGGCTTAGTGAAGCTTAAATAATTAGAAAAAGTATAGAAGTGATCAAAATCCATATAAATGCGAAAGTAACTCTGTCCGTCTGTCTGTTACGCTTTCACGCCTAAACCACTGAACTGATTTTAATGAAATTTGGTACAGATAGAGTTGACCTTGAGAGAGAACATAGAATAGTTTATATCTGAGACTTTTGAAAGGTTATCTTGGAAACGCGATGTCACCGAACTCCACGGGGAAAGCTAGAATTTCATAAAAAACACGATATTTTAATGATGTAAATATTAACAAAGTTTTAAGTACTCCAAAATGTTTAACAGATCATTAATTTTTAATGATTCGTCGTCTTTGTAAAGTGATCCCTTTATATAAGCGTGGTTTAAAGTTTGTTTAGTTTGGTATCAGAACTTGTTAGTTGTTCCAGAAGGTTCGCTGATGACCTCAATTATTCAAAGGACTCTGATGTATAGAGCAAGAAATAAATTCTTTTGCAAACCGTTTTAAGGATTCCTTGAAGGTCCAAAGTAATGCTTGTTTACGTTTCCCCGTCTCTTTGTGAATCTAATTAAATATATTTTTTATATTTTTTTCCTTTCTAATTATATAATATATAAAAGATGTAATTTGAAAGAGATTGTCTTATTATGAAGGACGATTGAAATAATTATTTTTTAATACTAGGGATGTAACTGAATTTTTTTTGGTAAACGTTTTATGTTGGACTCCAAACAAATCAATATTTATCTAAATAAATGATTACTTTATCTTCTGTTGCTCTACAAAGTTCATTTTTGATTTCACTTCACCTCTCCTCTACAGCCGACTGTAATGTGACATGTGATAGATGGACGAAAATATTTTTGGCGATGTAATAAAAGTTTTACTAAAAAAAGCAATGAGAAACATGTCTTATATGTAGAACAGAAATTTAAAACAATTTTACTAAAAATAATTATAAGAAAACTCAACAAAAAGGTCATATATGTTTTATTTCTCAACCTTTGTGTTATATTATAAGTATTATCGGGTATTTTTTTAATTTTCTCTCACCTGATACAGTATGAACCACCGAAGCTGCCATTTTGTGTTGTCAGAGCTCCGTTTGTGAAGGTACCCGGCCTACAAACATGAATATTTAATAAACCGAACTTACTAAATTAATACTATTATACTATTACTATGTAATAGCTTGTAATTACGATATATTTGACTAAAATAATGATACTTATACTGCTTATTTTACTATTTTTGTTCCTCATTTTAGTATTTTTTAAAAGTGGATTTATAAATTTTTATTGTGATAGAATTAATGACTTATTATGTACGAACACGTACGTACGTAAACAATTCTTTTTAATAATACTTTTGTTCATTTGATTCTTGTTAATTAGTAATACATATATTTCTTTATAAGATAATGTTCCCGCGACTTATATCTGATATAATATACTAAGTAGTGAGCGCCTTATACAGATCGCTTTTCAAACGATGATAGCGACAAAAGAGCTCTAAGGCCTCTGCCTCGAATTTTGCGGGCAGCGGAGCGGCGGCGGGAGCGGCAGGATCTTACGCGTATAATCAAATGGACCGACCCTCGAATACAGTGGTGCAGGAGCAGGGCGGGGGCGGGCAACGAGCGGTGCACGGGTGCACTCCAGTCAAGCGGTAACCGCCCGCGTTGCGCGTCTGCATTGTAGGTATAGTGTTGTAAATTTTTTTGTGACGTATCAAAATGTCAAAATGTTTTTCAGACATTTCGTTCGCGAATAAAAACAAATATCTCGACAACACGAACACAACACTACACCGCTATAGTGCCGCGCGATCTGCCCGCTAGTATGGAGAACAGGTATGCGTTGCCCGGCGCCCGCGGCGGCGGGAGCGGCAGGATCTTACGCGTATAATCAAATGGACCGACCCTCGAATACAGCGGTGCCCGCTGCCCGCTATTTTGAAGAACAGGTATGCGTTGCCCGCGCCGCCGCCGCCGCCGCTCCGCTGCCCGCAAAATTCGAGGCAGAGGCCTAAGACTTTCGCGAGTATTCATTTAAATGAAACTAATATTATTTGAATTACTACGCATTATTTTAAACTACATACTCCCGATGTTTCGGTTACTTTTCAGCAACCGTGATCATTAAGACGAGATGTAAGTGTATTTTTCAGATAGTACGCGAATTCACATCTCGTCTCAATGATCACGGTTGCTGAAAAGTAACTGAAACGTCGGGAGTATGTAGTTTAAAACAATAAAAAACGCGTAGTATTTGAAAATGTTAGTTTTATTTAGATATTAGCGACATTTTATGCTCCTTTAATCTCTGAAGATACTTTAAATTTATTATTTATTAAAGAATATCCTATGAACATAATACTGTTTTAATTTACTGACGATCTTTACCTGTGAGTGATCATATTGAGCTCGTTCTGACAGAGCTATCAACTGGCCGTCGTTGACTCGGATAGAGCGTTGAATCTTTGGACTCAACATGGTCTACAACCTAAAATAATAGTCGTAATATACTTATTTATATACAATAATATAAAAGGACCTACAAGGACAGCTCCTATTTATTCTGATGATGAGTATCCATCATCTTTATTACCCTTGAACCATAATAATCCTCTGCGTTCTTAAGAAACTATTATGATGTAGTAATAATGTTTTTGGATCATCAATGAAGATGATGGATCTTAAATTGTATTTACTAAGTACTAAAGACATCAACAATACAAAGGAATAGTAGAAGTTGATTTTCCTATTAAATATCTATAAATATTAAATCATTACTTAAGCTAAACATTTTTTAAATACCACTTACCTTGAAAAAGAAATAAATATTTTCTACCTACTTTATAAAAATACAATTCTTACATTATCAACGACTTTTTACAAACAGATTTCATTAAATGTTCGTTTTAATTAATATGCGTGACTGTCATATTTACTCAGCTATTGAAATAATAAACGAAAATTTAAATAAAATCATTAATAATAATAAAAAACTACTATTATCAAAGAATTTTTTCATTATTATTGTATATATTAAACTATGACTTACATATATTTATCGCGTTTCGAGAAAATACTTCAGTTCGGAGTTTTTACGCATCACGTTATTTTTCACATAACCGTTTATAATTTGTTAATCGATTGAAACACTTCAATAAACATGGACTTAACGTACTTATAATTATAATATTAAAGATACAACATCAGAAACATTAACAACAGTATAGAAAAGGACAACTTTGAAATATAACATACAAAGATAATATTAGAAGAACGCCTGTTGATTTTTAACACGCAATTTTGCTGGAACGAATCTGTCACGTAAAATCACAGGCGTTATTGGCATTGGAATTTAAGAGTTTTATAGAAGATTTCAGTTTGTCAGTCTGTCATAATAAGTGGTGTCCATTCTATTATGTGTGTAAACGCGGTCCTTCGTCGTCGGAGGCCGCGAATGTACTGCCGGGATAGCACCTGTAGCTGAATCGACTACTGCGCGCTTGCGTGACGGCAATGACGTAGGAAATATGCTACAGAACTAATAAAACACAGACATGAAATACTATTATTAAACTTTAATTAATCTCTTACATACATTTAAAAAGGAATATCTAAATTTGATACTATATTTAAAATTACGTGAGCTTGATTTAAAACATTAAGAAAAATAGTTGTATATGTTTAAAACTCTATTGCATAAATTAATATTGGGTGTGATTTCTGTATGTTTGTAACTCTGTGGCTCAGTTTAAACTCAATTTTGTGAAAATGTGATGCATCCCGTGCTACAGATCTTACAGACTTAGGAATCGAGGACAAAAGTGTAAAGTGGCTTTCATTTGACTTTAAAGAGATTATTATGCGACTTATACCTCTTTGTTTAACTAATATGTATATGAAAAACTAATTTAAACATAGAAAGTATTAAATTGTACCGACAGTATTATACTTTTAGTAATTACAATTCATATTCCTTTATAGCAATATAAAATCTGAATTAAAATTTGCAAACGCTAAGTTAAATATAAAATTAATGAAAAAGAAAACAATTAATTTAAACCATATCCTTAGTTACATGTTTTAAAATATATTTCTGTAACAAGTTTAAATTACTCACAATTAACTGTATAGTAACCGAATCCATTAATGTCAATTTCGTTGTGGTTAAGGGTTATGTGTGGTGTAACTCCCAAACAAATGAACCCATTTCGGTGCGGTTTTTTGCATTTGAAAGCCAGTTTCCGTGCGATAGGTCTTATTTGTTTGGTTGATAACAGTTCAGTAGTGTAGGAGTAGGACCTTTTCAACAAAATAAAGTTTTAAAGGTGGTAGAGCCAAGCTGTGTTAAGTTACTACAGCTCGAACATGGACTGGCTCGACCGGGGAAGTACCACCCTCTCACAGAATATCGGCGTGAAGTAGTCTGTAATGACTACGTTTCGTCTGATGAGTGGAAGAGCCGGTTGCCCTTTCCCTACTCCCACCCTTTCCTGGTATTTCCTTATTCCCACCCCTCCCTTTTCCTCTACAACTAAGGTTTGCAACATCTATGTTGTGGATGTCCATGGGCGACGGTGTCTACGGACTATCAAGTGGGCCGTCTGCTCGTTTGCCACTCTTTACATAAAAAAATAATAATTTAAGGAATTCTGAATTATAAGTACTCACTAAAATAATCTATGACCAAAAAATCACAATTTATGAGAACAGGGAGTTATTTAAAATTAATACATATTTGTATACCTTTTCTACTGATGATATTTAAAAAAGAATTAATCCTCAAAATATTATCCGTTTTTAATTTTTTTTTGACAATGATTTACTGTAATTAGATATAGTTTAGTCAAATACATAGCATTAATTATTCACATTTATCAATAGCGGACACCACATTATTAATTTAATCATATAGTGACGTAGAGTATACATTAATTTATAATATTACTTATAAATATATATATTTTCTATTTGATGTTTTTGCTTTGGTTATTGAAATATTAAATGAATTAAAACTTGTGTTATTCACTTCTTCAGTGGCGAAGTATCTATTTGAAATTGGCAGCACATTCGCAACCTTTTTTGTTAGAACTATTCGTGGGAAATTAAATAGACTAGTTGAACTATGTGCTCGTTCATGCCAATAAATTATTGGAGAAAATTAAGATATAATGTTATATTTTAGATTAAAACATAAATAAACCTTGTATTTATCAATTATTTTGTGTTTAAGCAACATTTCAATAATAATAATTTCTAATCAAAAATAAAACGCGAAGTAAAATCCAAAAAAAAATATATTAGTTTCATTTAAATGAGTACTCGCGGAAATCTTAGATCTCAACATTTCAATAATTGTATTAATATAGCATTCCAACATACCATAGAGTGATCACTTTTATAATTAGACATATAAAGTTAGTGTTTGATATTTTTTATTTGAAAACTAGTAAACTATAAAAATTACTAAAGTTAGTAACATATTACAAAACCACTAGGTATGTCATATAGGTAGCTGTCCCTAAAAAAACTATTTGTCAAATCTCTATGTCATCAGGCATTGTCAGACGTCATGATTGTCACGACTTGAGTGATAAAAAATTGTTGAACTCCTGTCTAAATAAATATATAAACAGACTAGTATTGTTAGGTTTACGACTAACGATTCATTTCCAACGTAATTGTTTCTTTCCCAATTAATGTCTCTGTTGGTATTTCGTTTCGATTTTTAAGACGATTTGTCACTCGGCCGGCTATCTATGTTATGATTGTCAGTGCTCTGTAGGTAGTTATGGCTTCGGTTTCAAAAAATGATTTTGTGAACAGATTGTTGAATTTCCGTCTCGAAGAAGGAGCTGGCGAAGAACAGCCACCGCAGAATATGCTGCCCTCGAACCAGCAATCCAGACAAGGAAGCCACGTCGATGAGGAAACGGGACACGCGAGCGAACCTATGCCTTCCTCGTCAGCGATCGAGAACCTTCAGCCGACGAACAACAATAATGGCCGTCTTCACAACTGGCAGGCGACTAAAACTACAGTAAAAGAACGCTTGTCATTTCTGTTCAATAACGAAATACTATCAGACGTTCACTTCATAGTCGGTAAAGACACGAACCAGCAAGTGATACCCGCTCATAAGTTTGTACTCTCAGTGGGTAGTGCCGTGTTTGACGCCATGTTTAATGGGGTGCTAGCAACGAAATCTGACGAAGTAGAACTCCCAGATGTTGAACCTGCTGCTTTTCTGCACTTACTCAAGTTTCTATACTCAGATGAAGTGAGAATCGGGCCGGAGAGCGTCATGACGACTCTGTACACCGCTAAGAAGTATGCTGTTGCTGCACTCGAGGAACATTGTGTTGATTTTCTCAAGAGCAATCTAGGTACGGACAATGCATTTCTATTACTGACCCAGGCGAGACTGTTTGATGAACCACAGCTGGCCGCTCTGTGTCTGGAGATGATCGACAAGAACACAACAGATGCTCTGAATGCCGAGGGCTTCACTGATATAGACCAAGATACATTGAATGCTGTATTGGAAAGGTACTGTTTATATTTATATTCAAGTTTAATAAACTGATTGTGATATTTCACTTTTACATCTTTAAGGAAACTACTTTCTGTTTACAGTATTAGCAACTTACACTATAATTACATGGTACAGCCTTTTATAAGGCGTCAACTGTTTTTATTTCATTTTGGTCCTTATTAGTAACAAAAGATAATTGAAATCAGTCCTATAGTCAAAATATCTGTATGAATGCATATTAGACACATTATTTAAGAAATTGTGATAACTTGTTGTATCATAGCTTGAATATTATCACCAAACTACAACATTTTTATTTATTTCATATAAATCCTTCTTTCAGAGACACACTACGAATCCGCGAAGCGAAAATCTTTGCCGCTGTGCTCCGTTGGTCTGAAGCAGAGTGCATCAGACGTCAGCTGCCCGTCACACCGAGCAACCAGCGAATGGTGCTCGGCCGAGCCTTCCATGCTATCAGATTCCCTCTCATGTCAGTGGAGGAGTTTGCGATGGGTCCAGCACAAAGTGGATTATTGGACGATAGAGAGATAGTCCAATTATTTCTATACTTTACAGTCAATCCCAAACCGAATGTAGGATTTCTTGACACTCCCCGATGTTGTATGACGGGTAAGGAACTGACAGTGAACAGGTTCTCACAGACTGAATCTCGTTGGGGCTACAGTGGAACTACTGATAGAGTCAGATTTACAGTGGATCAGAGGATTTTTGTTGTCGGTTTTGGGCTGTACGGATCGTATTTCGGACCATCGGAATATGAAGTGCATTTACAGGTAAGATTTATATCATAATAATTCTAAATTTAGAAGTAGCCATGATAAATTCCAGTTAAATCAACTTTGTAAATTTTTTTATCTAAACTATTGTAATGGGACTTAAAAACAAAATAATTGCCAAGTGTCGGTCTCAAATGTTTATTGATTATTAGTCCTATATATACTCCATCGCCTTAACACCAAAGAAGGATTATGACATATTTTAATTAGAACTTAACCTAGTAATAATCATCAAACTCAGTATTATTGGACTACCAAGTAAATATCTCCATGTACAACAGATAATCCACCTCGCTACCAAGAAGGTGTGTGGTTCCAACACTACTACGTTCTGTTGTGACGGTTCCGACGACACCTTCCGCGCCATGTTCAAGGAACCAGTCGAGATACTCCCTAACACCTCGTATATAGCCAGCGCTAAACTCAAGGTAACTATTATACTACATCGAGTAGTGATGTACTAGCACTTAACTAGATAAAGAGTAAGAATTAACTTAAACTATTATTTGATGAAGATTAGCAATTCTAAGTGTTAATTTTTAAATTGAAAGTATCTAATATGATAACTACATCCAGTATTGGCCACTAAGACTACTAACTACTTAGTAGATAAACAGTATGGGCATCAAGTGACTAGTTTTACTGTTTACAAACTAGTCTTATATATGAAAGATGGACTTAAGAAGATATTTACTATTGGTGTGAGCAGCTTTTACTCAGTATGAGCTCTAAAATGTTGAGAAATAATAATATCTAAATGAATACATACATTGAATATACAACAGTTAGATAAAATCTCTAATAGAGATCCTACTACTGTACTATTGAAAAGAATCAAGAAATTTAATTATTCAGGCTTGAGAACATAACATCTGGGGTGGTCCCTCAAGTATAAATAGTTCTTTAGATGTACAGTTGCTATTGATTACCTTATCTTTAAGCCTTAGCCCCCAATCAATTTAAAGACCAACTGTGCAACCCAACATGAACTTTTACTTCTTTATTCCTAAATACTATAATGACAAGATGATATCAATGTAATATATTTCCATATAATTTATTACCATAAATGGTATTTCTATTTCCAGGGCACTGATTCATACTACGGTACCCGTGGCTTGAGGCGAGTCACAGCTGATTGTAACAACGGTGAGAAGGTTGTATTCCAATTCTCATACGCTGCTGGGAATAATAACGGTACCTCTGTAGAAGACGGACAAATACCGGCCATCATATTCTATATATAATACAGTATTTGACCAAGCTCGGTCTAGATTCTAGACTAGATCTCGTTAGACTAAAGCTCCTTCACATTAAACATCTTCAAAAGGTTTTCATAATGACTGTCTGTGTGGAAACGCACTAATGTTCCTCAATGTTTTAACAATATATCAACTATCATATGTTCTATAGTGTTTTGTAATGATAACTAAATTACTAAAATAATTATAATTATATCTTTTATGTATATTTGTTGTTGGACGGAGAAGAAGAAATTTTAATTGAATTTTACTTTATTTAAAAATAACTATTAAAATTGAAAAATTATTATGAAAAAAAAAATGTAAATGATAATGTATGTGTATAGATTTAAGTTAATTAAACGCTTTAAAAATATATCATTAAAAATTTATCAAACATATATAAATGAAATTAAAACAATTGTTTTATATTAATGAAAATCTTATATACATCAGAACATATTATAGATATATAATTTGTACATATATAACAGTTTCTATCAGCTGTGCCTAAAGTAAATGCCCACCAAATCACATATATAACTGTATACATATATAATATATATTTATATATTTCTAGTCATCAATATCATTGTCGGTATACGGGAGGCTCCCATATTATTAGTTCCTTTAGCATATTAAATGTAATGTAGGAATTGAGCTGTGTACTATATAAGCATATTTTTCAAAACTTTTGTATAGACTTAGATTATAATAAAGTATAGCTAATAATTTTTGTTTTCCTTTCATATATATCAGTTTTGATGCAATAATACAAAGTATTTTATATTTAAAAGAATATATATTTAATAACACTTTTATAATGATAACCTCTTTATTCCCCTTTTATGGTCTTATTTCTTAGATTCATAGCTTCAATTCATTCCACACAAATTAAATTTCTAATAATTACAAAGAAATTGTAAATAATAAATTAAATAATTGTATAAACGTGATATTCCAAATTTAAAAAAACACAAAGGAGTATGTATGTAATTAAATACGAAACAGCGAATATTACTCAGGTGAAAATTCCTTAACAAAGTTATATAAGTATTTAAAAATATCAATAAATAAGTTATAGTGTAATTCCTTGATAATCGTCAAGCTGATCCCATTTCTTTCTGCCATTCTTCGTGTTTCTTTTCCAAGCTTTTGGAAACTGGTTTTGTCTTTTCGATAGCTGTCAATATGTCTGACAGAGTTATTTTATCCTTGCGACTATTTGAACCTGGAAGTTATATTGTCCGTGGAATATATACGAAAAAAACAATAAAAATAAATGGTTTTATTAATGAATAGCTGTCATCGTAATAGCTCATTAAAATATGCGTATAAATTGAGCATTATTATGTATACCTTTGTCCTATTTTTTCTTCTTAATCTTTACAATAAAAAAAAGATTTCTATAACTTACTCTTGTTCATATGTGGCATCATCTTTCTCACGCCGGTCATGAGGGCCTCTTTACACACAAGCTTGATGTCGCTCCCTGAATACCCCTCGGTCTTCGCAGCCAACTCTTCAAAGTTAATCTTGGGCACCAGTTCTATATTGTCGCTACTCAGATACATTTCAAACAGTTCAGTTCGTGTTTTTAAATCTGGTAGCGGTATGAATATCCTCTTCTCCAGTCTTCTCAGAATCGCTGGGTCGATTTCCCTTAGAAACAAATAATAGGTGATTTGACACTTTTAATAATGCAAGATAATAAGATCTAACACTTTCGCAAGTATTCATTTAATTGAAACTACTATTTTTCGGATATAAAACGTGCTTATTTTTGTATAGTAATGTATTATTGTATTTTTATATAGTAATATATTTATTACAATTAAAAGAATACAAGATTATTTTTTGTAAGTTTAAAATAACTAATGTTTTAGAAGTAATAATATTAATTTAAAGAAATACGATAGAAAAATCTAAGGATTTCGCGAGTTTTCATTGAAATGAAACTAATATTATTCGGGGATTCCGTTTAAATACATTATATACTTGGGAAAAATAACGTGTTCTCTCATTTTCAAAGTGAAAGTAAATTGTTGTTAATAATAAGTTCGCGTTTAAGGTTTAACATTCCTGTATCCGAAGTTTCATACATTGTTACTAATCAAGTATACCAAAATTTAAGCTTATTTAATATTCGTAAAAACAAAAACGTTGTAACAAGCTAGTAAACAACATCTGGATGAGACTAACCTCGCATAGATAAGAAAAATATATGACGTTTAAAAATTATTTAACCCAGTTCTAATAGGAACACATAGGTATGCGTTATACTCGTACTTTGAAAGGACATCATATCGATACTAAGAATAAATTACAACATTTTTAAAGAGACTAAACGAAACTTAAGATTTGAAGTCACATAAGAATATGAAACTAATATTAGTACATTATATGTAGTATCTTAGGACTGGCAAATGACAGTCGGTAGTGGCCTAGTGGTTGAAGGCCCGCCTCTCATGCATGAGGGCGCGGGTTCGATCCTGGCAAGTACCAATGTGATTTTTCCGAGTCATATGTACTTTATAAGAGTATTTAGACATCAAACATCGTGAGGAAACCTGGAGATATAATTTCACAATTATAAGTTTGAAATCACCAACCCGACTTGATCAAGCGTGGTGATTAATGCATTCCCAAAGAGGGTTGATGTCAGGCAGGCGGCCGGTCGCAAAAACAATTAGCCTAAACTATTCACAACATGTAAGTCAGACCCTGGCTAAAGCTAGAAAAGTGCCAGGTAGAAGAAGAAAATTAGACACTACAGTCATTAAACTGCATTGGTTTTTCTAGTGTTAACACGCAAATCCGGGAAGGAAATGAAATGAAATGTCTAAATACTCTTAGAAAGTACATATGAGTCGGAAAAATCATATTGGTGCTTGCCAGGATCGAACCCGCGATCTCGGTAACGAGAGGCGGGCCCTCTAACCACTAGGCCACCACTGACTTCTAATACCGTATAATGGTATACCTAATGTGTAGAGATTTATAAATGAAAAACATAAAAATAAAACATAACTGAATGAATTAAATGACTGACAATACAGCTCAGATAACTTAATAAAGAAGATTACAAATTGTGTTCGAACTAGTCAAAACAGAAAAAGCGTAAACGTTGCTTGGCAGGTTTTAGAAAAATACTCAAATTGGTCATTATATCATTATATAGCTTCAGTTTAATTTATTCATTAAATTGTTTTATCATCTATGAAAAACTCAATCAATGTCTGAATGATAAATGACATTGACAGAACTCGTGAGGCGCCAATTAGTCATATGATCGTGTACAAATTTAATCACGTTCATGATTATTTTTTGTATAATTCCTTCTATAAATCCTTTATACATATGTTTACTGTATTAAATACAAATTAAATGTCACAATTTGTTTCATATCATCATTACACTCCCCTACCACTAAAGATATGGTTATCCTACTAATATTATAATTGCGAAAGTTTGTGAGTGTGTGTATGTTTGTTGCTTCTTCACGCTCAAACGGCTGAACCGATTTTGTTAAAATTTTGTATACAGGAAGCTGACGTCTAGGAATGAAACATAGGCTACTTTACATCCCGGAAATCCGCGGGCAACAGGGGCATAACTACTTAATATATGTTCGTCTACTCACCACGGCATATTACTAGTGAGTAGTACGAACACCCCCCTCCCCGCGCACACCCCGTCCATCTCCACCAACAGTTGTGACGTCAGACGTCGCGACGCCTCGTGCTGTCCCCGTCGTGACGTCACACACTCCGCCTCGTCCATGAAGACGATGGACGGAGCGTAGTAGCTGGCCAGCTCGAATAACACCTAGCAAAAACAATTATCAAAGATAAAGATAGTATTGCTGGGCTTAGAATGTTGAGGATAAAGAGGACACTAACTAATTCACGATTTATTTCCGAGAGTGCAATAAGACACTGATTCATATACAATTTTGACTTTTATACATGACTAGTTTTTGACCGCGACTTCGTCTGCGTTAGTTTCAGAATTAGAAATGTATATCTGACTGAGTGAACTCTATTCCTCCTTAAAGATTTTTTCTCGGCGGCATCGTAACGTAATTAATCAAAGTGAGAACATTTCTCGCTCACTTGAATGATTGACATATTAGTTAGTTGTCAAATCTAATGTCAAAAAAGAATTGTATGGGAAATAGAAAAGGGCCGTTTTTAGGGTTTTCCCGGAAATGAATCAATTTTTTTCAGCTTTTAAACCTTCCCTGAACCTCCACGAACATTTCAAGACTAAGATAAGATAAATCCGTTCAGCTGTTCTCGAGTTTTAGCGAGACTAAGGAACAGCAATCCATTTTTATATATATAGAAGAATAGAAGAATACGAGATACACAGATGTGACACATTTTATACAATGAATATGTAACTTACTAACTGTTTACTTATATACCTATGTGCGTATACGGCACATTATACAATGACTTGATGGAAATACTGGTTCATCACATTTATATCGTCTCCTGTAATTTTTTTAGTCTGATAACAAAATGTTGACGTTGTGAAAACTTAATAAATTTTAAAACCACTTTATTTTGGAAAAAAGAGCTAAATGACGTTTTCTTAATTTTAAGTTTTTGATTATTTTGAATTGGGAACTCGTATTTTATATACATACTAGCTGACCCGGCGAACTTCGTACCGCCTTATAATCAAGAATATTTAAAAAAATAGGGGTTGATCGTAGAGGGGTGAAAAATTTAGAGTAATATAAGATTTTTTATTGTAAGTCATCAAAAAATAAAAAAAAAATTGCCAAAAAATTAAAGTTTTTAATTAACAAATAAAAAATAAGGGTTGATCTTAGAGGGGTAAAAATTTAGGGTTATATGTATTTTTGTAGGCTGTGTCGTAAAAAAATAAAAACAAAAAATTTTGCCTAAAAAATAAAAACAAAAATTTAGGGGTGGACTACCCTTAACATTTAGGGGGATGAAAAATAGATGTTGGCCGATTCTCCCCCCTGGTTAGTATCCTCGATAAGGATCACGAAAATCGTTCGAGCCGTTTCGGAGGAGTTCAAGTTCGAACACCGTGACACGAGAATTTTATATATTAGATATTTTCGTGTTCATTATCAAATTGCACTGTTAGAATAACAAAGGCTATTAATGCTGTTAAAATCAGAATTCATTGAAACCGCATAAGGAAGCAAAAAATATATGCGTCAGCAATGAAAATTCCAGATAAGACTCTGTCTTGTGTTAAGAAACAAGACCTAAAGCTCTGTCCTTACCGTAGACATAGACAAGATATTGCCTAAATAAATTTTACAATCACAAAGAATTATCGATCAAGACGCCTTCTATTGCTAAACGTGAGTGAAAAGCACAGAAATATCTTCTTTACTGATGAAAAACTTTCACGATCTAAGAACACTACCGGTCACAGTTTTTAATTTATTTGAATTATTTTTTGACTAGTTATAAGTTGAAATTAAGTTGAAATACTCAATGAATTAATACAAGTACATACATCAAGTAATTTTATACACATCATCTTCATCTTATATAAATATACATTTGTGAGAGACTGGAGCCCGTGATGGGTATAGGAATACCTGTATGAGTATTACAGGTCTCCAGGTCCCCACGCCGCCATATTAACAAAGTGAGCTCTTAACATTAAACTGTTGTATATATGTTGGAGAGATTGTTTCAGTGTGTTAGAGTGTATAAGTTTAAAAGAATTTGCCTAAGTTGTTGGAAAGCTTGGTGATCATCATCTTGCGTGAGTCATGGTTCAGGGCCTGTTTATCAAGGAGTTAAAAAACTGCATCATTATGAAAAAGCATTGAAAACATCAGCCAAAGCGGTTTTTGGTTATTTGAGAATCACATTTTGTAATCTATTTGAACATAGTTCCTATTAAATCCCATTCTGTAAACCACATTATATTTTGCTCAAAATCTATTAAGTGCTTTTTCAATATTAAAGAAAATTTTTAATATTATTTAAAAATTATTTCAATATTCATATTATAAAGAATGAACTAAAAAGTCCAAGATAAGGAAAAACACAAGAATAAGACGTCGTACCGTCTTGCCTCTATTATGCACTTAAGCCTTTGACCGCTGAGTCGTATTAAACGCGTTTTTATCTTTGTACTTTCCTTACTTCCCAGATTAAATTATATATTCTTTTAAATTAAATATTCAAAGCATACTTAACTCGGTGGGAAGTGCACCCCATATACCAACACTGACTGTCGCTACTGGGTAAAAAATACCACAATAATATTAATGTAAGAACTAGAGTTATTTTATGGATAATTAAATATAACCAATTTTTATATTATATTGTGTTACATTTTCAATTAAACAAGACATTTGGAAACTAATAACGCTTGGTATAATATGTAATATTTGAAATTTTAAAACATAGCCCAAAAGCTCAGCCATTTTGTGCACAAAACGAAATATTTGCTAGTGTGGCTGGAGGGCTCTTTCCTGTTGTTTATTCGGAATATTATTATTTTGCTCGCCATTAGCACCAAGTAAAAGTATTATTTTACTTTTCATAAATGTATGTAGGCAGGTTTAAAATAGTAGATTTACACTTAATTTGTGGCAATACGAGAAACACAGCCAACACCTTCAAGTAATCTCACGATTTTCTTTATTAGTCGAACCGTCGAACATCTGTCGAAAGGTATCTAAAACGGCGCTGCACAAAATTACTTACAAAAATAAATATATTCGAAAGTATGCACTATGTGGTAAATTTTACCCGGTAGCGCCTCCCGCCGAGTTAAGTATATGAATTTTAAATAAATATAGAAGAAAAAAAAATTTAAATACAGAAAATTAATTCACATCCTTGATCCTAACAGTAGGCTGCTGAACGCAAAATTCAATTTTTTTTTTGTTTTATAAAGAAAATTAATATAATTGATGAATGTTTCTCAAAAAAGTATTACGAATAAATAATTACTAGTTCTACTCATATATTATATCACTAATAATATATTGACCAGAGATTATAACTCATCTAAGTAACAAAAATATAGTTATAAATTACTGAGCAAGACTTGATTAGACACTATGCAATATAACAGAGACTCAACTGAGTAGAATTAAGACTTACTTAGCAAATTTTGGTCAAACACTATGTAAACAGGGCACCCAAGATTATGACCGACTGGAAGCCGCAGCAAAACAGACCTAGAGGAAGGCCGAGAAAGAGATGGTGCGACTGCATCGAAGATGATCTCAAGGCTCTGAAATGTTTTACGAACTGGAGAAGGACAGCCAAGGATGTGGAAGAGGCCAAGACCCACAAAGGGTTGTAGCGCCGAAGAAAGTAAGTACTATGTAACCAAACAGATACATAACAGAAACAAATGTCCTAAAAGAAGAGACTGGAAGCGACCTAAACCAACAATCTCGATTCTCGAGCTTACTCACCTTCTTAGTTCTTACCTCTCTTTCTAACATCTTACCTCTCTTTCTCACATCTTACCTCTCCTTCTCACATCTTACCTCTCTTTCTCACGTACCTTCACAATCTTCTCCGATTCTCCCCTCCACTTGTTGATGATGGAGCTGCATGTTATATTGAAGAAGGTGCACCCCTCTCCACACACAGCCCGCGCTAGGAGCGTTTTCCCCGTGCCGGGTGGACCGTGGAGTAACACGCCACGCCACGGCTCTAACAGACCCGTGAACACTTCGGGATATCTGATAGACACATTATAAAATACTTATAGTAGTTAAACAACGCCAAATAGAGTAATACTTATAGAATCATAAAGATTCTGTGAAATAAAAATGAAAATTCAGTTCAATTTCAGTTAAATCACATATATAATACGACTGCTATTACATAACTATACTATTTTAAGCGACGACGGTCTGATAGAATTCGAAGTTAAGAATTCGTTGTTTTATTTACTAAATCATGATAAATTTCATGTATTCTATTCAGGAATCATCAATCTTAAAATACTCTGTGAATACTTTATAATAATGACATTCACATCTCGTCTTTATGATCACAGTTACGGAAAAGTAACCGAAACCGAAAATAACAAAGCACGCGTTGTATAAACTTCAAAATACAAGTTTCATTTAAACTTCACCGTACTTCAGCGGGTACACCACACTTTCCATGAGTATCGTCTTCGCGTCTTCAAGTCCTTTAATATCTGTCCAACTGACTCCACCCACTCTCAGTATATCTTTGTACAAGTATTCAGCTAGCTGCCTCTTCTCCGGCGCCATCTCGACCATTAAACAGGCGAAAGGCTTTTTATCCACTGTAGGAATCGCTTCTGTGTTGGCTAAAACGCTTTCCTTAAATATATACATATAATTCTTTATAAACCACTATGTAAAATAACACATAATCTATTATTAGGTGATGTATTTATTTAAGTTTCTTTATATAAATTGCCTTACTTATATCGTAGAATAACAATTTTATATTGACAAGTTTTTTACTGAGTTGAAGAGGTCTCTACTCAGTTGAAATTTATCGTTCCAGGAAACCACTTAAGATATATATATCTACATTAATTTCATTTAAATCTTCATATAATAATTAATTTTATTCTGACTTAAAATAATAATCAAGATTTAAAAACATCTATACATTTATTGTTAGAATTTTCAACAATTCTAAGCTAAAATGGAAACACAAGCGATAATAATATACCTACTAAATGAAATATAGTTACTAATAGAAAACCCAAATATATTATTAACCATTAAATAAATATAGGCTGTAATGACCTAGTGGTTAAAACCTGGCAAGTATCAATATGATTTATCCGAGTCATATGTACTTTCTAATATGTAGTATTTAGACACTACTGACAGATGAAGGAAAACATCGTGAGGATAGTGAGCAAACATGGACTTATCAAATTATAAGTTTGAAATCACCAACCCTTGAGCAAGTGTGGTGATTAATGCTCAAACCGTCTCCATGTGAGACGAGGCAGCTCAGCAGTGGGCTCTGATAGGATGATGATGATGAAAATAATATTGGTACCTTTAACAGTTTGGTGACAGTGAACATCGCGGGTAGTTCTGTCTCAGCGTCTCCCGAGCCAGGGTCCTGTTCTACTTCTGGCTCCCGGCGGGTCCTCCTCGTGTGAGGTCTCTTCACGGGCCTTTCGTCTACCTTCCGACAGAACTGCGGCTGTTTGTTGAATCTAATGAGGTAGTAGCTGCAGTAGTCCTAAACACACGTCATAGAACTTCAATACTTACAAGTACTACATCATAACCAATATCCTACTAATATTATAATTGCGAAAGATTATATGTGTGTATGTTTGTTACTTCTTCACGCTCAAACGGCTGAACCGATTTTGTGAAAAAATTTGTATACAGCAAGCAGATGTCCAGGAATAACACATAGGCTACTTTACATCCCGGAAATCCGCAGGTAACACCGCGCGGCGCAGCTAGTGATAATTAAAACACTATTATTTTCTTCTTCTGTCTTTAATTCATGATTTTTAGGATCATTAAATTTTAAGCAATAATTATGTCTAAGATTTTCGCGTATACACATTTGAAAGAAAATAAAAAAGATAGATAGATTTTCATGTAAACATAAAATAATAAACAACGCTTAGTATACGAAAAACTTTTATTTAAATGTTAAGCTAAATCTGTGAAACAATTGAGATACACTTGAAAAATATAGGTTCTATTTTGATATCAGAACAAAAATATGTAACGAGTGGGTCAAATATTATTTATATAGGTACGTGACTCTTTCAGTAAAAAGTAAAAAGTGTCCGAAACCAGTTCGACTAGAGACAATATCAATAGAATATAATTATAAATTACTTCTAAATTATTTTAAGTCTAATTACTTAATATGATAAATTGAAAAACAAATCTTTTTAGACTCCATATTATTGATAAACGAAATTATAAACATTTTCAATAAAAAAAAACCTTTTCGAGTACAGAAACATTAAATCGATAAGAATAAAAGTAACTCTAAAATAGACTGATTTCAAAATGAATTTAAAATCTAGTAGCAGTCTTTTACTCTCGCCTTTTCAACGCCCACTTACTGCATTCAACAACTAATTGTATAGAATCTTAAAACCTTTTCTTGGTTCCTTTAACTCAGAATTTCATTTCATCGTTATTAAATACAATCATTTTAAATGCTTTCATACTATTAAACTAACAAAAAAACAACACAAAACAAAAATATTTTTACCACAAATATGTACAAAAGACATTATTAGTAATAATTGTTATAATAAATTTATAACAAGACGCGTGGGATTTTTTATGAATGTAGGAAATAGAAACAAAATATATGACTATGACGTCATCACATTGGCAACGTAAAAATCAGAATGAACATTTGAAATAAAACAAGTATATTAAACAGATGTTTAAATTAAACGTTATAAATAACTTAAAATATTGGAAATATTAATGAAAATAACTATAAATATTAAAAAATATTTTTCAATTACTTTCTGTTCGTGCATTTCAATATGGCGCATAGTTGACCTTGTCAGAGGTACAAAGAAAAAACTTAAAAGAGAAAATGCTTAAGAAGCAAAAAGTTGTAATCATTCGGATTTATTAACAATATTAAACAATGGTAACATAATATTATATTAATATTTGCTTTAACGAAGATATGTAGAAGAAATATATTTATAACTATATAGACCTTCAAAGACATATTATTTTGGCGTCTGTAATATTGAATCAATTTCAAACTCAAAAATCTCGGCGTCCGCTCGTCTCACTCATACTGGCTGACATCCAATTTTAAAGCACAATGTTATAGTAAATAAACATAAAATTAAAAATGGTATTATTTAAAAAGTGTGGCAAGAAAAGAGAGTATTTTCACCAGCTATAGCCGCCATTAATGCGGTAAAATATTTAGATGACTGCGTCAAAGTATCTCTACTATTAATATTATAAATGCGAAAGTAACTCTGTCTGTCTGTCTGTTACACTTTCACGCCTAAACCACTGAAGTGATTTTAATGAAATTTGGTACAGAGATAGAGTTGACCTTGAGAAAGAACGTAGGATAGTTTTTATCCCAGACGTTTGAAAGGTTCTCTTGGAAACGCAATATAACCGAACTCCACGCGGGCGAAGCTGCGGGCAGAAAGCTAGTTTTAAATATTTCGGTTTAGTTCAAATTTCTATGTTTACATTGTAAGATTAAATGTTAATATGCAAATTGTTAGCGACGTGTATTCTTTAGTCAGAGCTAAAGTCACTCAGGCGTATTGACCTGGTACCTTACATAGTTCTTGAATATGATGCCAAACTTTACATGCATGAAACGTGCATCGACATATACTAATGGACATGCCTTGATGAGAATTGTGGCACTCCGAAAGAAAGAGAGGAAACGAACTTACGGTCTATCTTTATCTCTCTCAAAATAGTAGCGTACTGACTGAGCGCCAATCATCTATGAGGAAAGAGAGTGCTAGACCGAAAGCATAGGCCATCTCTCTCACTCTTTTCAAACCAAAAAATTACTGCAGATTATACACGTACGGCATGTCCATTAGTATATGTCGATGGAAACATGTGACCTCAATTCCTTTATTCTTTTACGAGCAAAATATTACGATAATTTTCTTACAACTAAAACCTTTTTTATCCACTCGTATATTTATAAATGATTTGAATTTCAGTTAAACATTCGGTCTATCAATTCTGTCAGTTAAGTCATTCATTCACTAGTATACTCGTTCATTCGTTCAGACAAATGTGTGTATCCGTTGCTTTGATCGTGTGAATGAGTTCCATTGAGGCAGCGTTCGTGTAGCGGTAAATGGGTCGTCAACACAAATTGACTTTGATGTGTGCCTTACTACGAGTCGACATCAGATGACTACAAACAGATAGTTATTTCAGAAAAACGAGAAACTGACTGTCTTTAGGTAGGCGATGCACTCTCTAATAACTCCTAAACTAACATAATAAGCGCATTCTGCCGACATCCAGAGTGGTAGCCTAGAAAATTAAGAAATCGATGGCGGTAGGTAATAAAATAAGACCAACTGACAGACACTCACATCTCGTCTGTCCGTGATTATTGCTGAAAAGTATCCGAAACGTCGGGAGTATGTAGTTTATAATAATAAAATAGGCGTAATATAATCCGAATAATATTAGTTTCATTTTACTAAATTATTTTATGCCTACCACAAGTTCACAGTCTCACTGAAGCAGCGTTTTTAGTTTTCATTCATAAATCTTGGAACATTCTAGTAATACCCATTACTAAATGTTCGACGTGTAACATAAGGATAGTAAGCATACTGTTGTGTATTTATCGATAATATAATGGAGACCGTTTTCTTTAAGCACTTCGCATCTTATGGTTATTAAAAATCATCCATAAAAGGTTTTTAAGTGTTCTTGTGATAGATTAGTTGGTATATACTCAGTTTTGTTACTTTAAAATTGACTATGTATTAAAAAAATACCACAAATACAGAATATGTCATTATTGCATCTGTCAAAATATGATGTATTTTTTTTTTAATAATCAGAGACTTTGATCGCCATTGAATGTAATTTTTTCAGCCAAGTAAAACCTTTTTCTATATTAATTTTAATATATTCTGCATATTATTGTCACCTGTAGTATGATGTCCAGGTCGATATTATCACAGAGCACATACTCGTCAGTGATCCCGGCTTCGCTCGTAAAGGTTTCAGCGGTGTTCATATATCCTTCCTGTTTAATGAAACCCAGTACCAAATATTTCAGAATACGCTTTCTAGTACGGAACAGAGCCTCTTTCTGAAAATCAAGTATTAATAAACATGATTTACATTTAATAATATACATCCATAATGAACCACAGATTATATAAATCGACAAAATATTATATATGCAGTGCACAGATTAATAATGTTTATTAAACTTAAATAATAAACTTCAATTGTTATATTACAAAATAACATATTTATTATTATACATTTTATAGTATGTATGTATGTAGCCGATATCAGAATTCTTCGTTCTGAAATTCTAAAACATAAAAACAACGACTGAGCTGAATACACGCCGACCTTGACCGTTACAAGTTTTGACAAGCGAATGTTTTTAACATAGAAAAATCTTGCTTTTAATAATATTGTTATATAACAAATTTTGATAAAAAGGATCATAGACGAGAGAATAAGCTAAGAAATTAATAGTTTATTAATAATTACATACATTTTATATTATTAATTTAGTTTTACTTACTGCCTCCAATTTCCGCATTTGACTCATTGGTCGATTAACTCCAGTCATTCTGTTTATTATAAAGATATAATAATATATTATATTATAGTAAATAATCACTGAATGGTTGTCAATACACGGTCACAGTAACCAGGGGTTGTTTTTTGGTTGCCAGGTGACATTTGAAACTGTTTGACAGATAGCATCCTGTTTCAAACATTTGGCGTATTAAAATGCAAGCGGGGGAATAATATTAATTATTAAATATAACAACACCGAAATAAACAAAATGTTATATATTTATATGTATGTATATTGTATTTTACTGAATAAATATATATTATTATATTGGCTTATAAAATTAAAGATAATTTCAATGAAATAAAATATTTGTTACGTAAAGGATTTTTTTTATTTATTCTTCGTGAACATTGCAAAGATTGCATTTTTAATTCCTAAAAATGAGTTATAATATATTATTATAATTATTTTGTCAGGTTTTGTATAAACAAATGTTTACGTAGCATTATGCCGAACATCGAAAAACCGTACGCCGTATTCTCTGAAGGACATCTACGAATTTCATTACCCCGGGTAAGACGGGGTACATGTAGTCGTTAGCATAATTCTTGAGAATTAAACCAACAGAGTTTAATGATCGGTTTAAGGAGATTAAACTTAAGTTACCAAATATTCATGGAAATATAGAGTAAATATATTGTTATTTAATATCATAAGTAGATGAAAGTAATATTTTCGGATTACTATTCATATTTTATTATTTTAAACTACATACTCCCGACGTTTCAGCAACCGTGATCATTAAGACGTGAATGTCGCAATGTTAATTATAATAAAAAACCCGTATTAATTTAAAATTATTGGTTTAATTTAAATGAATACTCGCGAGTCTTAGATCTTATTATTTTATAAGTTAAATTTTTAATATTATGTGGATTTTAAACATTAAATATATGAAAGAAATCTTGTTGGTAGTTTGCGCATTTCCGCAACGTCGATCTGCAGTGATGTCATCCGGGTTTACGCATTAACATAAGGAATACGTTAAAATATTAAAGTTTTATATAAATAACACTATATATAATACAATTATTAGTTTATCAGTTAGTAAATGTTATTATATCAATACTGGTATAAAAGTACATAACAATATGCCCCATATAAGAATGAGATTTTAAAAATGTTTTTCATTTTATATAGGTACATACGTATATAGCTATCCAAAATTTAAGTTGTTAAGAAATATACCAAAGAGTTTAAGGTAAAGACGAAAAGCAATTGTGATTAGAAAAAAAGTAAATTAAATAGGACGTTTTGTTTTTCATAAAATTCTATTGAATTTTTAATGTTTTTGTACTGTGTATATTCTTAATGCATTTTATATTTCCGTGTTAAAGTATTCTCTATTACTCTAGAAATTTTACTTTCTTTTAGATGACAGTGCAATGCTGTCCGAGTGACGTCATTTTAACACAATATGGCGGACGGTAGAAGATAGTTTTTTGTTGTAATTGCTCTGCATTAAATATAATTAACAAATAATATATAAACGTCCTTCTAAGGACTAGTGATGTACCCGACATGTAAGCATAGTCTACAAAGTCACACTACAAAGATTATTAACATAATAGTACAAATTTATTTGCCGCCTTAAACTTTAATAGGTGTTGCTTCAAAGACGCGTAACTGTTGTGCAGCAGCTACCTAATATGACAAGATTTCACTTCTTGCTTCTTTCACGTTTTTAAGCTTACTCTAAGTTACTATAGTCTTATATACGAAAATTCTTCCGTTTCTTACCACGTTAATACTAGTTAGTTAGCATATAGGAACGAAACTCGAAACGCTTAGTGTGTAGTCTAACGATGTAAATTCGGATTAAGGATATGGATATATAAATATAAATAATATTGGAGTGTCTGTTTGTAATATTAAAATAGCCGTGTTTTTACTTCATGCAAGTTTCATGCTTCATGCATTTGTAGACGGAGTCACAGGTAACAGCTAGTAGATAATATCTTTTTAAATGTAGAATGATTAATGATTGATTGAATGAATGAATGAATGTAATCCAGTTATATGTGTATAATATATAACTCACTATATTTGAGAAGGTTTCTCTATAAAGCTTACATTAGTGAGACATTCTAGTCATAACGACAACATTGTGCGAGGTGTGATTGTGATACGTGTAACGAACAAAATACTACCTTAATATTAATGTAACAGATTTTATTTTAGGTTGCATTTATATTTAAAAAATACTTATTCTTAGAGAACTTCAGCCAGTTGTATTGGAACTTGTGGGTTTTGCATTAAAACTAAATATATACAATGAATTATAATTTCTGTCAATAATAAACATCGTTTTAATAAATTGTATTAATTTGTGTTCATTCATTCATTCTACATAACATTTTTAAAAGTTATTGCAAAGAAAATTCAAGACGAAATGACAATATTTCATATTTTACGTACATCTTATATTTGAAAGAAAGTCGTGTTTGTTACAAAATTATAACTTAAGAATGGCTGTAGAGATATGGTTGAAAATTGGCGGGGAGATAGATTAATACCGGGATTCGGCCATAGAATATATAATTTTATTCGATCGAAAAAGATAAAAATACTTAATAAACTCCAGTATCTGGTTAATTTACGGCCTCTAAGGAGGAATAGAGTTCGCGCGGTCAGCTATACATATATTACTAATTCCGAAATTAACGCGGACGAAGTCGCTAGCAAAAACTAGTATATGTATAAGTATTAAACTGTATATATGTATATTATATACTGTTAAGTATACTCGTGTTATACGAGTATGTTCTTAATGAATGCAGATTGAATTGAAGGTAAGCTATAAGGCTTAATGTTCCCGAGTACTCTCCACCGGACGAATTAATTTAATACCTAATATTAGTACTAAAGCCTTTGACTTACTTACTCAACTCAATAACTCACACTACGTTCAGAAACATATAAAGACAGATACACGTTCAGAAATATTAATATATACTTTAATACTTCTAAATATTTGATAGTATTACTAAATGAGACGAAACCTCTCATCATTCAATGTATTCACGGTGCGTGTGTCGGGTCCATCGTTGTAGTGAGAGGAGCTTCAACAGTGACTGGGACTTGTGACCCAGGTGTAGGTTTAAGGGACTATCTAACCCATTAAACGCTCACCTCCACTATCCAAGCTCCTCTCTCTACGTAAATATGGTATAAAGTACGTGAAAAGTCAATAGATTAAAAGAATTATTCGTTAAAACATGACATATTTGATTTTTCAGAAGTCGTTTTTTTTTTTAAGTTTTAATGCTAATAGGATAAGATAGTTAAAAAGTTTTTATATAAATATATTCTAGTACTTTTTTATTATCTATTTGTAACAAGTCGTTCTCCAACTGATTAATTATTCATTTTACTTTACTGTATCTTGAAAAATACTTATTAAAACTCTTTTTTCCTTTCCGCTGTTTCGTTTATATATTAATAATTCATGTGATACAAATTCTCTCATTGATTGTATCTTATTAATATTATTATTTTAATAAAATTAACTCAAAAACCTTTATTATACCCGAAAAATAATACTCTATTATGGAAATGTTGAATTTACCCATATTATAAGACAGAACTACACGGACTTTCCTTAAACATTTTCTAAATCTTCGTTAAATTAAATAATATTAAAAAGATCAACTGTTATTATAGTTTTAAGAAAGATTTTTATCATAAATGTTACTAAACAATAATAATAAATTATTCTATTTTAATTCTTTATCCAAATTTTTTTCTATCTAACATCCAAAAAGTCATCTCTAACTTCATTAAGCAATACTTTTTTTTAATTATAAAACAAATTCAAACTAAATATATATTGTTAATTTTATATTAATATTTAACGATAAAATAAAAAACCTAAATGTTTAAAACTAAGTTATTTTAATTAACATGAATAAAATTTTCAAAAACATTTCATTTAGTTTGAATTCCGCGTTTATAGAATTTCTCTATATTGGAAAACTTTCGGAATATTCACTAACGATGGATTGAAGCGTTTGGAATTCATACAGTGTGGGGAAAGTTAGCTATCAACTACATACATACTATCAAATTATATATATACACATATACTAGCTTTCCGCCCGCAGCTTCGCCCGCGTGGAGTTCGGTTATATCGTTACCAAGAGAACCTTTCAAAAGTCTGGGATAAAAACTATCCTATGTTCTTTCTCAAGGTCAACTCTATCTATGTACCAAATTTCATTAAAATCAGTTCAGTGGTTTAGGCGTGAAAGCGTAACAGACAGACATACAGACGGAGTTACTTTCGCATTTATAATATTAGTATATATATTACTTATTATGGCGTTTTAATTGAAGTTTTTTTGTATTCTTATCTGTTTCTTAAAGAGGATATCTTTAAAGCAGGTTCATAACAAAAGAGGAATTATATTTGATAAAGGAGTATTTACTATTTATGGAAGGAAGTGTGTTGGCAGGATATATAGTAGGATCTAGGAAAGGATTTTAGATTTTTGTCCCTGATTATAATATTAGTTGCCTAAATGAAACGGAATTAACCTCTTTCAACCATTAAGGAGTTTTTTTTCATTATTTAATCAATTTTGTATTGCAATATATGTATTATTAACAAATAAAAAAACCTTAAATATTAACTCATAGCAATTAGCTTAACAGTAAGACTATAAAAGTCATAAAGCTTAATTTATAAAAGCTGAAAGCTTAATTCATACAAAGCGTCTGTTTACAGTAGGTTGTTGCCGCGCTACCTCATACAATGTAGCTGTGAAGTGTGAACCATTGTGCGAGGGGTGGCCACGCGATAATGTACGTTAGAGATGTGCTTCCCGGAGATAACTAATTTGTATCACAGCTTTTATGGACGGCATTACATGTTCGGAAATCAGGCGGAATTATGTGCTTATATTTTGATTAAATTAATTTTCTTGTAGTAATAATTAATATGACAGAATATTTATGTATATTTCTTATTAATAATTAAGCATATTATTATTACTTGTATTATTTTGCAAGCATTACCGAACGATTAGAACACAATCGCATAAAATATAAATGATAAAACAAACGTAAGCTGAATAATTCCAAATTCAAAAATGATTTTGCGGGAAGCAAACAAACGGAACAAAGCGCGTCGCTGCTAGCGGGCGGCTGCCGCAGTGGGGGGCGCGGGACGGCGGCACGGCAGTCGACTGCGGCCAGCCCGCGGAGCAACATGTCTAGCTCCGCGCTCCACGTCGCCGTCACGCTACTCGCCGTATTCGTCGCGCTGGCCGGTGAGTTACACCTTACGATTATTTGACAGTGACATATGACAAGTACGTTTTAGTGACCCTTAATTAATTACCAGTGATTTTTTCACCAGAAACTTCTTACAATATATATTTGGATTTTATTTTTCACATCTAATAACAAAAACCTAAATGGAAATGTTTATAATTTGTAACTATTGTTCTTGTAAAAAGAATGTAACAGTGAACCCGGTAGAGCTTTTAAAATGCATGTCACCAGTTGAAGAGACTCTTGACATGAAGTTGAACTGGAGCGACGCAAACTTTAAATAAAGTTTACATTTTAAGCAGAACAATGATCCGTTACATTAAGTGAAAATATGAATCGAAACTAAATAATTTACATCAAATTATTTTAAAACAGATATATGTTTTCTTTTATCTCAGGTTGTCTTGAAAACAAGGTTTAAATTAGAAAATATCAGTAATTGTTTTTAATTTTATAATGTTTAAGACACACAGACGCTTGCAATTTGAGTCAAAATGACATATGTTATGTATTTACAAAAACCAATTAAGCTATAACCTTGGTATCAAGACGAAAAGGGTTTTATACCTAATCAAAGCTCATATAGTGCTCAAATAATTGTCGATACAGAAAAAAAATAAAGATTTTCTTTCAAAATTTTCCTTTATAGTAATTTACTAGCGAATAATATATTTAAAAAACTTTAATATCTCAAAAAAATCAGTTGAAATGAAGTGTTCATATTTATGAATTTTAAAAAATACAAAAAAAATCGTAACATTAAAACTGACGTAATATTTATTCTATTTTTTGTGCTATTTACTTTTATTTTAGACGTATTCGCTTAAATTCTATTTTAGTGTAAATTAAAAAACTAGTTACCTTTCATTAACTTACTGGAGAAGGTTTAAATTAATAACTACGTTATTAAAACCTATTTTCGATCTATTTTTAACTCTTATGCATACATATATACAATACATACATGTAAATAGTATATAAAATCTTTTCTAATACTTACATTTTAAGCAATCGTTGAATATGTTCTTTGCCAACAATTTATAATAATCAGTAAATGTCTTATTGTAATAAATATTAAACCATTTTTTATATATCTATTCCTCTTAGATATTTTAAATTTTCCACAACTAATGAATATTATTTTTAAATTTATATGAAAAGCGTGATATGGTATTATGAAAACACGAGAAACGTAAAATTTTTCTCATATCATAGCCATTTTTGGCAGAATCACTCCATTTAGGATATTAAAACCGCATTTTTAACTTAATTAATTGAAAATTTTAACTATAACCGCGGATTACACACATAATAAATGAAATATTACCCGGTCAGTCAGTGCGAGCTGTTGGCACGGTAATGTTGCCCTTGGCTGCTGTAATGGACTCCTGTATTCTACCCCCACCCCTGACCGGCTGTAATGCGACAAACGATAGATGCACGAAAAAAATTTAAGGTTCAAAAAAGTTTCGCTATAAACTATGATAGCTCTACAGTCAAGATATTGCATCTTAAAAGTCAGGTAGAGAAGTATAATCTTCTATATATATAAAAATAGATTGCTGTTCCTTAGTCTCGCTAAAACTCCAGAACGGCTGAACGGATTTATCTTACCTTAGTCTTAAAATGTTCGTGGAGGTTCAGGGAAGCTATAAAAGCTGAAAAAAATTGATTCATTACCGGGAAAACCATAAAAACAGCCCTTTTCTATTTCCCATACAAACGTTTTTTTTGACATTAGATTTGACAACTAACTAACATGTCAATCATTCTGTCGCACTTCAAAACACGGAGATTTATGGCTTACAGGTAAACTCCAAAAATATAAATAAAAAAACGTAATAGATATTTCTTGATTATAGGGCGAAACGAAGTTCGCCGGGTCTTCTAGTACTGTATATATAAGGATAAAATCATACATTAAGTACATAATGTGTATATAAATAAATGTACTAGTTTCATTATGTATAACATCTACACTCTTTATAAGCTCTGATTGAATATTTAATTAGCTTCACTGACATTCACCTAACATTTTTCGGATTACGTGATCACGGTTGCTGCAAAATAACCGAAAAGCCGGGATCATATAGTTTTTAAAGATAATAAAATACGGGTAGTAATACGAAAAATATTAGTTTCATTAAAATAAAGTCGCGAAAGTCTTAGATCTAACTATATACAGGGTGACTGGTGAATTACTATCAATATTTAAGGAGAATACTCGGTACATGATTCTCATTCGAATTATGTAAAAAAAAATAGGTACTTAATTTTTGACCAAATTTCCGTATAAATAAATAAAGCGTGGACACGTTCCAAGTGTATATTGCGGAAAGGTATCTTAAAGGCCCGCAGAGGCTTTATTTCAAATAATAACTCGTCCCTGCATCCTTATAAGTTATTCAACGATAACTATTACAGTTATTCCTCCTTTAACTTGTGGTAAGCGATACTCAATAAAGTAAGGTCCAAATAAAACTCGATCGTTTGATAGTTACGTCTTATATTAAACACGGTACATATTTCAGTATGTGTACTACAAGTTTTTTCACATTACATCGCGTCTGCCCGTGATCATTGCTGAAAAGTAGCTTAACTTCAGGAGTATGCAGTTTTATACAAGACAGAGACCTAACTTCTCTTCATTCAATGTATTCACGGTGCATGTGTCGTGTCCATCGTTGTAGTGAGAGGAGCTTCAACAGTGACTGGGACTTGTGACCCAGGTGTAGGTTTAAAGGACCCTATCTAACGCGTTAAACGCTCACCTCCACTGCCTAAGCTCCTCTCTCTACTTAACCAAATTTGAAAAGTAAAGTCGCGTAGTATCCGAAAAATATTAATTTCATTTAAATGAATAAAATTCTTGAAAATCTTAGATCTCATTATGCATACAGAAAGTCAACTGTTTTCATTCATAAGTTCTAACACGTATTAAGGAATTTTCTTGTATAAGAAACTTAAAACTGTGCGTATGTAGTGTGCTGCAACTCGGACTAAGGATACAGACAGCTTAAACTGAACTAAGGAGAAGCTTATATAAACATTTGTTTAATCTGAACTGTTGGTTAACTTTATAACTTCAACTAGCTTTCCGCCCGCAGCTTCGCCCGCGTGGAGTTCGGTTATATCGCGTTCCCAACAGAACCTTTCAAAAGTCTGGGATAAAGACTATCCTATGTTCTTTCTTAAGGTCAACTCTATGTCTGTACCAAATATCATTAAAATCAGTTCAGTGGTTTAGGTGTGACAGACAGACAAACAAACAGAGTTACTTTCGCATTTATAATATTAGTAGGGATTATGACGTTTGTGTTAGATGGAAATGATTTGCATTAAATCACAGGTCACAGTAGATAGCTTATGACATTACATGATGTAGATCAAAGGTTATATGTTATGTATAACTATAAACTATTATACATATAATATATGTATACATTCAATTACAAATAGGAAGATACCATATGTATGTAAAAAAACACTTTTTTTGTAATGGTATAATTGTTGAAAAAACAAATATAGGATGGAATTAAGGATGGTAAAGGAATAAACTTTAAAAGTAATTTATTCGGTTACAAAGCAACGCGAGTTTAGTTTCCTTTAGTTTAGTTTATGAAAAAAACCTCATAATAAGTAATAACTAGTTAGTGGTATTAATAGCCTTACTACAAGTGTTCGTCAAACTATACGAAAAATTTTCAGTATTTCTTACATATATATGTCATATGACGAATATATGAGTGAGACGAATTTGTAATGAACCGGTTTTGTTCGTAAATTTGAACTCGTAATAAAGTTACTGAATGAAATATGAATATAAATATTTTATATACACATAGCGCAATAAAAACAGAATATGCCCGCCTTAATATTATTTAAATACAAGTTTATACTATTAAACGAAGTTTGTTAATTAGAATTTAGGTGTGAAATACAAAATAATGTTTGTTATGTTAGAATGCGATCGTAGGAAATGAACTATTAAGGTATGTGTGGTTCAAATAACAATAGTTACATAGTTACCTTTATATATATACTACCTATTACCAATGACTTTACCTGTGTCGTTCCAAGTCTCTTCCACAGAACATGTTGTGAATAGTTTTGGCTAATTGTTTTTACGACCGGCCGCCTGCATGACATCAACCCGCTTTGAGAATGCATTAATCAGTGATGTCTAAATACTGTTAGAAAGTACATATGACTCGGAAAAATCACATTGGTACTTGCCCGGGCCAGGATCGAACCCGCGCCCTCATGCATGAGAGGCGGGCGTTTTAACCACTAGGCCACCACTGATTTAAATCTTAATTTGGTGTATAAATAAAATGATTGAATAAAACTATGACATCAATTTGATATATAAATTACTGTATTGTATATATTTAGTACTTCTTTCATTAGGTATATGTCTATATAAATTCTTTTTTATGAGAAAGGTTGCAAACGAGCAGATGGCCTATTTGATGGTCAGTAGTGACCGTCGCCCGTGGACATTAGCAAAATGTCTTCTGTTGCGGATGCGTTGCCAATCTTAGTTATTGAAGAAATGGCAAAAAAGGATAGGAATAGGGAAAGGGCAACCGTCTCTCTCACTCATCGGACGAAACGCAGCCATTAAAGTCTACTTCACGCCGATCTTCTGTGAGAGGGTGGTACTTCCCCGGTCGAGCCAGCCCATGTTCGAGCTGTAGTAACTTGACCACAGCTAGGCTCTACCACCTTACGAAAATATACAGGGTGACTGGTGAATTACTATCAATATTTAAGGAGCATACTCGGTACATGATTCTCATTCGAATTATGTAAAAAAAATAGGTACTTAATTTTTGACCAAATTTCCGTATAAATAAATAAAGTGTTGACACGTTCCAAGTGTTCAAGTGTGGACGCGTGCGGCGGCGTGCTGATACAACACTACGTCACGACACGCGTATGTGTGAGTGTCAGTGTATACCTAATCTGTAGGGTGTTCACACGATGCGTAATT